AACAATGTTGTCGGCAATGTAGAGTTTCCTCGGTGCGGAGGAACTGAAAAACGCTACTTCAAAAGGGTAAACCCATGCCGAATAAAATACTAACATCACCATAAAATTTTCCCACCACCTGCATGCATCAAACAACACCAATTCATCACTTGAATTTGCATGCTGATCACATGCATTTATGTAACAGAAGGAGAACATGAACATATGCTTTTCATGTATCAACAAACTTATTGTTCACATAGGAGAAATCAAAATGTTTATCTTTATTTGACAACCATAATGATTCATATATATATATATATATATTTGTCTACCAGTTATTGTACTACCTATATCTTGAATCCATTGGAGAGATGATCCATCCTTTCGACTTTATTTGGTTCTGGTTATAGCTTGCAACACCCAAAGGAGGAAGTATAAGCTTTGACAAGCTACTCAAACTGAGAGATGAATCTTCATCTGAATCAGAGTGTGCATTTTCATCAGTCTTGCCCTGCTCGTTTTGCTGCTCAACCTTGATCTTCATGCTAGAGTTTAACTTGAAAGCTTCTGGACTAAATTTAATTTCCATTTCTAAAAACAACTTTGAAGTTGGGGTTTTAAAGACGAGTTGAAGAAAGAGAATGACAGTGAAAGAGAGTTATTCTTGGATTGATTTTTCAGAAGGGATTGAATGGAAGGAGAAGATGGGAGAGAAGTTGATATTATTATAGTGGGTATGGGGAGAGTTAGTTGGTGAAATTGACCCTGGAAAGTATCAGAGAAAGCACTGACCCTGCCTGGAAGTGAAATTGAGGCCTGTAGGAAAGAAGGCTTAATGGGAAAGGGCTAATGGAATGGAAACCACATTCACTTATTGATGTATTGGGATAAGATACCAAATGGAACCGATCGGTTGTGCAATATTTGGCATTTTTTACACTGACAAAGTCATTTTCTCTCTTCTGATGATCCGATTTATTTTTTTTTTTCACATTTATTTGGGGCCGAATTGTCAAAGACATGTATGCCAAAAGAGAAACAATCTATAATGTGGGTATATTAGAGTAGGTGTGAAAGGGTTTCCACTGATCAAAATCATAAGCATTTTCCTGCATCCAACAATTCCTTAATTTGGCCTTATAATCAAAAGCACCCACTAATGTCTGTTGTTATTCGATTCCACTGATTGATATTCGATTCTATAGCTTTATCGCCACAGTACTTACCCACAAAATGACTGTTAATTTAAAACCTAACAATCTGAACTCGTTTTTCCTTTTATACTGAGAAAGAGGATTCAGATTTTTTTTAACAAAAAAATCATGCATAATCACTAAATCAGATGCTGGAATATTTTTTAAAATAAATATGTAAAATCTTCTAGATCAAATTAACTGCTCAAATTGCATCCATTAGCCCCATAATTTAATTTCTACATAGAATTGGATAAGGCCAATTGCATGGTCATGTCAGATTCAATACACTTTTTCCCTTCAAAAGTTGTCAAAAATAATAATAATTTACACGATTTGATGACAAGTGAAAATTAATTAATTAATTATTTCCCTTCTCTTATCTAATTTAATTTTTAAAAAAATTCAAGTTCAGAAATTCTTTCGTAAAAACAACGTATATGTAAAAACAAAATATGTTATTTTTTGGTTTCATATATGAGTTTATTTTTTGAACTTTTTAATATATTTTTAAATCTTTTTATCTTATTATATATCCGATTAAAAAAAATATTACGCGTTTAAATTTTTTCGATTTAGTCAATTTTGTTATTTTTTTTCTTTTGAATAACCTTGTTAGTTGTTAGATGTCAAATGGACTATTTTGACTGCTTAACTAATTTTCAAAGAAGTCTTGAAACACAAGAAACAACTATAATAACTATTGTCTTGATTCTGATTACCTCATCATCTCAATCGCCAGAAACAATAACAGATATATATATATACATATATGGACCAAATTTGACTGTAAATTCTAGCCTCACTCAATAAGAAATGTAGAGACAGAATTAATTCTAAAGTAACTAAAGATACGAAGGCGTCCAATCCAGTTGGAAAGAAAAGCTGAAAAGGTGTGGCCCCAAACTGAGAAAAATAGATACGCACAGGTAAAATTCTCCACTTTCAGACGAACCTTTGAGAAAACACAAATTAGAATTCATTAAGCACTCTGTTATGAAAAAATCTCTTATATGAATATGGGGTTTAATCTAAATGATTTAACAAGAAGTGAATTTAATAAGGTTGAAATTCAATTTCCAACAATTGCAGTTTATCTTTTTAAATCTTCTTAAATTGTAATTAGATTTAATAATTTATAATATAATATAATAATATGATACAAAAATTAAATAAAAATTGACGGTTTAAAATTTTAATAATAATCGTATATAAATTTTTTTAAAAAAATATTTAATATTTTTATGTTTACATAAATTATGATATATAATTTTTATGTAAATTATAATACGAACGTATAAATTTTAATATTTTACATAATACAAATACACAATTCATCAAATCTAATTGTAAATTTTTTTTTTTCAAGTAATAAGGCATACGACGTATTCCTATTTATATGAATTTGACAATCCAAATTAAAGTCTTCACTATTTCACCTAATTAGACCAAACAATTGAACTTATAGATGGAAGAGGGTTAAAAATTAGCGATTAAACAAACAAAAAAAATGGTAGTTGCGGAGTTAAAATCTTTTTTTTTTTTTTAATAAAACGAAAATATGCTCAAATTTGGCTACTAATTTGGTTTGAAATTAGGGTATCTATCATGTTTATCCTTTCTAGAGCCGACCTAGGCATGGTTCTTTTATTTTGGACATTACGGCTAAATTGATAACAAAAGTTTTATGAATTGGTATATTAATGAATTTGGTTGTATTTACTTTCTTTAAAATTGTGACAGAATGTTTATTTTGCTTCTTAGCATATAGCCAAAAAAAAAAGAATTCCATTTGATCTGGATCAAGCTTTTTGCATATTTTTGTTAATTTCCGAATTGTTCATCCAATTATTAATTAATTCTATCCTTTAAGAACTTCAAAACAATGAGTAGAATTAGGAGTATAATTGATCGAATTCGAGTTGATATAATATTAAACTTAAGTTCGAATTCGATTTCAAATTTAAGGTTCGAATTCAGCTCAAATTCGATCTAATTTTATTTTTTTAGTTCGAGCTCAACTTGAGATAGAAATTGAGCTATTTAAGGTTATTCGATTAGACTCGATTAATATGTAAAAATAAATTCGATTTTTATATTTGACAAAAGTTCGATTATTTATACTCAAGTTCAAAATATTTTATCAATTAAAATAATTAAAATATATTAAAATATAAAAACTCGATTAGGCTCATGAGTAACTTGAGTCAGATATAAAAATACTCGAACTCCACTCAATCGATAAATCAAACTACTCGAATTTGAACTTAATTCAATAATAACCAACCGAATTTAAATATCTTAAAAATATTAATATATCATTTACACCTTTAAGTAGAATGGTCCATAGCACAGCATTAGTTTCTTTGTGAATATTTTGATGAAAAAGCCTAGTTATGACATAATGTATAGTTTTATCTTCGTCTCAAAATATTTATCATATATTGATTTTTATAAAATTGAAATAAAAAAGTTTTGATTTTAATGTATTTAATATTAAATTTTAAATTTTTTTATAAAATTAAAATTTCATGAATTTTAATGTCAAAAAGTTTTAAAAAATCATAAAAAAATAATTTTAAAATATAAAAAATAGTTTTAGATGCTAAAAAAAGGACATAATTTTAGGACATCTTTAAAAGGAAAGATGGACAAAAAAAATGAGATAGAAAGAGTAAATGAAATAGCTTCGTTGAATGAATCTAAGTCAATTCATATAAACACTAAATTACATGCTTAAGATTATCCAATTATCGCTTAATGTTGTTAGTATAAAATAAATTTTAATTTGAAAATAAAAAATTTAAATATTATTTTTTATGAATATTATATAAGCTAAAATAATAATAATTTACATCAGAGCCTCAAAATTTCATTCAAAAATAGAAATTAACTCTTGACATTTTATTATAAAAAATTAAAGTTATGAATTTTTATTTTATTATAATTATAAATATTTCATATTTTGTTAAAATTTTCTTGATTGAAGGATGTTATTTATAAAAACTATTTTTGTGAAGTTATTTAGATGAATGAAATGATAGATATTTAAAAAATTAATTTTAATATTTTATGATAATTGTACTTTATTTTTTTATTTTCAAATTTTAATAAATAGAATTACAATAAAATAAAAATTAATAACTTTAATTTCATTCAATAAAAAATCAAGTTTCTTAAATTGGTATTTTCAACCTATGACTTCCTTGGCTGTCTAATTCCTCCTTCATTCAATTGATCTGTTCAATTTTCTTTTGCAATTTTGATTTTGTTTTTGTTCAAATCAAGTGGATGAGCAAGCCCATAAAGCAATAACATTTTAATTTAATTATAAATGAAAAACATTGACATTTCAAAGTATTTACTAAAAATGAACAATATTTCCCAACAAAAAATGTTTAAATTAATTACTTATAACAAATTTTTATATTTTTATTATATCAAAATAAATCTTTATTTTTTTATCTCGATTCAAATAGTCCCCGGTTTCAAATATAAAATTAATTTATGTCAAGAGTTTATTTAGGTATAAGTTAAAAATTAAAGACTTAATTGAATACAATAAAAATAAAGAGATTTATTTATGTAAAATGATAAATTTTAAATTTTTTTTATTATGTCAGTTAATTTAAAAACTTCACAGATAATGGGATAAAATAATTTATTATATAAGTTGTAACAACTTATTGATCAAAAGATAAGGTTTAAGGACAGTATATGATTGAAGGGACAAGCTTAAACACTACTAAATATAGATGTAACAGTGTTAAGAAGCCATTGTATCAGCAAGAAAAAAAAAAAAAAAAAAAACTGACCTGTTCTCATTGCAGTTAAGCAAACAGATTCTGGCTAATAAAAGCTTCTAACAAATTGCTTTGGATTTGGCCTTTCACCACATTCTCTGTTTGCTCATTCTCCTCTCTATCTCTGCTTTTTCCATGCAGCATTCATATTAGTTCCTTCCATCTCATAATTTCGCTCATGGGAGATCATCATCGTTCGATGTCGACAGATCTTTATGGCATTCTTGGCATGTCAAAAGCTTCATCAATTAAAGATATGTCATGTAAGGCATACAAATCTCTTGTCAATATATGGTATCCTTATCATAGAAGTCATCCAAACAAAACCGAAGAGGAAGGCGATTTTAAAGATATTGATGAGGCTTGCAAGGTTTGTACCTGTAATTTCCATGGAAACTCAATGTAAAATGCTTACATATACATGCATATATCGCCAGCTTATACATTTTCATTCCCATTTTCCCTTGTTTTCCTTGAAGAAGAAAAAATTCTTTTTCATCTCATTTTAAAACTCGTAAAAGATCTATATATATGTATGTCAATGCTTGCTTTTATTCGAATTTCAGACGATCAATGGCAAGATGCAGGCAGAGAAATATAGAAGTAGCGGTAAACCTTCAAAAAGAGAGAATCATAATCATCTAAGCGTGGATGATATCTTCTTTTCTCGCCAATCTTCTTTTCTTTCCAAGTGTTCAAGTAGAAGGAGCCACACACCTTCACCTAGACCAACCTACTTGTCAAAGAGTTCAAGCCGGACGAGCAGCCCTTCTAAGAACTTGAATTTCTCTTTCTCGAGACGCCGAAGGAGCAAAGCGGAAGATGAAAGATTAGCCTCCAATGTGTCAAGAAGCGTCAGCAGTCGAAACTCACCGTCCCCTCTTTCAAGAAGCCTGAGTAGAAGCTGCACATCAGAAACTGAAACATCTAACGTTCCCAGAAGTACAAGCAGGAGGAGTACCACTCCTATTATATTCTCTCAATCCACTGCCCGGAGAAAACCTCCCCCAGTTGAAAAAATGCTTGAGTGCACCTTGGAGGAACTTTGCCATGGAGGGTTAAAAAAGATCAAGATCGTCAGAGATGTCATCTCGGATGAAGGGTATGAAACTCCATTTCCCGAGTACTAGTAATGTTTAGAGGCAGACATCATTCATAATCTGTACCATTAAGTCAAAGATCTGATACAATATTAAAGAGTAATAGATTTATCATTTATATAGTTGCATGATGCTTTAATAATAGATTTTAATTTAACTTGATGCAAAATGTCGACAGAATAATTGTCCAAGAAGAGGAGACACTAACAATAAATCTACAACCAGGATGGAAAAAAGGAACAAAAGTTACATTTGAGGGAAAAGGCGACGAGAAACCAGGCTATCTTCCAGCAGATATCATTTTCTTGATACAAGAAAAAAGGCATCCTTTGTTTAGGAGGCAAGGCGACGATTTGGAGATTGTTGTTGAGATCCCTTTGGTAAAGGCTCTAACAGGTTGCTCCCTTTCAGTTCCTCTGCTAGGAGGGGAAACAATGAGCATACATATTAGTGATATCATATATCCAGGATATGAAAAGGTCATTCAGGGCCAAGGCATGCCCAATTCCAAAGGAGGAAAGCGAGGTGACTTGAGAATCACGTTTCTTGTCAACTTTCCCACTGAATTGACGGATCAACAACGCTCTGAAGCATGTAATATATTGGAAGATTGTTCTTGAATGATAATTAGATAATCCCCTCCTTATGCATTGTAATCGTTTACAGGATGCAAAAGTACTGTTCTCTTAAATGTGACACTTCTTGTGTGATTGATGACTAACATTCCAAGTGAAATGCGCAAATATGAGTAAACCATGAGAAGAAAGAAAAAATGCACTTTTAAGTTCTGAAGTTATATCTGTATGATTTCTGTCAAGTCAAGGACTGGAGTTCTTTTTTGGAGGAAATTGCTGCCGAGAAAGAAAGGAACATCCACCACTGCCCCAATAATATTTTCTCCAAAAGTCACAGAGTCTCCACCTGAAGCCGCTTACTTTTTGCAGTAGCCTAAAGCAAAATGGTCTGATTCCTTTCTTCCAGCTGTATCGCTTGTCTGCTTTCCCATCTGCAGGTGTTTAAAGCATAGCTTTGTGGCAATGGTTCCCAATAATACCTAAAATATGAACCATAAGTGAACAAATTCCCTCTTTCTTTCAACATATACATGTATTTCAATCATACGGATCACGTCAGGGAAAGAAATGAACTAGAAACATTTTCCCGTTAACTGTAATTGGGCAGGTTCTGCTGGAGCTGACAAATGAATTCCCCATAGTCTCTGTTTAACTCCATCATATGTAATGAGTCTTGATATTGTCCCTTGCCCCTTATAACAGCCTAACGATAATAGAGTTAGATAAAGCATCTTCGTATTTTTCTTGGCAGATATTCAATGGTCTGGATTAGCTACCCTTGTTCAAAGAAACTGTGTTCCAAGGACCAGCCACCAGAACATTAAGTTCATTAGTGAGCCCCTTTCCAGGAGCTGGTCTTCCTGCATAATTTAGATTTGCATAAGAACTTATTGAATTAATATTGTTTGGGAGGAAAAAAATTAGATTGATTAAATCTGAGGCATTCCCAAAAATTTTTTTCTTTTAATTCTTAATCTACCATCAAATCCCCTACCTTAATATTTATTTAACTGAAGAGAATATTATGTGTATAAATTTTTTCGAACTTACAATTTCCAAGCGCCAGCTCCAATGATCAACTGAACCAATAGTCAGACAACTATTTTAATTAACACTAGTAACAGAAACGCTAGAAGTGCTCCACTACTGATGCACTTGGCAAATGCTTGAATTTGATAATCCATATTAAGCAAATGCATAAACCTGCAGAATTGAGCAAATAAGTAAACCTTGCATAATCCGTAATTAATCTTGATGTGATATAAAACAACATTATCTATATATCAAAAATGAACTCTTTTAGAAATTCAATCGAGTTGATTTAAGAGAAATTCTGAGAAAATGGTTCTTAATCTTGATAGTTAATGGAAAATTATTGCCAAAGATTTTCCTGGCTCACTTCTCTTAATCAATCCCCCAATATAAAGCTAGTATTCAGAAATTTTAACATACGACTTCAGAGTCGAATTGCACAAAATACCCTTCAAAAGGGCTAAGCCTTTTTTTGACATCCACGACAGACAAGATTCTCCTTTCTTTGTACAGTTTCCCAGGTGAATATGGAAAGCGTTTGATCTATAAGACTGTAACACATTGGTTTTGTACCATAAATTTATGCAAGTTCATCTCTGTAATATATGATTAGAACATGACCTATAAAAACATCTAATACTAAAATCTGCCATTTCCATTGCCTTCGAAACTGCCCCCGGCTATTGGACGTTCTGTGTTGCACGATTTTCAGGCCTAGGGGAGTCTGTATAAACCTGCCCTTGTTCTCTCACATCTCTAAACATGGAAAGAAATGAATTGAGACCTTCAGATGAAGCACCTCCCAAGATCCATAATAACAGTGAACTGAACGAACTCATAGTCCCAGGATTGGGACCAGCTTCAGTTTGCTGTAGCTCAGGTTGTCCTTGAATCTGCACAGGGTTGCCACTTTGGCTCATGTTGTCAATTCCTGAGTGTCCTCGAGGCCCTGCGGTTTCTACAGCTCCATTTGCTCGCACTGCTTGGTCGGATCCAAGTCTCAACCCAGAGGTCAGATCTGTATTAGCTAGGCCTGGATTCCTGGCGTTAAATCTTGTAATGTGTAGAGTAGATGCAAGTATAGTTGACGAGGTGATCTGGAAGTCTGGATGTTGCTGAAGCTGAGACCGCCTATTCTGCATAAACCTTTGAAGTGCTGGTACCTAGAAGTAGTGTAACACGTGGATAAGTGCTAGAAATGTAAAAATTTTAATTTTAATATAATAAAAATGGGAAAATAATTCTTTTCCCAATTGACTTGTTGTGCCACATTAAAACACTTATATCTAACATAATCGAATATAGTAATAACAGTATATAAAATACCCAATGTGGACAGTCTCATTTTCTGATAAGTGGGGTATTTTTAATGTCATTAATTTCAAACTTAAAATCGTAGACTGAATTAATGTCAAATATATTTTTCCCATATTTGTTCGAAGTGCTTAAACTCTGAAGCAAAAGGAAAAAAATCCCAAGTATTCAAAAGATTGACAAACGGACTTTCCAAATAAGTATATATACAGGTTGAATCATTAGAGGCAAATACTAGTTGCCCCCCCCAATCTGCAACGCCTCCCTAATCCTACATGTCATGGCATTTATCAGCTTCATTCTCTCAAATCCCAACTTCTTCACTCTATGTCATCACTTTCCCCACACTGACCTCGCTACCTGAGGATCTCTTCACTGCAACCCATGTTTCTCTTTCAGATCCCTTACCCTCAATATCTTTATTCTTCTTCTCTTCCTGATTTACACTCCAATGCCTCCAACTCTCTCGTATTGAACTTGCATTCTACCATTTTAACTCTCTGAAATCTTACAAACCCATTTCACTCACACACACAATATACAACCTGTTCAGACTGGCTATATTGTTCTGTGATTTATTGAAATTGTTTTTGCCCTGCTGTTTTGACTTTGAGTATGGATTCTTTGTGGGTGAAATAGGTTAATGATAAGTGTCTAGGCTGTGTATTTGTTGGTGAGGCTGTTTTACATATCGTTGCTAGAGGCTACAAACTCTTATTTCCTTTCACGAACTCTTGCTAAAATTAGTTTGATTTTTGGGTTTAATTCTTGGGCTTGAGTTTTTAAGTAATTTTATGCGAAAAAAATTAGAATCTAGACTTGATTTTAGAAGCAAGGCAAGAAAGAGGAGAATGACAGTGGCTGATTGGTGAGAAATGAAAGTGTAAATTTGGTAAGCATATCAAGGATGGAGAGAATATCGTGTATATGACACAAACAAAAAGAGTGATTATGTCCAAAGAAAATAAAAAACATGTCCGTTACAATATTTTGAGGACATAACATTTCCACATCAGGTACAATGGGGAAGTAATATAAATTGGTGGTGCCTCTATAATTGCTGATATACATAACCCTTTTCTTTGCCTTGCTCATATGTCTTCAAAAACTTCCTTCTAATTAAATTTATAATTGCCTCTTGACACTCTATATTCGTTACACATCAGTTAATATTGATTAGTGGGAATGCTATAATCCTCCTAATTTTAAATATTTTCATGATGTTGGAATGTGAAGATTGTAATTTGTGGTTGTCCCTCTTAATTAAATTTTAGTTGTCTGTGAGTATATTGCCAACTTATTATGATTTTCTTAAATATATAATAATATTACATGCATTGATTAAATATAAGATTCACAGTTTTATAATTCTGTTACAAATTATTTAAAGGTGGTTAAGGATTCAGGCCTTTTTATTTGTGTGTGTGTGTGTGTGTGTTTTTTTTTTTTATCTTTTCTTCTTATGTTATAAATTATGTTTATTATTACATTTTAGGAAAATTTTATAAAAAGATTAAAGTTAACTTCATATTTATTTAAAATAAATAGTTCACTGGTTACTAAATTATAAATTCACATGAAAAACACAAAAGTAATCAAAAGAAATTTAATTATTGAAATTTTATTTTAGAATGAAAAACCTGTGCTAAGGCTGTTGAATGTTAGTTGCCACTAAAAGAGTAGTTAACAAATGATATCCAAATCATAAAATAGATAAGAAAATTGCCAGCCTGTTCAATGATCATTACCTCAAAACGATTCCAGAAGTACAGAATAAGGTGCTGCATAAATGCTGCAGTAGTAGCGAGAGCCAAATATGAAAAACCTGGAGAAATTTTTTTTAAAAAAAAAGAGACTTCAGGTAAAAGAAATAAATTCCAGCAAAGCAAATCATACCATGAACGGTATAGGATCATACCATTTGCATAGGAGAAGAAATAAATGTGAAAAACCAGAAAGTAGAGCAAAAAGAAGCGAGGAAAGAACTTTGTTGATATAGGTGTCCGAACACTGCAATTTAGAGACAGAAACAATCATATTAAATAGGTATTGCATCAGAAAATAAAAAGTAAACTTGTTTGATGCATAGGCATGTATTATATATATTAACCCAAACCGAATCAAAAGCAAAAGAAGACACAATGATAATCTAGATAATTTATAGTAGAGAGATTGAGCATGCCATTTTGCTCAAATTTATGCCTGCTTATAAACACCACCTACCTACCTAAGAAAACATGCATAACCCAACTCTTGTGAGAGAGAGAGAGAGAGAGACCTGATCAGTATAAATAGTTCACACAACCAGACAAGAATTAGAACCATGAATGCCAATAGCTGATCATCATAGAATTCAAATAGAAAAAATAGGATGCCAATCATAATCTGCAAGACAACAATAACATCAGTAAGGCCAGAGGCAAACACTTGGAAGTTCAAATGAAAAGCCAAGAGATATTTTTAAATCAGAAAAAGGCTTCTAAGAGAAATTATTTTGAGATAAGTTGAAATAAGATTTATGCCTACCGGTACAAATACAAGTGATTCAATCACATGCACAAATATCAACTGAAACGTTGGAAGCCTATGTCGAGCATGGTGTTGAAGCTGCACTGCAATAATTTGACAAAAAGGAGATCCAATCATATTTAAAGATTGAAGGAATAATGATACATTATAACAACATCAACGTGCTTCCATGTAACTCTAGCCACAGGATTCATTCATCAATATAATCTGATTGAATGACTCCTTTGCTTAACTAAAGGTAAAAAAGTCAAAACATTCTAGAGAGCCTAATCAAAAGTGAAAATTCATGCGACAAATTAGTAACATTTTTTAATCCTGAACTTCTTCAACAAATATGGAATAAACATGATCCCATGGGTACACATGCTTAGCATTGCTTGCACCATGTCACATACTCAGCCAAGAAAATGGAATTTAACAAACCTGTGAACTTCAACATGCGAGTCTGGGTTTCCCTCAATGTAAATGATACTGACATGGTGGTTGTGAAAAATACAAACAAAGACATCATTAACACACCACATTTGGTGACAAGATAGTCTGCATTGAAACCAGATAAAAATACATAACTCAGCCAAAGAAAATTTCATCCACTTGCAACAAAACAAGATTTAAGAAATGAAATATGACAGTTATATTTTATCATCTTAGCCATTTTACAAGGATTGAGTGTCATTTTTCTTACCATTTCTACTTCTTTCTTTCTTATTTCTATCTCTATTTTTGTGTTTTTTAAGTATGTGCTCTGAATTACATTTGCATCTTCCAGTGCAAATGGGCCATGACTGAAAACCACAACCTTGGGCATGGTATAGCCACATTTTAGTTAAATTGCTTCTGCACAAGTCAGAGTACCCATTCCAATGACCATTAAAACATTAGGAAAAGATAATTACCTAATTGCAAAACAAATAGGGCCAATTTACATGCACAAGTAATGTTGTAGCATTAGATGGCCAAGCACATGTAATAAAAGGTCTTAACGAGTGAATGAAGTTAAAACTACAAACCTCCGAATCTTGCAGAACCATTTGGCAGTTCATGTGCATAACTAAGATTATAGAACTCCTTTGTCTGAAAATTATAAAGATAACCTGCAATGTAGTTTCCAAACATATGTAAAGAACATAGAGCAACAAAATAGCCCAGAATTCACCATGCAAAAAGAGCAACCAACATGTAAAAATATGATCCAACCAATGCATAAAGCCCACCATCATAATGCTATTATAAATTTAGCATCTGTGATATGCTATAGACAAGATACCATAATATCAGCTACACTTAAATTTAAGTAGAAGGTGACTGAAAACATTTAGGTATAACAAAAGCCACTATTAAGATTATAAGTATGTGCAGAGAGTCTACTTATAATCTCATGATGACCACTATCAGCACTAGGATTAAGCATGATGACCACTATCAGCACTAGGATTAAGTACACAATGTTAGAAACCTGTCTGTTAGATTAGTGAATATATAAAGAAATTTTCCATTCAAAGATGCTGTCAACTTAGAAATTAAACCAGAGCAAGAAAATGGAAATAGTACTTAGAATTACATCAATAAAACTTGAATTAAACCACTGTGTGTGATATTTGACAAAAAGGCAAGAATTATAACTTTGCTATGTTAAGTGACTAATAAAATGAGAGCCAAGTATGAAAAGATTAAACAATCTTAAAATGAAATCAGCAGAGACATCCAACGAGCTGTATCAAATATTATGTGATACACCTCGTACAAACACATTTCCTTGCATATTGTAAAACTCCAAAAGCCACCAAAAAAAAGTGTGATGCTGCATCCATATACAAAGAATTACCTTGACCAGGCTGATGCAATAAACTATTCATCAAAATAGTGTCATATCCAACAAAAATATAGATAAGAAGTTGCTGCCATCTGCAAATAAGATGGCATTCATTAATATATGGCTTTCTTATTCTGTATACTCACAACATTTAGCACCCCACAGGAAGATAAAAATGTATAAATCTAGGAAAAGATGAAAATGGCAGTAGCAAATGGTAATGTTCAGCATATATAACCTGTTCCCAAAACAGGGATGTCGAGCTGATACGCTAATATTAATAGTACGTATATTATGCTGAGACTTAGCCACATCAGGCAGCAAGAAGTAACCCTGCAGCAGTAGCATTTTTATATTAAAATGTAAAATACTAAACTTCAAAAGATGGATTTTTTTTTATCCACAAACATTAATATATCTTTGAATGCAGCAAAGATTAATCAAAACAAAGGCAGAAAATTCAGACAGGGAGAGGAAATACCTTTTCCATAGTATAGAGATAAGTTGGTTCAAATGCTTTACTTCTTTTCTCAAGCCAGCGCACTGAAATCAATAGCACAAACTTTTATTAAATTATAGAAATTATACGCCCTAGGACACCCAAAAAAATGCCAAATTAGTTGTACATATTGTGTGTGTGTGTGTGTGAAAAAGCAACTAAGTAAATATTCTTAAGTTTAGGTTGCATATAAAACATACTGTGTCTTATCAAATTATGATAATACACAGCAAAGAATACTCTTATTAATAAGTAACAAATTCAATCTAGAATTACATACATGGCACCAGCTATTGTGATTTGATATTCATAATCAACAAAGCAAGAAACAGAACCAGTTAAAAGACAGAAAAACCAAAATCTTCCCGTATCAAGAGACCTAAGGATTCGTAATTATCTCCGAATAATCACAATTTGTACCAAGAGAACAAAGATAAGTAGACAGAATGATTGTATCTACCTGCATAAGGGTTAAGCCTGTTGAAGTGAAGTATGCGCAACAATTTAGGAACACCAAGATTTAAACGTATACCTATTATATTCTGCACTTAAGAAGTTCAAACTTAGCAAAGAGAAGTTTAAGCCATGACAAAAGGACATGTTTGTTTCCTCATTTACTCACCCACAACTTCTGGAAACTTCCAAAGATCTGAATTGCATTTCCCCAAATGAAAGATAAACGTCTGTACCACTTTTGGCCAAAGTGAACAACAGCTGCTTTAAATGCCTGTTTTGCTGATAAATAGAAACCATTATGTGTCTCCTTCTCAATTTTAACAACCACATCATCAATACTTGCCTTACAGCTTGCACTGTTGGTAGAGCTTACTGCTTGCTGCTCAACAAGTTCACCATCAGTCTTCCAGAACTTTAATGCCAATTTTCCCCTCCTAGCACCTAAATCAAACCAGTTCAACCAAAACTTGGCAGCCAAGAACATAAACCCATCATCATCAACGTTTGCAACTTCTACATTTTCAATTACAGTTTCCAAATCAGGATTATTTACAACAGCAAGTTCAGACTTGCTTTGTGACCACATGCCAGCACTGGATATCTACAACAAAGAACAAATTTGAGGTCTAAGGTGCAGTAGTTTATATTAAACTGATTTCTCATTCTCTTGAAACTTTATTTATCATTAATATGTTAACAAAAATAAAAGCTGATAGCCTACCTTAATCTGAATAAGCTGGACTTCCTTTGACTCTACTCCAGAGAGCTCACTCGAACAGCCAGGCTTTATATGCAAAAAAGCATCACAATTCATTCAAGTTTTCCTCGCATGTTAAGAAAAGCAATTTAAAGAAGAGGAAAAGAATAGAAGAAGAAGAAACAAATCACATGTTGGCCATCCCTCTCCCACTGACATCTCCTTTGAAAATTACCATCCATTGCATGATGATATTAACAATCCTGCTCACGCTATTGTCAGAAACAATGAACCACCTCTAGCCATTTCCATTATTTGAAAAACATAATTTAAAGGGCGTTTTGGTCATCGCAATCATCAATTATACCATTAACATCAGTTGCTCAAACATCAGGAGTAGAGAAAACAGTTTCTCAAACTTTGATTATAAAAAGCATTTAGTAAATCAGTCACTCAAGTTTAACCTTGACAACAATAGAAACGCCGTCATGAGTATAAATTTTGAATGGCACGAAACCAGAATGAAACTATAAAAAAAAGCTATAAATATAAATTAAACCTGACACAGTTTCAAAAACTAGAAATACCCAGGAAAATGTTGCTGAAATCACATCAACTGAACTCTTATAATCCCGATTAAGCAATTTCCAAGAAAAGCCAAATCAAAAAACCCCCCAACAAATTAAAGAAATCGCAGGCAAAAAAAAAAGGGTAAGTGTTGAAATACCTGTTGAACATAATTGGCATGCAGCACAACAAGAATAGAAAAGGAAGTAATGGCAATGAAGAGATAGATATACTCCAAAGCTACTCTCACTCTTGGCGTTAGTATCTGAGAGAATCTCTCTTGAACCCTTATAAACGTTTGCTCTGGATCCATCTCTCTCTCTCTCTCTCTTCCTCAACTTTCAGATGAAACAACCTTTCATTTCTTTCTTTGGCTCTCTCTTTTCTTCTTCTCTTTCTGTATCAAGAAATTTTTATGGGTTTATCTTACAATAGCTGTCGGATATTGAATGGTTTTTTGGGATTTTGGTTTTGACCGCCATCGTGATTTTTATGAGTCTTCTTTTATATATATTTTTTCTTTTCTTGATAATGAGCCGACAGCGTTGGATGATAATCGAAAACGACGACGCTGGCATTTATGGATAGGCTTGTTAGGAGGTGTTTGGCTAGAAAGTGATGGGTGTTCCACGTCAAGGACACGATCCTATTTACCTCATTTAATGACAATCTTATCCCGCGTCAGGTATAAATTCTCTTCCTTTTGCTCTTATGTAATTAGAGTTCATAATTTAAAATAAAATATAAAAATTTTATTTAAATTTTTAATAATAATTATATATAAATTTAAAAAATTAAAATATATATTTTATATTTTTTATAAAATATAATATAAATTAATATATAAATTTTAATATTTTATATGATAAATTTAAAAGTTTTTTTAAAGTTAAAACTGACACTGGCAATAGCGGTATATACTTAATTAATTAAAACCTAAGCAGTGGCAGTGTCTTCTGTGAAGTACAAATTCGTATTCACTACTAAACAAATGAAAGTACATTACAGGCATGAAGTCCAAGCTTCTTCCTCTTCCCATTGTTGCCATACTCATGGAAAAACAATCTCCCTTTCTCTGTGTCTGTGTTTTTCTCTTTCACCTGATTACAGTGATATTTTTCTCTTCTTCCCTTCTGTGTTTTTTCAACTGCCGTCATCCACGATCTCATAATCATGCTACGAAAGCCCTTTAACTCTGCTATGCCTACGTCGGATTTCTCTTCTTACGTTCATGTTTCCCAGGGAATTACTGTCACTGATTGATTTTCTTACACATTCAACTGGTTAATGGCGTCACCTGTTTTTCATATATGGAGTCGTGTTCTTTTCCTCAAAAACAAAAAAAAAAAAATTGTTTATATTGTTGGCTTTTGCTTTACTCATCTGATCATCAGCTATTCAACAATCATCCATGAATGTTATTTTTTAGGTTTCAAAGATATATATATATATATATATATATATAACTTATAGTTCTTGCATCGTCCTGAGATGATATGCCTACTGTTTTTTGTGGTTTTAGCAATTCCCCACTGTTGCAGTCAGTGGGACGAAAAAAAAATCGAAAAATTTTAAAATCAATTTAAAAGCATAGGGTTTAGTTTATATCAAATTTGGATATTAAATATATATATTAGATTTAGATCAAATTTTAAATAAAAAAAATTTAAATTAAATTGAATTATAAATTTTTTAGTTTTTATATATATTTTAAATTTTTATAAAATAAAAATAATAATTTATATTAAAATCCACTTAAATTTACTAAAATTTTATATTAAAATAATATATAAATATTAAGAATTGATAAATCAAACCAAATTCAATTCGGTTCAAATTAAAATTAAAATTTATAATTTTATAATATTATATAATATTTAAAAAAATTGATCCGAATTCAATTCAAACCGTTATCATCTTAACAATTAGTATTATTTTTTCTTAAGGTGTAGTAGGGGTGAATCCAATTTTATCAACAATATTCTCTTACTTAAGTATAAATTACTAGTAATTAAATTGCTCATTTACTCTCTTGTTTGTTTCCTTGTTATTTTGTTTAAAAAACCAAAAAAAAAAAAAGACCACTAATATTAGATAAAATTATCTAATTCTGACTATGGAATTTTCTATTGAAAAAATTGTTTGAAGCACCTAATTAGATTATTATATATTTTTTGTTAGTTCACTCAGTGAAATTTATTTTCATCAACGAAAAAATTTTAGATTCGAGTTTTATTCGTGATTATTTATTAGATCATCTCAAATATATGATCTGTAATTATTTGTTTTAAATTATCAAATACGATATATCTTATATAAATATGATATATCTTATTTTAATCTGAAAGATTAAATAATTTATTTATTTTTAAATTTTTTTTATATAAAAAATATATATATATATATATATATTCTTGGTCTCTGCAACGTAGATTTGATCAGAGACGTCATTCTTTCACGCCTCTCTAGATCTCACAACTATTAAAATCTTTAATTAATTATATTATTACAATATTGAATTTAGTGGTCAAATTTAAAAACGTGTAATTTTTTCTCATTTATATAATTATTTTTAAAAAATATCATTTAACAAATTTAGTATTTAAAATTTAACATTAGTAATTTTATTTTATTTTTTAATTTGTATTTAAATAAAATTTTATTTTAGACAAAAAATTAATTTTTGTTAAGAGTTTATTTAAATATAAAAATTAAAATTAAGAATTTATTTAGGTATAAATTAAAATTAAAATTTATTTGAGTATAATAAAATTATAAAAAAGTGTTAAAATTTAAGTTTTTTTATTATTTTAATCTATATATTTGGACTTCTCTATTCTCTGACTTTATGTATCCATCATTTCCTTATTAATCATAATTAGTTTATGACATTAAATTGTCGGCCTCACAGCAGTAAATAATATTCTTATATATATTCTCTATCATCATAACCTTATGACCTTCCTCTTGTTGTAATGGGGGTTTTACTTTCCTTCTTTCTTTGCGAGGATGTTCTTTCCATTATAATCTGCGTAAGGCTTTGGAACAGATTCACTTTGCACCTTTTTTTTTTTATCTGTTTTCGTGTAATCATATCAAATTGGTTTACCATTTCTTGTGCTATGTATATTGTTTTTTCATTTTTGTTAAAAATATTGACTCAAATCTCATAAGAGATTTGTTTAAGATTTGTTAGAGATTTGTCAGATATTGCTTGATGGACAAGAAGATTTGCAAAAGAAGAATTCCAAGAGAAAGATGATTCTTAATAGGTAAGTTTGACTTGCAAGAGAAGAATTCTAAAAGGAAAGGGATTCTTAATAGGCAAGTTTGACTTACAGGAGAAGAATTCTAAGAGGAGAGAGATTCTTAATGGGCAAGTTTGTATGGTTATAAATAGGTGAAGTCTCTACAGGGTTAAGTATGAGAAAAAGATGTAAGAGAATTGTAGGGTTTTGTGGGATAGACACCCCATAAGAGTATTGGGGCTCTACGTCTTATGGGTGTGTATGTTTGTTTGTGAGTGGACTAGAGGAGACTGAGAGGGTCCACATAGGTATGATGTATGGGAGCATATGAGTATGTGTTTGATTATGTTGAAAGAGTGCACAAGGGTTTGGGTTTGTGTTTGTTTGGGTTGAGAATACTTCATAGGACTAGAGGAGATTGAAAGTGTCTTATGAGTATTAATTGTTGAGTGAGGTTGATGATTTGATGTATGTTTGTAATTCTCTACAACTAGTGGATCTTGTTTCTCATCCGTGGATGTAGGTCAGTTGGATCGAACCACGTTAAATTGTTGTCTCTTGTGTGTTTTATTTATTGTTTGATTTCGCTTCCGCTGGTGTGATTGGATTGGAGGCTTTTAGCCCAACAAGTGGTATCAGAGCTGTGGTGATCCCCAACAAGTGGTATCAAAGCTGAAGGTTTGAAATGTGAGAAGAGTTGAAGATTCAAGATGTGAAAAGAGCCAAAAGTTTGAGATATGAAAGAGCTGAAAGTTTGAGATGTGGGAAGAGTTAAAGGTTTGAGAAGTGCATGATTTGAGATATGGAAAGAAGCAAGTTCAGAAGAGCTCGATTTAAGAGAAGAGTTCGAGTTCGAGTTTTGAAGATTGAGGATTGGTTTGTATGAAGCGTGAAGACATAAGAGAAGAGAAGATGATTGTGAGACTTCCGTTGTAGGTGGAGCCAAGCATGTCTAGCATGAAGACAGATGATTGATTGAATTTGAGTCAAGGTGGAGATTGTTGGGAATATTGACTCAAATCCCATAAGAGATTTGTTTGAGATTTGTTAGAGATTTGTCAGATATTGCTTGATGGACAAGAAGACTTGCAAAAGAAGAATTCTAAGAGAAAGATGATTGTGAGACTTCCGTTGTAGGTGGAGCCAAGCATGTCTAGCATGAAGACAGATGATTGATGGAATTTGAGTCAAGTTGGAGATTGTTGGGAATATTGACTCAAATCCCATAAGAGATTTGTTTGAGATTTGTTAGAGATTTGTCAGATATTGCTTGATGGACAAGAAGACTTGCAAAAAAAAAATTCTAAGAGAAAGATGATTCTTAATAGGTAAGTTTGACTTGCAAGAGAAGAATTCTAAAAGGAAAGGGATTCTTAATAGGCAAGTTTGACTTACAGGAGAAGAATTCTAAGAGGAGAGAGATTCTTAATGGGCAAGTTTGTATGGTTATAAATAGGTGAAGTCTCTACAGGGTTAGGTATGAGAAAAAGATGTAAGAGAATTGTAGGGTTTTGTGGGATAGACACCCCATAGGAGTATTGGGGCTCTACGTCTTATGGGTGTGTATGTTTGTTTATGAGTGGACTAGAGGAGACTGAGAGGGTCCACATAGGTATGATGTATGGGAGCATATGAGTATGTGTTTGATTATGTTGAAAGAGTGCACAAGGGTTTGGGTTTGTGTTTGTTTGGGTTGAGAATACTTCATAGGACTAGAGGAGATTGAAAGTGTCTTATGAGTATTAATTGTTGAGTGAGGTTGATGATTTGATGTATGTTTATAATTCTCTACAACTAGTGGATCTTGTTTCTCATCCGTGGATGTAGGTCAGTTGGATCGAACCACGTTAAATTGTTGTCTCTTGTGTGTTTTATTTATTGTTTGATTTCGCTTCCGCTGGTGTGATTGGATTGGAGGCTTTTAGCCCAACAAGTGGTATCAGAGCTGTGGTGATCCCCAACAATCTTCACCTCAATGTTTCCATTTAGGGTTTAGTTATATATAAATCCATGCCTGTGTTTTGGTCCTAAAATTTATTGCGTCCTTGTTTGCAAATTGACAAGAGATTCTCAGTTTGACCTTTCTCTTTTTCTATTTTGTGAATGAATTAGGAATTTTGTAGGCTCTCTTTGATATATCTGCAATCAAGCAGCTTAATATATACAATCATTATACATCTCTGCATGTCTTCTCCGCATCTTGAAAGTTTCTCCCTGATTCATGAAGCCACAGATGATTTATGGCCACTTGCACAAGAAAATAACAGTAGCCTGGTATTCTAACGGAGCATGTTTCATCGTAGCCAAGAGGGAAGAAGTATTGGAAAAGAATTACTGGAAAACGGATCAAATGTTCATCAGAAAGATGATGGTTTCTCAACTTCTATTCAAGAAGTTGATCAATGGCCGTTTCCACAAGGAACCACCTCGTCACCACCTATCATGGATAATGAAAATGGCAATAATAAGTTGGATTCTATTTTGTTTCTTGAGCAACAAAATTCCGCATTACCCGATCACAACATTGATAAGGTATTGTTACATAAGGATTTACAATATTATTGTCCCAGCAGATTCGACAGTGGTTTGTTATCTCCTCTCTATGCTTCAGATTATGCCTGTTCACTTCTACAAGTTAGCAGCACATTACTATCTATTGATGATAATGCAAGAACCAATGAACTTGATTCTAGCACGTTTGTTTTAGAACCAGTGGAGCCAAATATGTACAAGGGATCATTGGAAAACGGACATAATTATCCCATTGATGACAGTTTGTCTGCACCTCCGGAAGATTCAGATGAACTAGATTTACTTCTACAAGAAAGTAGCAGTCCACAGCTTCTTATTACGGATGAAAAAACAAGGGTTGATCAAACTGAGACGGATGTTAGCTTTTCTTCTTTTTCCCTCTTTAATTATGATCAGATACATAGAGAGCTAACCCATGAGGAAGAACGCGAAAAAATAATAAATGAAACTAATATTAATTTAATTAGTTTATATAGTTACATATTTTTAAAAAATTATATATAATATATTTAAATTTTAATACCTATAAATTTATAAATTTTTTTCTGTTTTAAATTATTAAAAATTTTCAGAATAGACCATTTCAAAAAAAAAAAAAAAAAACCAATAGACAAGATTCTTGCATATTGTTTGGCTCTGCTCTATTTAGAGGGGTTGACATCCTTCTTACTATATTTTACCTACGCTCAATTTGATAGGGAACAAAGAAAGGGATAAAGAAGGAAAAAGTATTAATCAAATGATTGAGCTATATAATAACATATGCTCTTTTATTCAACTATTAAATTTTTTTTTTTCATCTTTTATCCCTTTTTTTTTTTTTTTATTCCTAACAAACGAAACCATTGTCATCTTAAAACATAGGTAAAAAAGACACATTTAATAGTTCTATAATGATCTTCTACTATTTTATATTATGCTTTGACCCAAAGTCTTTTTTCAATGAAATTTTTAAAATTGACATATATATGTATATGTATGTCATATTTGATATATAAAATTATGATAAAATAAAATAAGATGATATTATAAATAAGATTATATTAAATAATATTATTTTAGTTTATATTTGATACGTGTCAGAATTACGATAGAATAATTTATTTATTAGTTAAAATTATTTTTCTTTAAAAATTATATATATGTCATGTTTTGTGTAAATAATTATGATATGATAAAATAAGACAATATTATGAATAAAATTAAAATTAAATAATGTTATTATATTTTATATTTGATACGTGTAAAAATTATGATGAGATAATTTATTTATTAGTTAAAGTTATATTTTCTCAAAATTTATATAATTTAAATTATTTATGTAATTTTTAAGAGTATAATAAAATATATAAGTTCAATTTTATAGATTAAAAATAAAAATTTTCACTTTTAAAAATAAAAATTTTCACTTTAAGATGGTTAAATTATTACCAAAAAAATAAATTTTCTTGAAATTTTATCCTTTTTTATAAATATAAGTCAAATATAATTAAAAAATTATTATCCTATCTTATTCATCATTTTATGTATTAAATATGACAATAATATATATATATATATATATATATATACATACATATATACGTAGGGGGAAGAGTGATTCTGATAATGAAGTAATAAAAGCGAAAATGAATACTAAATGAAACATTTTTTATAGTGCATTTAGGGTATTTTCATGTTTAGTATATACCTAATTTTTTATCAGAAGATTTTAAAAATATATTTTATTGCATTGATTTATTACATTTAAAATTCTATTTTCGAATTATTCTAAAAAAAAAAGTTGATTAACTTTACTTTATCAGTTGGACTAACCCTTATGAGTGAAATGAAACATCTTTACAAATATATCAGTGGACTTTTAAGGAAGCCTCGAAAATATACTATGCATTATATCATACACAAGAAAAAAAAATAACTTACAATAAATTTTTTGAAATTATCAGATAATTATATTATAATCAATTTCTTTTTTTATATATTTTTTTTTTAAGAGCCAGAACTCTACAATAAGAAAGAAGAACAGAGATTAAAATTAAGGGTATAATTGAGCCGAGTCGAGTCGATATAGTGATAAGCTTGAGCTCGAGCTCGGCTCTCAATTAGAGGCTCAATACTTGGTTCAAATTCGATCTAGTTTCGTTTTTCTAATTCGAGCTCGATTCGTAATCGAAATCGAGTTACTCGAACTCATTCGATTAAGTTCAATTAATATATTAAAATAAGCTCGATTTTTATATTTGATAAGAGTTTGATTATTCGTGCTCGAGTTCGAATTAGAATTCGAAATATTTTATTAATTAAAATAATAAAAAATTTTAAATATAAAAATTCGATTAGATTCGCGAACTATTTGAGTAAGATATAAAAATATTCGAACTTTACTCGATCGATAAGTCAAACTACTCGAGCTCGACTCGATAATAATTAAATCAAATTCGAATTTTATTCAAATCGAACCCGAATAATTTATGAGTACTAATATATTATTTATACCTTTAATTAAAATCTAACTCCTGTGTCTATTTTTTTTTTCAATGATCATTAAAATTTTTTTATTAAGCCACAGTGTTTTCTCTTAACCTTTTAGGACAAATTTGACATCTGTGTTCTGGATTTTGTCGTTAGATGACAGAATTGCTTGTCTAATAATTGCCACTTGTCTGGATGTCTATGGCTTTCTACGTAATTGATATTTCCTTTTTGGCTTTTTTTGTTGGTACAATAATTAAAGTTGACAAGAAATTATTTGCTGAATTTTCTTTTACCACGTTTTAAATGATGTAGTTAAAAAATCAAAGAGATGTGCTCAATCCCAAACTGAAAAATTCTTTGTTACGGATTTTGAGTCAAAAGGCCAATCTGTTGACCCTTTACAAAAATTTAAAGAGGCACTGAAATTGGAAATTTATTTATTCAGGATTTTTAGCAAAAGCTTAATCTCTTGATTAGAGATATAAATGATATATTAGTACTCGTAAATTATTTAAATTTGATTCAAAAAAAATTTGAATTCGATTCGATTATTATTGAGTTGAGCTAACTCGAGTAGCTCGACTTATCGATCGAACTGAATTTGAGTATTCTTATATCCGATTCGAGTAACTCGCAAGCTTAATCGAACTTTTATATTTAAATATATTTTTATTATTTTAATTAATAAAATATTTCGAGTCTAAGTTCGAGTTCGAGCATGAATAATCGAATTCTTGTTGAGTATACGAATTGAACTTATTTTTATATATTAATCGAGCGAGTTCGAGTAGCTCGAATTCGATCACGAATCGAGTTCGAGCTTGAAAAATAAAACTCGATCGAGTTCGAATCGAGTATCGAGCCCCGAATTACGAGTCGAGCTCGAGTTCGAACTCCTCACTATTTGACTCGACTCGACTCGATTACACCTTTACTCCTGACCCTTAATAAAAATCACGGAGATGCTCAACCCGAAACTAAAAAAAAGTCCAACATCGACTCGAAAAAAAAAATCAATCAAATAAAAAAATTTATTCGATATATTGATTGTAAAATTTTTTAAGTTTATAACTAAAATTTAAATGATAATGCATGTATTATTTTTTTAAATTAATTTTTTAAATGTATAAAGATATGTGTCATTATTTTGATTTTGTTTATAAAATTAAAAAATTTATTGTTAGTGTATTGATAAAAATAATAAATAATAATTTATATTAATATTAAAATATAAAATATAAAATTTTAATTTTATTAAATTTATTCATAATTTTTAAAAATTTTAAATTAGATTAATTTTATATTTTTTATGCATATTATTGTCGTCTTATATAAATATATTGTATTTCAAATTAATTATCATGCCCGAATAAAATGTTACAGATTTCAACAATCTCGCGGATCTGAAAGCAGACCAATTAATTTATACGGCATAGATTAACCATCAAATTAACGTACTGTCACTAATCGTGAACCGCCACCACACAATAATTATAATTTATTTTAATTAGTGAAAACGCTTTTGTTAGCCGTGGAAGAAACAAAACCCGACCCTGGCACAGCAACAAAATTCATACTGAACCGACTCGAAACCCTTTTCCAGAAAACCAAAGCCCCCGACCCTTGTAATGGAGGAGAAGCGCAGGGATGCGGGAAACTCGCCGGCGGCGCCGAGCTCAGTGGAGCCGGAGCCGGCATCAACGCGCCGTCGAGCTGGAGCACAGAAGAGAAAAGCTAATTCTCTTTCCGGGTCCAGCTCATCATCAACGCCGTCAAAACGGGTTAGTCGGGAGAAGTCAAACATGATTTCCTACTCTCCGATCAACCATTACGGTCCTTTAACTAGGGCTCGCCAGGGGGCGCCGAGTGGGAACCTAGCCTTGGGTTGGGTTTCGGAATTGGGTGGCGCGAAGCTCGGGGAGACGAGTTTGGTGAAAGAGAGTGTGAAGGCTGAAGATTTGGAGGAATTGAATAAGGCAAGTGAAGAGTGGGATGCTTTGGAAGCGAAGATTGAGGCTGAGTTTGAGGCTATTAGATCTCGTGATAGTAATGCGCATGTGGTTCCTAATCATTGCGGTGAGCTTTTCTTTTTCTTTTTTCACTGTTTGGTTGATGGTAAAATGGGGAGAAAAGGTCAGGAAAGTTGAAGGTTTCGTATTTTTTGGGGGGCTATGAATTGGAGAAATTATGTGGAATTTTTTCGTTTTGTGTTGATATAGGAGATCAATTCAGTTTGAAGTGAAATTTTTTTGTCTTTATTAAGTGGAAAACAAGAAAAGAGGAATAAATTTTTAATTTTTTTTGCCTGTTTAAATTGGGAATTTTCTTTATTTATGTGTTTCTGTATGATAATATGAATGCTACTATGAAGTCCATATCATTTTGCATTTGGAAAGGATTTATTGGTTGTTTTTCGTTGGGTCACCAGGAAAAAAAAGATTGGGTTTTGTTAATTGCTTTGCATGTGCGGTGTTTTCATTCAACCATAGTCTTAAAAGTCATTGCGGTTTGATGGTTACTAGTCATTTGTTTGATTTGAAACGAAGGGAATGTGAAAATGTTAATTCCATTGTAATTCCTGATTATTATAGTTTTTTCTTGTGGAAATGAGAATAAGTATTCATCTGGTTTCTTGTATTCACTGATTGTCAGCCATGCAAGAGGATGTTGGTCTTAGTTTTCATTAGCAGAGTGCAAGCTAGGGCTCTAAATGAATTGGCTTAACTGGAAGCTTCTTATTTTGATGCTGTAAAGATTGAAGGAGAAGAAAATGAAATATTAGATTCTTTGGTGTTTCCTCTTGTTGTCAGTTTGAGTATTCATCCTCTCTTTGTACTCGCAGGATGGTTTTCATGGACAAAAGTTCACCATCTGGAGGAGCATATGTTGCCTTCTTTCTTTAATGGGAAATCCCCAATGCATACCCCTGATGTGTACATGGATATACGTAACTGGATTATGAAGAAATTTCATGCAAATCCGAGTACTCAGATTGAGTTGAAAGATCTGTCAGATCTTGAAGTTGGTGACATGGATGCACGGCAGGAGGTATTGGAGTTCCTGGACTACTGGGGTTTAATTAACTTTCATCCATTCCCTCCCGTTGATTCTGCTGTGCTCAATGCTGACGGTGATGGGATGGCCAAAAAGGATTCTTTGCTTGAAAAATTGTTTCACTTTGAGGCAATTGAGTCACGCCCACCATTTGTTTCCAGTTCTAACCTTTCAACTCCATCTGTACCATCTGGGTTTCTTCCAGAGTCTGCGATTGCTGATGACTTGGTGAGACCTGAAGGGCCAGCTGTTGAGTTACCTGAGTACCATTGCAACTCTTGTTCTGCTGATTGCTCTCGCAAGCGCTACCATTGCCAAAAGCAGGTTAGTTACTAACTAATAAATAATTGTCTGAACCTTAAATTAGTTAGTGCACTGTGCAAGGGAAAAGTAACTGCAAGAGTTATGTCTGTCCAAGTTTTCCTATGTTTGTAGTCAATGTTTCAATCTTGCTGGGTGGAATTGTTATATCTATGTATATTTTGTTCATTTTTCGCAAGACATATTTCTAAGAGAGTAAGAGGGCATTCTACATCTAAAAAAAAGAATTTATATGATGTCTTCTGCTCAAGCCAAGTGATGAGGAAATCCACAAACCTTTTTAGCTACCACTTCTCATCCAACTGGTGTAGAATAGGTGTTCTGCATATAAGAAATTGAGATAACTGTTTTACACCACCTGCGCAATCTGTTTTATGCTTGAAGCGCTACTTACAACAATAAGACAATGATCTTTAAAGCTTTGTATAGACTGAATGATCACACTGTCAAATACAACTAATTTAGGAAATTTGGTTTTGATTATTTATTGATTTATTGTTCCATTTCTTTATGATGCCAATTATGTTTGTATTTGACAGGCAGATTTTGACTTATGTGCTGATTGCTTTACCAATGGGAAGTTTGGCTCTGGCATGTCTTCTTCAGATTTTATTCTCATGGAGCCTGCTGAGGCCCCTGGCCTTAGTGGCAGCAAGTGGACAGATCAGGAAACCCTCCTTCTCCTTGAGGCATTAGAACTTTATAAAGAAAACTGGAATGAGATTGCAGAGCATGTTGCTACGAAAACCAAAGCTCAATGCATTCTGCACTTTGTTCAAATGCCAATTGAGGATGTATTCTTTAATTGTGATGACAATATAGACACCAATTCCAAAGAAACTTCTGGACCTGCTGCAATGAGTGATGAAACATCTGTCCCTAAAGATGTCCCTGAACCAACAGGGTGCAAGACTATTCAAGAGGATCAGGCCCAGACTACACCAATGGAAACTTCAAAGCCTGAAGATGAAAAAGAAGTGAGGGTTAGTGAGGAAACGTCGAAACCTGAAACTGGAACTGATGTTAAAGGTGGTCCAGAAACATCAAAGCCAGAAGAAACCAATGAAGCAAAAGATGGACAAGACACAAATGAAAATTGCGCAATTATGGCTCTAAGAGAGGCATTTGAAGCTGTTGGTTATAATTTAAAATCCGAAAGCACATTCTCATTTGCTGATGTGGGAAATCCTGTCATGGCATTGGTAAGTTGAACTTGTAAGTGCATAAATTTAGGTTTTATCAATTGATGTGTTTGAAGTGAAAGCTAAGTTCATTTAACACTCTAAATTTATCCATTTTGTACATGGTTTCTGAAATAATCTTCTTATCCTAAAAAGTTATCTGGGGATAATTTATTTATGCTTTTAGAATAATTTTAAATGGCTTTATCAAGTTTGCTTCATATGAAAACTTTTGTGTCGAAGGATATACACTTGAAAGTGTAAATTTTGCTGATTGGAAAAGGATAAGGACATGACTCGATGCAGTTGTACTTATACCATTTAATCTGACTTCTTCAGCTGCTAATGAAATATTAAACCTGTCTTTTGATTCTATTTAGCTGACTGTTGGTAATTATTTTTCCTGAAATTTGCACCAAACATTGTTGGACTTACATTCAGATTTCCTCAACCTCCAAAAAAAAAAGTTATGGTAGCTTGCTTGGTCTTCAAATGAATTATCAAACCAAAAGAAATGCTGTTCTATGGCATTTTACTTTTCTTCTCATTGGCAATAGTTTTTTCCATGGTTATTTTTCCTCATCTTTTTAAGTGATTATTATGCTATATGAAGTCCTTTATTCAACTATCGCATGCTCTACACTTGTTTATGAACAATCTTCATCACTTATGTTTAGAAAATTTTCCTCATTAAACTTTGCAACTTTTTCTCTTAAGATGTTTATCCTTGATTCCACTTAGGGATGGCAACGGGTCGGGTTGGGGCGGGTTTTTGCTCGCCCTGAACCCGACCCGATTATTACAACCATAAAACCCCATACCCGACCCGACACGACTCGAAATTAATAAAATATTACTTTTTACAATATAAAATATTATTTTTTAAAATATAAATATATAATTATATATAAATACAAAATTAAAAAATAATTTTTAATATAATATCAGGTCGGGTTTTAGGCAAACCCGACCCGACCCTGATTTTTTTTTCCTTAGTAATACTTGACCCAATCTTACCCGAAATCCGATTTAAAAAAAAAAAAAATCGACCCTATAGGGTCGGGTCGGAACCCGTCGGGCTCGGGTTGGATTGCCAACCCTAATTCCACTATTCATTATTTTCCTCTGTTTATTCATGGCGATATGTTATAACTTAATGTTGTTCCATCTGCAGGCAGGATTCTTTGCACGTTATGTTGGACCCAACATTGCTGCTGCTGCAGCCCAGAGTACACTGAAATTGTTATCTGGTTATTCTCCCAGCATTCAACTGGCTGCAAGGAACTGCTTTCTTTTGGAAGATCCACCAGATGACAAGAAGGAACCAACTGGTTCCGAGAGGTATGTTCACCTATTTCAAGCTTATATTTCCTTAGCAATTTGTGAATGTTATATCTGATGTTAGTTAGAGATTGGCAGTGTTGTCAATGATATGGGTAATTGGGATGCTCAAAATGTGGAAAACTTGGAAGACAAAAGGCTCAACAAGGAGTTGTCCACCCCAGTTTTGGGTCAGAAAAGATCATCAAGCAACCATGGTAACCAAAACCCTGAAGTTTCTCTTCCTGAAGAAAAGATGACATTGGCTTCACCCAATGACCTATCAATAGATAAAAAGGAGCCAGGCGCTTTTGCAAATAATGAGGAAGTTGAAAAGGCTAATTTGAATGAATCCAGCTTTATTGATCAATCAAAGGATCATCAACCAAGTGTAAAGAGGATATCAGATAACATGGCATCCCAGGTTCCGCCAAGTTCTGTGGAGGAGAAAGGGGGGAAAGAAACCTCAGCAGAAGAGCCTTCTCAGCCTCCAGAGGCAGTGAAGGAAGTAGATATGTCTGATTCTGTTCCCCTGGGAAAGAATGAGCCTTGTGATGCAGCTGCATCAAAGCCAGCGGGAGAGCAATCTGAACCGTCTGAGGCATTAGAAAATGTAGAGACAGTTTCCAGTTCCCCATCCGGAGCGAAGAATGAGCAACAACCAGTTAAATCAAGTTCTGTTGGAGAGCCTACTCAGCCTACAGAGGCATCAAATGATGTCGAAACGGTGTTTGATTCACAACCATCAGGAAGGAGTGAGCCTCAGCAACCAGTCACATTAAATTCAGTAAATGAAAACACGGCAACTACAGGTTTCTCTCCATTTCTTCCATAAATGTCTTGTTTAGAATGTGGAAGTTACAGAAACAGAACTCAATTATGCTGAAAATGTTAAGTAATATTTTATGGGAATATGTCGAAATATTTAACAAGCGTGATTTAAAATATTATATATATATATATATATATATATATATATTTGGAGGGGTGGAAGCTATACTTGGTTCTGCAAGGTTAAGCATATTCTATCTTTCATGGTTTTATGAAGAGCAGCTTGGAAAATTGAACCTTGATACATAGTGATTTTTTTACAATGTTCAATAAAATATAAACGCTATATTATAAGAACTGCCAGCTGGCAAAATACAAACTTTTTTTAAATCTTGTTTAATTAATTGTATTGTTCTTTGCAGACGAGATTAAAGTCGGTAAAAACAAGAACCGTGACTCTACAGAGACAAAAGGTGATGGTAGAATAGATAAAGTAAAGCGAACTGCAGTTACAGCACTAACAGCAGCAGCAGTGAAGGCAAAAATTCTGGCTGACCAGGAAGAGAACCAAATCCGACAACTTACTGTATCATTAATAGAAAAGCAGGTAGTTGCAAAATCCATCCAGTCTCCTTTTTCAATATTTCCAACTGGGAGCAAAATCTAAGTTTTTGAAGGCTTTAATTTGATGCAGTCACATAAGATGGAAGTCAAATTAGCTTTCTTCGATGAAATGGAGGGTGTCATAATGAGGGTGAAAGAGCAATTGGACAGGTCAAAGCAGAGGCTTTGCCATGAGCGAGCACAGATAATTGCTGCTCGACTGGGCTTGCCAGCTTCCTCATCTCGAGCAATGCCACCATCAAATACTGCAAATAGAATTGCAACAAACTTTGCAAATTCCGTTGCCAGGCCTCCTATGAGCATGACTGCCCTAAGGCCGCCAATGTCAAGACCCATGGGGCCTATGGCTCCTAACCCTTCTAACCCATTTGTATCCGCAACGGTTGCAGGAAGTTCAAATCGGCCAGCTAGCCGGGACAGTCGTTCTTCAGTTGGAACAAAGTAGTCTGTTCAAATTATTTGTGAATAGAAGTTTTCATCCGTTCTTTTGAGGCAGTCATCTTTCATGAAGTTTACCAGGTGAGTACCACTTTTTTGTGATGGCTGTGATTTTTATTCTTGTCGGTGGTGCCAGTCCTTTTTGAGTGCTTTAAGAACTTGAGATTTTACTCAGTTGAATTCATGGCAAATTCGTTTTAATGTTTCTCACATGGTAATTCCTGCCTCAGCATTGATTATCTCTGAGCAATCCAGAAACCGCTGCCTAAATTGCATATGCAGCTGGCATCTCATAATCATAGGAGCGGGGAGCAGATGACTTTTGTTCTGACTTGGATCCTATTCAAGTCAAAATGAGTTGATTCTACTAACTTGGAATTGTCTTCTGTGTTTGTATTTTGTAGGTCTAGTTGATTGTTATACTTAGGGTACACTTTTAGTTGGTGCAAATTAAACATCCATAACCTTACCAAATTCTTGAGCATCTTAAAGTGCAATTGTGGCAGATGTAACAGATGTAATTCTATTTATGAATGAATGGATAGAGATGTTTTTATGTTATCTTAGCATGCATGCATATATATATATATATATATATATATGTATAATCAAGTGCTGATCATCAACATCTTCCCCACTTGATGTCTAAAAATTGGAACTCTCAGCTTCGAGAGTACTGTATGTCTGATTAAATGCATCAACTTTGATTCTCAACGAAAATTTATACAGATTTTACCATGAGAATCAACACGGTGAGAAATTCAAAGATTCCAACCATTTCTCCTTTTCCTTCTATCGTCTCCCAAAGCAGGAAATCAAAGGCGGGTAAGTTGGCCTTAAAAGCAGCTTTTAGCTGCAGGTGAAACAGGAGATGATCCTTGTTAGAAAAATTTAAATACCCAACAAATACAATTTAAGTCAAATTTGAAACGCCTACTTACCTTTGAATTAATTAGCATGACATTGGTGTTTTGCAGAGATTATTGATTCCAAAGAGTTTATGCGCCAATATTTTCTTTAGTTAGGTATGTATAAAAGATAAAGAGTCGAGGTAGATTAGAAATTTAAAAAAAAAAAAATCTAGTTACAAACAATACTTAGTAGTGCTTAGCAGAAAACATGCATGTTAAAACAAATGAGGCCCTTGAACATTACAAAGGCACCAGACAACTAAATCCAACTAGAGCATTAACAGACCACTTTGTTTCCCAAACAAACACTAAGGTACACTGAACCGTAGTCCCATATGAATTCATAAAAATGGTTGGAAAGGCCAAATCATTTGTAACACTTGTAAAGATATTTATTGTAACCAGAAAAAACCACAATATTTTTCAACATTCGCATCCAGTTGACCTTGGTCGGCTGCTGCTTGCAACGTCAATGGTGTCAGGTAAGTATCTTCACGATCAAAATATCCACCAGAAGATGAAAAAATAAGAAATAAATTAAGTATTAATCAGACAATACAAATATAAACGAAGTAAAACTATTGAAAAATAATTTCAGAATCTAAGTTGTTAACAACTATCAGTCTGCGACAATGGGTCCTCAAAATCAATATGCTATGCAAATATTGTTATGTCTCAGTCACCAAAAAGAAAATTCAATTCATACTTTGCAGTAATAAAATATTACATAGAAAGATAATTGAATAGTGCATGGAATAAGCTAAAATTGCAGAGTAAATTAAGACACAGTTGTCCTTTCAGCTGCTGCCACAGAAGTTTGTTCATTCAAGTATGGTGTTGCCCATCTATATGCAGCAACTGATTAGAGTTACAGCTGACACTATTAAAGTACATCTTAAGGTTTTTCTCATAATTCAAAATTAACTAGGAATGTTAAAACTGATTAGGGATGGAGATGATTATGCTTTTTAACTTACATTTCTTCCTCTTCCCCACTTTTTAAGGCATTCTTTGCTATGCACTGGAAAGCTTCTTCCACATTAACTCCCTCTTTCGCAGAGGTCTCAAAATACGGAATATTTCCTTTTGAGGCACACCATGCTCGAGCCTTTTTCTCGGATACCTTTACAGTTCACAGGACGCAAATTATTATTATTTTTTATATATAGAGAGTACATAATGCTACTGCAGAGGTAGAAAAATTAACAAAAATACATACCACTCTATTGTTTCCACTATCCACATCAATTTTGTTTCCCAAAACCACAAATGGGAAGTTCTCTGGATCTGAAGGGCTTGCCTGCAAGAGGTGTCTTAAATCATCATTTGTCAACTGAATAAATCTCAGTTAGTTTGACATAATTTTCAGCAGAATTCAAGGGAGTTCAGAATATATACCTGAATAAGAAATTCTTCTCTCCAGTTGTTAAGGTTGTCAAATGATTTCATTGAGTTGACATCATATACAAGAACACAGCAATCAGCACCACGGTAGAAAGCAACACCTAGGCTCTGGAATCTTTCCTGACCAGCAGTATCCCAGATCTAGGAAAAGAAAATGATTTTGATGAATCTTGAGCAAAGTGGGCACTCAAATAACACAAAAAACCTAATCCAAAACCTGAATCTTTTTAGAATGTAATGCTACAATTTGCTAGAAGAATACTCAATGCTGGCACATAGGGTTGTCTAATGCTAAATCAGATAACCTTGCTTGATGAAGACAAAATTCATGCAGAAACTTAGCCAATCATCATCTGAATCATAGCAAACTTGCTCCTTCTCAACAATATAACCAGAGAAAAAGAAACTTTCAACAAGCCTTTAATTGAATGTAAAAAGAGGTTTTGAATTAATAAAATCAAAATGCAAAGTAAGATGCATTTGTTATTACAGATCTTAAATGTAATTAAAAAATAACTGTTAAGCTATATTCCATCAAAGCTAAGCTTGGTTCATGAGCTAGAGATAAAAATCAAGCCTCTTCTTTGTCAACAGCTGAAGCAGGCTCATCAAAATGTTAAAATGCTCCTATTCGAGCACAAGAAAGCACAATATTAACTTTATACTAAATCATATATATCTCAGTATGAAATCTAACCTGTAAGGTGAAAAGCCTATCCTCAAACTGCACTTCCTTTGTCAAAAAATCCGCCCCAATTGTCGCCTTATACTGATTACTAAACTTCTTATTTACATATCTAAAAGTAAAATGTAAAGGCAAACAATGCCATAACTCACAGTAATGACTAATTCATTCAATCAAATACGACTTCAATTTTTGTTTAATAATGAAAAAACGACTGCTGCAGGATACTGATTCATCAAAGACGTCTTCCCTACCCTGCAAATCACAGATCAAGCACAATCACAATCATAAACATTGAATTTCAAAAAAGATTCTATAGGATATCGTAAGGCAAACTAACTAGAGATTAACGACAATCGAGACCAGTAATTCGAATCGAAAGATCCGTACGGAAAACCCTAGAAACGAATTTCCATAAAAAAATTAATACATGCGTATCAATACGTAGAAATAAACGGAAAGTTGTAAGAAAAACCAACCCGCTATCGCCGAGGATGATGACCTTCAAGAGGGTTCTACGGCGAGACGGCATCGTACGAAACGCTAAGGAATCGGCGGATCTATTAAAAAGAGAGAGATAGAGAGAGAAAATTTTCTTCAAGTAGAAAGAGAGAGATTGAGTGAGAGGCTCGTGGAATTTTTTGTCTGACACAGAAAAATCCGAAGGAAAATTGGCCGAACTTTCTATTTTTTTCAAAATTCCCAAGGAAAATGGAAAAGCTGGAGCCACCTGTGATTGGGCATCTTTATATTTATATATTTTGGGTTTTTATTTTTTTAATGCATGGGGAGGAAAGTTTGCGTGCCAGCTTCAACTGCTGTTTCGTTCAACGTGAGTTTTCCGTCTGGACTGGGAAGTTGACTTTCGGTTGCGTTGATTGGTCTGTTATTTATCAGAAAGTAATTAAGTTGACAGTAACTTACTAATCAGCTCTCGTAGCTCAGTTGGTTAGAGCACCCGTTTAGTAAGCGGGAGGTCTTGAGTTCGACTCTCAACGAGAGCAATATTATATTATTCTTTGAATGGTCCATTGTTTTGGTCTGACTATGATCTAAAGAACCGGTGCATATAATTTTTTTTTTGTCATTCCAGCGAGGTCTGGGTTCTAAGTTCTAACTCAAGCCGGCAATATGTCACAATTAACTTGGTAGTAGCTGTTAAGAGTCTCAAATCCGGTAGCGGGCAAGGCCAACGTGGATTTCAGGCTGAAGTTGAGATTATCAGCGGTGTCCATCATCGCCACCTCGTGTCTCTTGTTGGGTATTCCATGGCAGGAGATAAAAAGATGTTGGTCTATGAATTCCACCTTCGTGGTATCCAATGGGATAATGATAATTTTTGGGCAACATCACTGACTCGTCTATGGATTCTAACAGTTAGTAATATTTGAGATTTTATGATAAATTAAATGAGTCAAAGCTTATATTACGTTATTATTATTTAACGATAAAAAGTTTTAACTAAATTTATAATTTAAAATATGATATGATTATATTACATAAATATGATACGAATACAAGATATGAATATGATATGATTTAAAATTTGAATAATAATTATATTTAAATTTAATAAAATAAAATAATATATTTTATATTTTTATATATACATGAATCATAACACTAACACGAATATAAAAATTTTAATATTTTACATAATAAAATACACAAATCATCGTATCTACTATTAACCATGAATTGGACTACTAGGCTCAAAATTGCACTGAGAGCAGCTAAAGGTCTTGCATACTTTTCATGAAGATTGGAAGTAAATTTGGTAATCGACATTCCTTCATTTTCTCTTATAATGCCATTTAAGGAATACAGGCCACCCTCGCAACATTCACAGATACATCAAATCTGCCAACATCCTGCTTGATTTCTGCTCCGAAGCCAAGTATGCCATAACCTTGAAATAATGTGATTGAATTGATTTCGGATTTATATACTGAATTGCAAATCAGATGGCAGATTTCGGGTTGGATAAACTTAAGATAACAGTACTCATGTCTCAACTTGTGTCATGGGAGCATTTGGGTAAGCAAAATTGGTTAAATTCTTTGAATTCACACGCTTTGGAACGTATCTGATTAGACTTTTGATGATCTTTCTTATAATCAACAAATGCAGTTACTTAGCACCTGAATACGCCATCAAATGGCAAGCTGACAGATAAATCTGATGTTTTCTCCTTTGGCGTTGTGCTCTTGGAATTGATTACAGGACGTCGGCCTCTGGACCTGACCTCGGATATGGTTGAGAGCTTAGTAGACTGGGTGCGAATATCGTCTCCCTTCTACCATATAAGCTTAACATCTTGATACACTAGATGCTTATGGTGAAAATTTCAACTATATATGCATTAACAGGCTCGACCGTTGTGGGCGAGTGCAACGGAGGATGGAAACTTTTTTCGCCACGCCTGGTGGCATGTGCTGCTGCATGTGTTAAGCGTTCTGCTAGAAGGCGACCTAATTATATGCCCAGCTAGCTAGATCTTGTTAATTTTCAGGCTTTTGGAAGTGAATCAAAAGATTATTGTTTGAGTTGCATGTTTGAGCACCTCATTTCCCCTGAATATGATTTGCTACCCAATACTTTATATAGAAGTACAGCTGCTTCTCCAGTGATAAATTGTCAACAACTAGCTCTCTGTTCTGATATTTACCGTCCACCATACTTGAATACTCACTTTGTAGATTTCTATTCATGGAAGAGGCTAGGAGGAAGGTGAAAATTGGAGATTTGAAATGCTATTTCGTTAGTGTCGAACTCTGCTGAGAAATTTTTTTTTTTAAATTATAAAAAATAAAACGAGTAGTTAAAGATAAAGACACGAAGTGTTTTTTGTATTTAATTTTCGATACTTAAATTAAAAAAAATAAAAAAAAAAAATCAGATTTGATAGATAAAATTTAAATGTTTTTATTTATAAACAATATAAAAAATTGTAAAATGATAATTGGTTCGAATTAACGCAACACTAAAAATAAAAAATATCCTTAATTATCTGTTAATAATTTTTAATAAAAAATATTAATTTATTATTTAGATCTAAAAATATCCTGAGTAGTACGCATGAATTATATTTATGTGATAAACCTTTGTATTGCAACTTCACAAAAAAAGAATAGAAAATTTGAGTAATCCTTTCCTACATAATTCTTTTAAAGTTTTTTTTTTTTTTTTTTTATGAAACAATTTCAAAATTCTATATATATTGGTGCTTCAATCTTCATAGATTCCAACTTCAATCCCATCGAGGACATTTTCAATATTGAAATTTGAAAAAAAAAAAAAAAGCATGCTTAAAAGATGTAAGGGCATTCCAGTCATTTATGCAAACTCACCGTCTCCGGTGGCAACCGTCGTTAGCCGCCGTTGCATCCAACCCCCTATTTAAGAAATTATAACACCCAGTGGCCATTCCGTAATTCAAACCATATTCATTTCATTAACGTGGCGTATTTCTATTAGTCAGTCAACATCAACACTGATTATGTAAATGTTTCCGGATCCACCAGATCTCCACCCTTTTTCCAACCTCGCATTCTTAAATTTTAAGCCCCCCGGTATTGAAAGACCAATGCGTTAAAACGCACAGAAGAGAGCGAGCGAGCGAGAGAAGATTAAGAAGGAAAAGGCTCACTCGCCTGCAAATACAAAGACGAAGAGAAGTCATATAACTCGCCTTAGATCTGTGAAGATTCAGAGTTTCATTTAGCGATGGCACAGCCTTTGGTGAAGAAAGACGATGATCTGGACGATGAAGGTAAATTCAATTCTCATTTTCTTCGATGCCTTCAGTCCACTTTTTTCAGTCTATTCTCTTCCCTTTTTTTGTTCGGAATTGATTGTTCACTTCGTGTTTCATTAATCCTAAATCTTAGGTCTGCTAGTGGTTAGATCAGTTGTTAGCTTCTAGATCTGTGCAGTTTTGACTCATTTCAATTGATTTAGAGATGCATTTTGTGATTTATAGATCTAATTTTGAGGGATTACGGCTTTTTGGTTTTGGTGGAATTTTCGATTACTTCTAGTTGATCTAATCCATAATCTTGCTCCACTAGATTTTCTGTTCCTGAAAGGGCAATGCAGCTTAATCTTGTTAATTTCGACGGATGCGTTTAATTTTAGTTCATTTGATGTGGATCTCGCGGCTTAATGTATCTATTATCTTCCACTTCTGTTCGCAGAGTTGTTGAGTTCCTCTAGCTTTTGGGTGTTTGAGAAGGCTTTTTTTATTGTTAATTTTGTAATTTTGATTGTTAAACAGCGGAGTACTCTCCGTTTTCGGGGATTGAGAAGGGTGCAGTTCTTCAAGAAGCTAGGGTTTTCAATGACCCTCAGCTTGATCCTCGGAGATGCTCTCAGGTTTTTCCTTTTTAAGCAATTTCGATTTTCTATTTGGTGTGTTTGTTTTTTCATTTTGTAGTAAATGTTTGTTTATAATTTTTTTTATGCAGGTTATCACAAAGCTTCTTTATCTACTGAACCAAGGTGAAACGTTCACTAAGGTCAGTGTTTCATTTTTAATTGTGCTGGAAAGGATTAGATCCATTTTTCTTTTCTTTTCTTTTTTTCACTTTGTTACATTACAATTGACCTCTGTTGTATGGATTTCTACTTTAGTAAGTGTGTATATTGAACAAAACGCGCAGCACTGTCATGAAAATTTCCCTTGTTTAATCGTGAATAACTATTTTCTTGTGTTACATGGATAGATTGAAGCCACAGAAGTTTTTTTTGCTGTGACAAAGCTCTTCCAATCGAGGGATATAGGTTTGAGGAGAATGGTATATGTGATGATAAAGGAGCTATCTCCATCAGCAGATGAGGTTACATATGTCTTGAATTTTCGATCCTTGTTGAACAACTTTTTGTGTGTGTGCAAAGTTAGATATTAATTAATCCTTATTCATGTTGACAATAGGTTATTATTGTCACAAGCTCTCTTATGAAGGACATGACTAGCAAGACTGATATGTATCGAGCAAATGCTATTCGTGTGCTTTGTCGGATAACAGACGGAACTCTTCTAACCCAGATTGAGAGATACTTAAAACAAGCAATTGTTGACAAAAATCCAGTTGTCGCTAGTGCTGCCTTAGTCAGTGGTATCCACTTACTTCAGGTGCTGCTTTTTTTTTTTTTTTTTTCTTACGGTTGGTTTTTCATATAATTTTTATATTAATTATCAAAACCTGATGACTGGTTAACATATCGTAAATATTTTGGCAGACAAACCCTGAAATTGTGAAAAGATGGAGTAATGAGGTTCAAGAAGCTGTTCAATCAAGAGCAGCCCTTGTGCAGTTTCATGCTCTGGCATTGCTCCACCAGGTATGTTACATTCCTTGTTAAGTTTTGGGGTTATATTTGGTATTAGAAATCAGTTGCTAGATTCAAGCATAACCTGTTAACTGATTTAAGTTTTGTATCTATGAAGATAAAAGTTTTCCTTGAAAATAGGTTGTGGCACATAGCTTGTCTTGATTTTTGGGTTCTTCTGAATAATTTTAGTGGCCTTGTGTTTTTTAATGGATTTTAACACATTGCATGCTTGGTTCTTTATCCAAGTTACAACAGTACTTATAGGTTTTATCCGTGGCAAGTGGTAACAAAAATGTATGTAATAAACAAAAGTACAGTATTTTTCATGCAGTAGAAATATATATTGCATGTTTGCATGTGTGTATATGCATGGTTTTATGTGGGGTGATTATCATTAAATTACTCCTCTCAGTTTGTGTAAAAAATTACTTTTTGCATGTTTGCATGTGTGTATATGCATGGTTTTATGTGGGGTGATTATCATTAAATTACTCCTCTCAGTTTGTGTAAAATTAAACACATCTATGATGAATGTATGTGATTTGTGCTTGCAGATACGGCAAAATGATCGACTAGCTGTTAATAAACTGGTTAGTAGTTTGAGTAAGGGAAGTGTCCGCTCGCCTTTAGCCCAATGCCTATTGATACGTTATACTAGTCAGGTATTTACTGTCTCTAAAATGTCTATGCCCTTCTGCTAACCTTTTAATTCACAAACATTATGAAGTAATTGGTGAATCTGCAGGTTATTCGTGAGTCAGCCAATAACACTCAAACAGGGGATCGCCCTTTCTATGATTTTCTTGAGGGCTGTCTGCGGCATAAGGCTGAGATGGTGATTTTTGAGGCTGCTAGAGCAATCACAGAGCTCAATGGTGTGACAAGCCGAGAATTGACACCAGCAATTACAGTTCTTCAGCTCTTTTTAAGCTCTTCTAAGCCAGTGCTGAGATTTGCTGCAGTTCGTACCTTGAACAAGGTTGGTTTATTTTACTTTGCTCGGTAGTGTATCTCGCCATTATATAGACACTGGTGTTGTTGGTTTAAGGAAAATGAAAGCCAAGCACTTTAGTGAGAGGGCCTGGGGTAGTTTCTTCTGCAAATTGCAGAAGTTCAAACACACTTATGGAGCTTGTTCAAAGTTCTGTTACTATATTGTTTAGCAAACATATAATTACTTTTCAATCATAATTTATTGGTGTTTCTTTCTTGTTCAAACACATGTATTTATCCTTGCATTTTGATTTCTGACTATGTTAATTTCTTTTCAGGTTGCAATGACTCATCCCGTGGCTGTCACTAACTGCAATATTGACATGGAGAGTTTAATTTCTGACCAAAACAGAAGCATTGCCACACTTGCAATCACTACCCTTCTCAAGACAGGAAATGAGTCAAGTGTAGATCGCCTTATGAAGCAGATAACTAATTTTATGTCAGATATTGCTGATGAATTCAAAATTGTTGTTGTGGAAGCCATAAGATCATTATGCTTAAAGTTTCCATTGAAGCACAGAACTTTGTAAGGGATACTTGGATTTGCATTATTGGTTAGTAGGCTTCAGAAGGTGCTTCTTTTCTAGTGGCTTAAAACACTCTTTATCCATTGTTATCTTCAGGATGAACTTCTTAAGCAATATTCTAAGGGAAGAAGGCGGATTTGAATACAAAAAGGCCATTGTAGATTCAATTGTAATTCTCATCAGAAATATCCCTGAAGCAAAGGAGAGTGGATTGCTTCACTTGTGTGAGTTCATTGAAGATTGTGAATTCACATATCTTTCCACCCAGGTATCACTTTCATCCATTATTTTGCATCACCTCTGTCATGTGCATTTTGCTTTTTGTTTCCTTTTTTTCTCCCATCTTCGACTTTTATTAAATTTTCTCAACATTGTATTATAGATACTTCATTTTCTGGGGATTGAAGGCCCAAAAACCTCTGATCCAAGCAAATATATACGGTACATTTATAACCGTGTGCATCTTGAGAATGCAACTGTCCGAGCTGGTGCAGTGAGCACCCTAGCAAAATTCGGTGCTATGGTTTGTGAATTAAAGGTATGAAATCTTAATTATTCTCTTTCTTTTTTCTGAAGTAATCTCATCCTGAGACTCATTGCTAATGTATTTAAGCTGGAAAATCTTGCACTACTCTCTTTTGCAGCCCCGCATATTTGTTCTCTTAAGACGCTGTCTCTTTGACAATGATGATGAGGTCAGTCTATCATGAACGGTGCCATTTTTTTTACTGTTTGCACATGCAATTGTTCTTTTTATTTGTACGTTTGTTTTATATGCTGATGCATGCATCGTTGTCCTCTCATTTGTTTTTTTGTGTTTGTTGCATTCTTCATCTCAAGCTTTGGGAAGCCAAATGTGCTGTTAATATTCAAATAATTTAAGGATTTTTAAATCTTTTGTTTGTAGGTTCGTGACAGAGCTACACTCTATCTTAATGCACTGGGTGGCGATGGTGCAGTTGTTGAAACTGGTGAAGATGTAAAGGAGTTTCTCTTTGGTTCACTAGATATCCCTCTGGTGAACTTGGAGAACAGTTTGAAAAATTATGTTAGTTTCTAAATTTCTGTTACACTTTTTCTGCTTTTTAGGTCATGATCTCACGTGTTTAATTTGGGTGCAGGAGCCATCAGAAGAGTCTTTTGACATTAATTCTGTGCCAAAGGAGGTCAAGACTCAGCCACTGGTTGAGAAGAAGGCTCCTGGTAAAAAGCCAACTGGTCTTGGTGCTCCTCCTACTGGCCCTCCATCAACTTTTGATGCTTATGAGAAGCTGCTTTCATCAATTCCCGAGTTTGCAAACTTTGGCAAGCTTTTCAAGGCACTTCCATTGACTTTGCCTTGTGTGTTCTGTGCATATATTGATTTAGACATTAATCTGCTTTTGGACTTACTAATGCCTTGTTTCTAAATTTTATTGTACAGTCCTCTGCACCTGTGGAGTTGACAGAAGCAGAAACAGAATATGCAGTTAATGTTGTCAAACATATTTTTGATGGACATGTTGTGTTTCAGTACAACTGCACTAATACTATTCCAGAGCAATTATTGGAGAATGTAATGATTGAATTACATGAAGCATCTATAGATTACTCAAAACCTATGATAGACCATCTTTATAACTTAATCTGCCTGTTGCCAGGTCACTGTTATTGTGGATGCTTCGGAGGCTGAGGAATTTGCTGAAGTAGCTTCAAAGCCTTTAAGATCACTTCCATATGATTCACCTGGACAGACGTTTGTGGCATTTGAAAAGCCAGAGGGGGTACCAGCGGTAGGAAAGTTTTCAAATATGCTGAGGTTCGTCGTAAAAGAGGTATGGCATCTTCCCTTTTTTGCTGTGGCAAACTGTGTGACTTTTTATAAGGCTCTCTTATTTGAATGTGTAATGGCCACGCATCAGGTTTGAATTGGTTCTGAATGATAACACATTTAGCAAAGACAACACATCAAGTTTAAATTGGTTCTGAATGAAAACACGTTTTGCAAAGAAATCTCATTTACCCCCTCCCCAAACTGTTCTTTCTCTCTCTTTCTTCTTTTGGCATGAATTGAGGGAGTTTAACTTCTATTAATATGCTATAGAGAGTATGTTTTCCATAAATGAAGTGGCCATTTTAGGTGGTTTTGTATCTCATGCTTGCATTGGTTCTGCTAGGTTGATCCGAGTACTGGTGAGGCTGAGGACGATGGAGTAGAGGATGAGTACCAACTGGAGGAGCTTGAGGTTGTTGCAGCTGATTACATGTTGAAGGTGGGTGTCTCAAATTTCAGGAATGCATGGGAAAGCATGGGGCAAGATTTTGAGCGTGTAGATGAATATGGCCTGGGCCCAAGGGATAGCCTGGCTGAAGCTGTTAATACTGTCATAAATCTTCTTGGCATGCAACCCTGTGAGGTAAGTGCACAGTGTTTTTTTTTGCTTTGCTTCATGCTGTTGCTATGGATATGCATTTTACTTTTAATTACTTAAATGCCTGACATTGGACACTGCAATTCTAATGTAATTTGATTTTTTTAATTTATTTATTTTCTGGTGGTGTCCAGGGCACGGAGGTTGTCCCTAGCAATTCAAGATCACACACTTGTCTTTTATCTGGAGTATACATAGGCAATGTGAAGGTGCTTGTGCGGTTGCAATTTGGAATTGACGGCCCAAAGGACATAGCAATGAAACTTGCTGTTAGATCTGAGGATGAAACTGTCAGTGACGCCATTCATGAGATTGTAGCTAGCGGCTAGCTTGTCAGTTGTTTGTTTATTGCGTCTAATGCCAGCTTCTATGATTTTTTTTTTTTTTTTGGTTTTACATGAGGTCGGAGGCAGATGGCTGCAAAACCAGATAAGCTTGTAGAAAGAATTTGAAATGCCCCTTATTCTCGGTTTTCACCTGCATTTTATCTGGTCATTAGTTATTCTGGCAATAATACTCTGTATCATTCAAGTCGGGCTCATAGAAGGGATTTTTATTTTTACAGAACTATTATGTGGGATTAAGTATAGGATTCATCAAGATTTGCTTGATTTTAATAATCATGAACTTTGAGGTACTGTCGTTTTTTCTTGTCATAAGGAACGTTTGGTGATCTTGTGGTAATCAGCATTATAGATATGACATGCCATATTTGAACGAACCTTGTTTATTTGCCAATATGAAGTTCGACTTCAGAGTAGCTATACTGATTGAAGCGAACTCTCTACGGCTCAAGTTTTCATTTTTCCCATAAATAATTTCCCCTAACCCGCAATTTAGGTGCAATTGGATTATACTCGATCTCCGCTCTTTGGCAAAGAAAAAAGAAGAAAAAAACAACCGATTATTTCCACTCTTCCTAATCCTGATAAAAAACAGGTCAACGAAGGATGATGAATGCTACGAACGATATACAGAAGATTTAGTTTATTGAATCAGTTGCGCTTTGCAAGTATCGGGGCTTTCATCACACTTAGAAAAGGGTTTTGCTAGAGTTTTGGCTTCTGGTTGATAGAATTATCGGACACAGACAATGCCATGAGGGAGATTAAACAGAAAGGAGGCCTAATCCCGAGCTATAACAATCTGGACAGTTAAGAAGCATTGACCCGCTGTAAAGACAAATGTTACATTACACATATTGGGGGAAGGGATTAAAACCAAAGTCAAAGACAATTTAGTTGGTAGCACTCAGGGTACAATTAATTGTTACTATGAGGAAAACAAAAATTTATGACAATCAGGAGCAAAGCTAAGAAATTGCAAATCAACCTTTCTTCCAATACAGCTTCTCAAGCAACGCTACCTTTTATCTTTCTTCATGCACTAATCGAATTGGCTCTCGGACATGAAAGTTACAAGATTAGGGTTTCCCAAAGCACGAACATGACTGAAATACAAAAGGATCTTCCAGATATGACACTGCAGGAAGGACTGCATCAGGAAGAATGGGCCTGAGGTGGAGAGGACTCACAATATGGAAACGATTTCCTGTCTTAGGACTCAAATTACCTTTCTGTACCCTCCAAATGCCCAAATCTGCCACATCAAGATCGATATCACAAGAAGGATAAGCAGAAATTCTGAATTTTCATTTTCCCATTCATATCAATACATACTAGATTCAGTTTGAAAAAAAAAAAACGAAAAGAAAAGAAAGAAAAAGAAAGAACAGAAGAAACCGACTAGGCATGGTTGGTTTTTCATTTCTACAAGTTGCAAATGCATTTGATAAAATGACAACATAAACTGACCTTGAGGTTTGTATCCCAACTTCCTGTACATAGGGCACTACCATCAGCTGACAAACCCAAACAGCTAATTCGGCTGTCATGTGAGTTCTGGAGAGATCCCAAGTTCAAAACAACCTGCCAAAAGAGGAGGTGATTAGAACCAGTGCCCACTATATGCCAAAATGGAATAAGCTATAAATCATTTGAGCTCATGCTTAATTGCAAATAGTAGAAAGAATGGGAGGAAAAAAAAGTTGAAGGTCCAAGGTACCCAAGCTCAAAAGTAAAAGACAGACCCAGGCAACAAAAGGAATTCATTAATTTAACGACTATAACGCACTAAATTTGATGCCTCATATGGTGCATTTCAGCCATATTTAACCTGAAGAAAGGTTGCAAACTCAATAACACTCTTTATGCTTTCAGCTAAAGTATTTATAAAGCATCTAAGTCAACAAAGCAAAACCATATGTAGGGCTACGCCAGTACAATTTAGAACAGTGTCAAAACCAACAAAAGCATGAGACTGCCACTGCAACATAAAAGCCTGGGAATCACCAATGTTGATGAGCAGGGAAAAACCATCATGAATAAGAACAAATAAAAACGTTATGCCTAAAGCAATATGTGAGACAAGATTCAAGAAAGAATTGAATCTTCATGCAGAAAATAAGCTTTATGAAGATATTAAGAAACAATTCAAGTTTGAGAGTTAAGAGGGCTGGAAAGAAGAAGATGATGGTTGAGTTTTGTACCCTTGCCAATAAAGTGTCCCATACATAGCAATCTCCATTTGAGTATCCAGCAAAGAGAAGTCTTCCAGAAATGGAGAATGCAATGGATGTCACATGAGGAACCTCATTATCACTAGGCTGCTGATAGTATACTTGCAACTGGTGACCGGTTCTGATGTCAAACAACCTGCAAGTTCCATCATCTGATCCAGTTCCAAACCTATTGCCATCTGGAAAGAACTTCACAGTGTTAACATCACCCTCGTGACCATGAAATGTACGCACTGCTCGACTTGCAGCTCGAGTATCCCACAACCGTGCAGTAGCATCACATGAACCAGAAACAAACATCCTTGAGTTTGATCCATTAATTGAGACACTGAAACAATGAAAAATATAACATTGTAAAACAAACTTATTATCTTTCATAAGAAGTTTCTATAACATTACACTTCTTGTAAACATGAACATAGCTGGTCATAGGGTCCGTCACATGACTAATAAAAGTAGAATAAATCAATGGATGCAATTTAAAATACAGAAACAGAGGTTCAGGTTTCCTCAAGGTTCTAACCAGCAGTTAACAAGTATATCAACCATTATATTCATGGAAACTTTCCTGTATCAACTTCATACCCAGGCCACTTTGCAAAAATATTGAAAAGCTCCCTAAATGTGAATCAATGACTGGGTAATCCAACTAGACCAAAACCAACTTCCCTTATGGTCGATTCACAATGTCCACTATTTTTTTTTAACTTCTAGATAAGCACTTGCTATGATCTTGTAAAGATACCAGAGAATGAGTTTTCATTGGACACAATTTCCATTAAAAACGGGTTTATAACAATATATAAGTTGAGCTAACTTAAAAACACTAAAATACCTTAGCACATCCGCAGTATGTCCAGATTGAAATTCTCCCCCAAAAACAGAAGTTCTCAGGCCTGTTGTAATATCCCATAGAACACATGTCCGATCACCAGAACTGGTAATAATGTGAATGTCTTCATCTGGAACATATTGACAACAGGAAACATAGCCCTTATGCCCACTAAGTGTTTTTGATACTGGTAGATTCCCATCCCTGTCAGTTGGTGAATTCAAGTTGAAAATAGAGCACATACTATCAAGACCACCGCAGGCAACTGATTGACTTGTTGGAGAAAAAGCACATGTCATAACCCATGCACAAGGCAGCTTTATGGCATGAGTTTTCTGGCTTGTCAGAGAGTTCCACACAATTAAGCGTCCATCCTGTGATGCACTGACGATTCTATTCCTTTCTGGAGTCCAATCCAATGAGTATACCTGCATATTTCTTAGAAATTAAATACAAACAGATTACACCATCCATAGTTAGCACTATGCAAGTGATCTACAATTGAATGAAATTTAAGTTGATTTTTTTTTGGATAAGTTGTAGTTTATTTATCCAAGCAAGCAGTGTTTTGCTACAAAGTAACTATCCAACTGTCTGTACAATTAACTAACAGCCAATTCTAGCATAGCTGCATTTAGGTTCCAAGCATCACATAACTCTTTATTGATTGCATCTGCAGAAATATGGCTCAGGCCCTGTAACCACATTCGGACAGCATCTTGAATTTGATTTTGCAGCTGTGTTGTTGTCTCTTCTTTTCGCTATATGAGGTATATGCAGGCATTCCATGCTAGTCTAAAAATGATGGATATCAATGCTTTCCCCTTCAATCTATTTGTTGCTCAATTTAATTCTGAACCCCGATTCTCCACTACTTCGCAAATTCTGCAAAATTGAAGCAACCACTGCTAGGCTTCTTTCGAGTACGCACAGCCAAAGAACATATGATCCCTTGTTTCTGCTTCAGTCTTGCATAACCCACACCTGTCATCAGTCCATTCCCCAGGCTCTCAGCCTCTCTTTGGTTGGTAGTCGTTTCAGTACAACAATCCAGTAAATCAATGAGTGCTTAGAGATAAGGTATGTGAACCACGTTAGCCTGTGCCATCTGGCATTTTCTTGCTTACTCCATTTTCCAGCTTAATGAACTGGCAAGCAATCTGCCTTAGTCACAACAACTTCCTCCAACTCCAGCTGCTTTTAGTTGAATTTAAGTTGATTTTTTGTATCATCATGCAGTGATAAAGGGGCTGTATATTTGCTGAAACAATCAAAATACCCATATATTTTAATTGAACAGCTGCTTTGTTCCCATTTCAGTAAATGACAAGGGGGGAAAAAAAGCTTGCTTCGGCCTTCATGGGGTCTCACTGCCCAATATTAAGTTTTAACTAGGTTATGTAATAAGACCAAATCACCTTTTTTGACTTCCAACAAAGCATTTCTTGTTTTCAGTTATTTACATAGCAAGAAGTATTCCTTGTTCCTGGGAGAAAAATACACATGCAAGTACACAAACAAGACTCATTCACCCACTTAGGACAGAAACATAAACTCCGAAAACTACTAAAAAGATTGAGGTGGTGCCAAAAATCAAAACATGAAGCCTGTTTATCTCCAAATCATGCAATGAAGAAATAAGCAAGAAAGAAAAACAAGCAACTGCACTCTGCCAGAAACTTTTGCAGATTAATGAAGAAACCCATGTCTCAAAGCAACTCAATTGTAAATAACTAGTAAGCAAATTCACTTTCTTCAAACTTAAATAAAAAAATCATCAAATCAAAAATTGTCAATAGAAGGCTAAAAAGTTACCTTGCCAGTGTGACCTTGCAAGGTCCTGCAACAAACCAGATCGGTTGGGCCAAAAGTAACTGGAGTCCTCCCATGCGAGCTTGCATATCCGGCAACTATTCATAATTTACCAAAATCCAAACATATCTCAGAAACAAAAATTCAAAACTCACAAAAACGAAAACAGTAAAAAAAAAAAGATTGAGAATTGTTACCATCAGTGTCGAGCAATTGCTGGCGTCTCTGCCTCAATCGCTCTCTTAGATTGTTCATTGTCTCCGTCGCCGCCGCATGCCTCTCTTTCAGCTCCGCCACTGACATTTTCTTTTTTTTTTTTTTTTGCTAAAAACTTTTAACTCAAAAAAAGAACCATTTTTATTAGTTTTTAATCTTATTTCTTGTGAGCTTACGAAATCAAGGCCTATCTATCTATGGTTTCAAAATTAAAAGAGAAAGAAACCCAAAAAAAGGAAGGATTTTTTTACAGTGAAGGTAATGGTTGTAAGTAAGATTCTGAAGGAGAGCAAGAGAAGGGTTCATGGTTGGCTTGGTAAGGTTTTGATGGTGTTTGACTGACGCCGCCAGGCCCACCTCATGTTCCACGTGGATCTCCTCTGGGACCTCCCCGACCCAAACTTTTTTTTCCTTCTTTACCTGGTTAAATTCTCTGTTCCTCGTCCATTGTCAAAATAAAAATCTTCGTCAGTTCTCCCGTGTCAAAGAAAACACAGAAGCCAGAAGCCAAAGCAGAAAAGTAATTTTTTTTTTTTGAGTTGGATAAAAAATTTAACCCAATACAGCACTATATGTTGAGTTTGGAGATACGTATTTGACATAACCAAATGTTTAAAGAAGATGATTGTTTGAAAGTCAACCCCTAAAACAGAATCAGTCTTCCATTCCATGGGAGTTGCTCATCATAAGATGACAACAGAAAACAAATATAGGAGTCGACATTATAATTGTCAAATTTTGATTTATGTTAAACACATATAATGTAATTATAACATCATTATGCTTTGAAACGGTCTAAAGCTGATGTTATATGAGTTTCAGGCATGGCCTGTTGCCAAATGGTTGACACCACCAACATTGTCTTCCCATTGCCATGATATACAAGATGCAGAACGAATCTCTCTTTTTGGTGTTTGCCATTTTCAAATGATTAAGTAGGAATAAGTAGAATTTGACAGTGAAAAAAAAAAAAAAAAAAACAATAATAATAAATTAAAGAATGACAGGATCATTTCCTTTTCCTACCTCTTCAGTTCTGTGTAATTTGTAAAGAAATAAAATTTAATTGTTCCGTTACTCTTGAAAGAAAGCCAGACAGCTTAGCCACTGACAACAATAGAAAATGAAAATTGCTACCAAAAGCGGAAGGCAAAAAATGAAATCCAACAACAACAAAATAAACCCTTTTTGTCAATATGAATCATATTGAATCAGTATGGTTGAAATCATGTCTTAGATAAGTTCAAAAATGTAATTTAAAAAAAAAAATTTCACCAGTCCTTTTAGTAGAAAAATCAGTGACTGTCACCCACCATTTGGGAACTTTCCCAAGGTACATTTGCCTTTCAGTCTCCTAGTCCTGGACCATTTAAAAAGTTCAGAAGCCTGGTTGTTTTCAACAGGTACACAATGTCAGTCTGAGAATTTTTTTCAGGACAGCTTGAATTCAATTTGCACCAGAAAGACAAGAGTGTGCTATTCCAGATCAATTTCTGAAATCTTTGGGATTTAGAAACCAATTTTCGCACAGGCAAACAAAACCTCCATAACCAAACCTTACATTACATTGAAAACAGACAGAGAAAGAGCAATGCAGAAGTGATTTTTGACTAAGAAGCAAAACTTCGCAATCCTTTCAGTGTTTGTAATTTCAGAACACAACAGGTAAAGAAAATCAGCTGAAACTTGACATAAATCAAAAGTTTGGGCATAGAAAATGCCAAAATCATAGACTATAATACATCTATGTATAATTGGATGCTTGATAACATGGCACACAGACAAGAAAGGAGCAAGGAGGACCCCATTTTTAACCAAAGTTTCAACAACTTAATTGCACTTTATCCACAATTTTCTTCACCCCTAACTTTATTAGATTAAATAATATAGGAAGAAAGAGAAAAGCTACACTAATGCATCGAGATCAAAGGTTAGAGAAGAACTTTACAGTTAAAACTTTTAAACAAGACCCACATGGTACATAAGGCCCACACCCTTTATTCAACTGTTCAATTTCAAATTACATTCATCAGCCTTTTCATGTGCTCTCACCAGGGTAGATGCAATTATCGTAACCTGCATTCAAAGGAAATTTTTCATTCAGAAAAAAAAAAAAAAAGAACAAACAATGAAAAGGAGATGCTTGTCTTGGAGAAAGGCATGGTTACTAGATAAAAGTGTATTGGAGCTTATTCTATATGACAAGACAGTAATAAACCTCAAAAACTAAAATTTCATAATCTTCAGATTCCCAATGGATGCTAAACCCAAATGGAGAAATGTCAAAGACAAACCCCTTAAAGCTAGAACTCTTTAAGGATAACATGTTTAAAGATTGCGCAGATACTATCAGCAATACCACAAAGAGAGCATAATCTTTACTAAAAGTCCATTTTCCATGGGTTCTTTGATAAGTCTATTCATATCATTAAAAGCGGACAGTTTTTGATTCCTAGACTTATCCGTTTGCCCACCAACATGTGCCTAAACGAACCATAAAATGAGCAACTTTTGATGTAAAAGATCAATTTTATAGAACTGAGATATAATGGAGCGAAGATATTTACTAGGATTTTGGGATGTTAGTGTTGCTGTCTGTGAGAAATCACAATTCCATGGATTCTTGCTAGATATCTGGTAGTAAAGGTTCATGGCATAAGCAGCATGTGATGCTAGAGTATTAGGCTCAAAACAGGCGCCTCCAGGTTGGATTGGACTGCAGTCAATGCCTTGGCCACAGGCATAATCTAGACTTGACTGCAATTGAGCATCAGAAATGCCAGCCTTTGGCACACACCAACCAGTTGCAGTTGGTTTTGGTTGTGGAGTTACTGGAGTTACAGAAGTTGACGGTGTTGACGGAGTCTGGAACATAGAAAAAGCATGAAAGAACATCACTTGCCACACAAATGCATGCCATCAAGGAATTCAAGTAGCCTACTTACATGTTCCTAAAACTCATAGCAGCTACTACAATGGATCATGCAATTCAAAAAGTTTAGAAACTTTCTAAGAACATTTTCACCACCCCTTTATTTGGTGGAAGAAATTCATTTTTCAGAGGCTAAAAGACTAATGGAAATAAGATTTTGCATTTTTTACAGCTCGGGAGACAGCACCTGATTTGTGGTACCTAAAGTATATTTCAAAATTAATGTCATGCCTTGCCTAGCTGTGATTACTAGAGTAAAATTACTCTAAACTGGTTTTGTCATATGCCTTAAGATGGGACCATTATCACTATAAATTTTACTGCATAACGCTGGACTATTGTCTGATCACTTTGAGCTTCCACAATACTTCATCTCTTAAAGCTGGCTTCAAATTTTACGTTCATATTCATCTAGTCTCCTGTACAGTGTTTCCCACTATTTACAAGAAACCCAACTGTAAACAACTTTCTATCAGCTTTTTGCCCCTGTGATGAAACCTTATAAGATTGTAAAAAAGCTCCTTTAAGAATAAAACAATGATTTCTTCACCATAATTGAAATGGTTTTTTCTTCTTTTTTTTTTCTGTTAAAATAAATTAATTAATTGACTCACCTGACTATTCTTTGAAATCCCAGCATCGTATGTCATTGAAAGGTCAGGCCTGAAAAGTCCAAATGCCCGTTCAGAACCAGGGCCTGGTTTCATGTCCTCATCATAAAGTGCAAAGAGGTATGTATCCACAGATTTTCCTGGCATCAATGGAGTTCCAACCATTGATCTCAGATGTGCTACCAAATTCCCATTATAAGCTTTTGCATTCTCGATGCCAGGTCCAACTTCATTACTGTCCCCGCTATACGGCCATCCTGTCTCAGCAACCATAATCTCAACATCCTTGAACCCCATAGCGCTCAAGGCAGAATGCACTGCATCAACCTGCGCATCATAATCAAGTCACTCAGCTGCCAACTGATGGATCAACTGCTAAGCCAGCATGCTAAATCAAATTCAAACAGAACAATTTTCAGTTAATTAGGACTAACGGTAAATATTTAGATGCCATAATTAGTGGCCGAATTACTATATTCTGGTAAGATTATAATCCTTTTCCAGAAACATGAGGGTAAGATTTTTTTGGACCTTTGTTAAATGTGTATGATCTATCCTTCCACATCCAACCATAAACAAAATTCTGGAAGATCTAACTTAGAATTATTGCCATGGCCAGCCTGTCACCAAGCACAATAAGTCACATCAACTACACTTAGTGCCTCCCATTATTCCATGAAAAAGCCAAGAGGAATCAAAGAGATATAATACTTAGTAGGGAGCACCAGACCACTTCAAACGCCTAGAGTTGACTCTTTCTCACACAAATGAATATATCACACGCTTTGTGTACATGCACAATGATTTTTTTAGTCATTTTATAGTAACAAAAATTCACAAAATAACATAGCCCAGATCTTCCCTTTCAATGGAAACTTAATCAAACTTTGCGACAAGATAACATCATCAGCTGCCCAGATCATCATGTCAATGAAGTCAATATAATACCAGTAAAATAATATCTATACTAATAAACTTCAATTAGACCTCGAAATTCTAAATCTCCAAAAGTATAAAACTAAAATTCTTCAAATTATTTGGCATAAAAGCAAAAATCAATTCCACAATTTTACCAAAGAAAAAATAAATTGTGGGTTTGAATCAAAATGTAAATCAAAAACAATGACAATTTAAAACAAAAGAATTCATGCGATCTAAGCTTTCAACATCCTACGCCAATGTTGTGGACAGTGACCAGAATCAACGTCTGTCCCACGTTTGTTCCAGACTGTTGTCTATCGACTCACATGTCACTTTTTTACGGGGCTTGGTTCAAACAAAACTCAGCTCAGCCGATATAAAAAAAAATTGGTTCACACGTGAATGAAATAATTCCACCGACAATTAAATAATAATCAAATTAAAAACTTACACAAAAATATTCGCATCTTCCATACATGGCTTGTAAAAGATTACTAATTTCATTTATTATCCCAAATTTTCGGCTTTGGAAAATGCATTTTGGAAACAAATGCTGTAAAAAGAAAAGAAACAACCAAGCAAATGTGTTTAACCGTAACTAACCTGAGCATCAAACATGTTCATGTACTTGATCCCGTTTCCCGAGTCAACTCGTCCCGCGTTAGGTTGAAACAAGCAGAAGGCAAGCGTTTCAGGTCTTGAGTCACTTTGATAAGCGAAAAATGGGTATGGATTAATAGCAAAAGGGGACCCGTTGTCCTTCTGGAACTGAAGCAAGCCTTTCAATGCCGTTTGATAACTCGGGCTAAACAACCCGGAAGATGGTGGGTCGGACTGACTCAACACCGCCATTGAATGAACCGTTGAAACCTTGATCTTTCCGCCGAGTGAGGCCGCGCTAAGAGCACTTTGGATATTTTGCATTGCAGGTAGAAGCTGGTTTATCAGGTTCGGGTCATTTGTAGTCAAAACCTGTCAATACAACAAAAATTTTAATCATGAAGTAACAAAAAAAAAATCTTTTTCTCTTAAAAAACACAGCTATTTTAATCTTTTGCAAAGTGGAAAAAAAAAAAAAGAGAAATTGTAAATGGTGATTTTGGAAAGGGACCTCATTGCCAACAGTTATAAGGATGATGTTGCTAGCAGGGTAAAAGGGCAAAACATTCGAGTTAATCCACTGAGCAGCTGAATTAGGATCCGAGGCCAAAGCAGGAACATCTCCATTAGCAGCTCCAATAACGATTCCAATTCCAGTGTTAGCTAAAGCTTTGATAATGGCTGGATCCGCTCCGTATAGCCTAACCTTCTCTATCGACGTGGATTGTAGAAGCTTTGCGGTGGCTGATGGCGGCGGTAAGTTGTCTGCTACTTGGCCATAGTTCACTCCAATAAACGTCTCTGAACCTATTCACAAAAAAAAAAAAAAAACCCAAATCATGAAACTAAGGCAAGTTTTAAGTTAAGCTGTTGAAATTTGAAAATGAAGTAACTGATAGTGATGCTGTTTTCTGATGTTTTCTGGTGAAGGAAAAGGAAAGGGTTGTCGTTTTGGTAGTAGGAAACTTACTTGAGAAGTGAAGGGAGGTAAGGAGGAGGGAGAGGGAGAGTAAGATGAAGAGAGTTGCCATTAAAGGGAAGAGAGAGAGAGTGTGTGCGTGTGTGTGTGAAGTGACTCAAGTGGAAGTGTTTTTCTGACCAGTGAGTATTGCTTATTGCTCAAGCTGAGTGTTTGAAACTTGAAGGGGATGTGATGTGTAACTGTTTAAGGGGCAAATTTAGCAGCAGCAGTGCAGAAGTAGTATTAGTTTATAAACATTTAAAACAAGAGAAATGGTGAAGGAAAGTGGGTTTGGAAAAAGTTTGGCTTTTCGGAATAGTATAGAAAACTCAAAGCGGGGTCCGATTCTGAGTGGAAATTTGACATTGCAACTACCTCATGAATGGGACTGGGACCGATTGTCCTTTGCAATTTTCTGGTTTTCTACCCCTGAATGACGTAGTTTTTCTGGATTTCCTTTTTGCTTGTTTACTTTGGGCGTGGCAGTAAGGAGGGGGCAAAGAGGAGGACCATTCATCGAAGGTTATGGGGTGATCTCATTTCTTTTCTAAGACCAATCAAATTGTATTTCATCAACGCCCTTTCCAGGAATGAGCTAGTAGGTTTTTTCTTTTTCGGCCAATAGATGAGTAGAGCTAGTAGCTGAAACCTCTCTATACTACCGCAACAATGGCATTAGATCCGAAGACTTCAGTTTTGTGTTACTAAACTAATTTTTTTATTTCAAATTATAATTTGAATTATAAATATTAAAATTAAGAATTAAATTTTTTTTAAACAAATTATTAACGGTTGTCAATTAATCTTTTAATTTTAGTTGTTCCGTTGAGATAATCTTAAATTTATAACCACACCGTATCCTCCACAAATGAAGCAGCAATCCTCCGACTCTTTTTCTGTGAGGACGAAACTGGTGTCACTTTCTCCTCCCTGTATGCGTATTGGAATAAAAGGAAGGGTGAGTCGACTGTGCAGAATTTGAGCCACCAACAACGAAGGATTGCATTGCAGGCAGCTTACCCCACTTTCAAAAAACTGATCTCCCATTGAAGAACGAAATAGAAGTAGCAGTAGAAAGACCGGTCTTCGTATGGCGACAGGTCGAATCCCGGCCCAATCCTATCGTTCAAATACAAACAAATTCAGCACACTCGACCCTTGATGTTGATTTGGAGGACCACATGTATGGACAGCCCCATGAACTACGACACGCAAGTTTGGCCTTTTTTTAATGTAGAACATTAAAATTAAAGTTCCAATTACAACATAAAAGTTGCAAAAAGCTCAAACTCATCAAAAAAAAAAAAAGATCATGGAAGAGATTCAAACAGTTTGAGAAAACTGAAGGAATAAAAAACAGACAGCGATTGAATCAAGGGTATAAAAGAAATCAAAGCCACCCTCAGCTGTAGCTTAAAGGAAGACTCAATTAACCTCCTGAGTGGGAGACTGGAGCAGTTTCAAGATGTCCATCCTTAAATGCATGGATATACTGTTGCGGCAAAGCGTGCTCCCCCTACAACACAAAACATGTAACAGTCAAAGCACTGCATAAAATTGAACTTGGTTACAAAACCAGTTTCTTTTTATTTGCTTAATTTTCTCTAGGTTGTGTGATCATAACGATAAACAATGTTGTAAGGAAACCCAAGTAACCATGCCATTCCTTTTCTTTCCAAAGTAACAGCTAACCCCTTTTATATCAAGACTTCAATTTTATAATTAAATTGTAATTTGCATTTGCCATTCCTGGTCTTGCTATTAATATTCTTTCAATTTATATCCAGAACAAGCAGTTGGCAGACATGAATATTGCAGTTCTAATACAAATATTGGTTTTTATAGGACATGGCAACCCAATGGATGCCAACTATTCTACAAGTATAATAAATGAATTCCAAACAGGTGGATGGAGAATTTAGTTAATCAAGGAAACCTTTAAAGCCAAAAGGTTCAAAAAAACGCGAGAAAAAACTTGTCAACTTACCCAGTCACCATCAGACTTAGCGGCAGGTACTAATACATTGATCTCACTTGACTTTGCCGTTGTTATAGATGCCCCCAAAGAATCTTTGCTTAAGTATAACTGACAGCCTGATGTGTTGTCCACTGAAATAGTTGGAGCAAAACCCTAGAACAGCCGCAGAGTAGATAACCTTAAGTATTAAAACTGTCAATCACTAATTACAGAACTAGTATGTAGTAACAATATCAATCGAAGAGCATGGAACAAAAACCCATTGTGTGCTAATTTATGGAGCATAACAAAATGCTCGGTATTTGGTTTCAAGGTATTTATGTCAGAAGTAAAACAAAGATACCTGACATTGCACCTCAACACCATTGCAGTTTACTATTTCACAAGCAGCCACAACGTCCTGTCAAGCGTAAATGAGAAAATGTTATGCTTCTGAAAAATATAAATGCTGAAAATTTGTCTTCATCCTACAAACCTTAAATACCACTCCCATCTTAGTGCATTTGTCAATTGTTATATTGTTGACTTTCCCTGCATAATACCACAACAATGCTAAGTTGCTCTTACTTTTCAATAGTCATCTCTTTCAAATAACAAAAAGATTCACAGGGCCAAAGCAAAAAATTACACATGTAAAAGAAACTACAATGTGGTGTTCATAAATCATGCAAACCATACAATAAACTTACCCTGAATCTGCAAAACAGAATCTTTGCATCCAAAAACATATACAGACTGTTTGGCATCACAGTCATCAATAACTAAGTTCTTTCTTCCAAATTGGTCCTCAACAACCCACCTGCCAATAGTACAAGAAATAGACACTTAATAAATCAAATACCACCACCAACTACCTAAATAAAAGTTAAGAGAATCCTACAGAAATCATGCACACTTACTTACGACCCATTTGCAGCTCTAGTTTCGGTGGTCTTGCTTTTGAGGAAGAAGATGAGCTGGAATGTGTTTCCTTTTCACCGGCACTAACAATGCCTGTTCTATCTGTACGGTTCTTTGTCTTCATATCAGTAGAAACCTTCTTCAGGCCTAGACATGAAGAGAATCATATCATAGTTGCGCAATATCAACACAAAAGATACAGGAAAACAGAGAAGATAGGGAGGGGAAAGAAGACTACCAGCAGTGACATTCCCAGTATTGATTTCTTGGAAAACAGCTGCCATCCCTTGTTTAGGACGTGATGAAGAAGGTTGAGAAGGTTCCGAGCTGCAAAGTGAAGCAGGTGGAGGAGGAGGAGGAGCCGCTGGAGCACCAGTTGTAGGAGTTTTCGTTGCAGCACTAGATGCCCTTTTACCAGAAGCACTCCACACTGGACCAAGAGGATAATGACTTTTGACATAATCCCTCAGACCTGGTAAATAAAGCTCCTTCAAAGCTTTTGCCCACTCAACATGGTTTGGATCTTTGTTTCTGAACTCTACAAGAACCTGATATTTACAATACATCTTTCAGCACCAAACAACTAGACATTTTGCTCATATGTATGATCATATCAATTGAATGGACAATGTTAGATGAAAACGATACAAACAGAATGTGTTAATCAACTTACTACAAAAAAACCTACAAGCATCAAACATAACAAATATTTATATATGTATATATGGTAGTATTACTGACTCAGCAAATTTCAACATATTAAATTAAAGCCTCTTACTCTTCATACACACATATCTTTGCTGGGAAAAATTCAATTACATGAAAAAGAGAGGTTGATCTGACCAATAACAATAACATCATTGACCCAAATTTTTAAGAAAAAGAGAAGAAAATGTTAACATATGGAAATCATAAGAAGATTTAGCACCCTTGTTCTGCATTCAATGCTGTTCCTTAATTTTATTCCTTAAGCTTCAAGGCAACAGATAACATACATAATGGATGGCAGTGTTCCAGTTCTGAGTTGCTGGCTTCCTACAAATAAAGAAGTACCTTGTTGCTGTAAAATTCAGCCGATTGCCAACTTTCTTCCACATGTGCAATAGGCATGCTCATACCTTGAATAAGAAAAGCATTACCAAATATCAAACAGCAAGTGGCAGGAGATCATATGTTATTGCCATATAAAACTGTTAAAAAGCTGTTTGCACATAGCAAGACCTTCACTGGATATGCTGACCTACGCAACAAGAAGCACCACCACTCGTATTCTTTTGCTGAAGTCCTAAGCATGAAATGCACTAGTGGAGGTCATACTTTTTCCATATGGGTGATTAGTTGAAAACATGAGCCTAATTCATGTTTGAACAAAGGCAGGAATATAAATCCACACTTTAAACAAATAGTGTAAATCAGGCTCCTGTTTTTGCTCCACATAAGTTAGGATTTATGCTACACACTACACAAGAATACCTCATTGAGCAAACTAGCCATTTCATTGTACAGATATAACTATGTAAACATAGACAACAACATACATTCACATACCACAATCTTTGCCAGTGTAAGCAATCCATGCTAAAGCTGAAAGACTGTCCCCAGCACTCTTCAAGTGGTTTAAAAAATCAGATCGCCTCCCTTCTGTTATAGCATTAGCCTTCGTGATCACTTCATTAAGTGGTTTGAGAAATTCAGCCATGCCTGCCATATCAGGTTTCTGTACCAACAGAAGGGAATGCATTCAAAATTTCATGAACATAATAGAGCCACTGAATACGATACTTGCATGGTAAAAGGATAAAAAGCTGAATCTTCGCGACAACCCAATTTAAGCTATAAATACATTACAACTGAGTCGAATTCACTGGATTTTAAATAATTCATAAAAATAAAATAATTTTTTAAAAAAATAACTAAAAAAAGGTTAATCAAACAAGTGGGCACAACAAAATTTGATTATATTTTAAGGAAAAGAGACCAAGTAAAACTGTAACCTCAGTTTGCTTAATCTCGATAAGTAGCTTCTTTTGCACGGAGAAAGCCTCCACAATAATCTTAGTCACATCCAGCACTTGACCTCCGATCTTCTCCGCAGCATCCGAAACCCTAGCCACATGTTGAGCCATCAGATCGTCAAACGCCACAATCGACGGATCTGAAGCCACCTCAACACCGCTATCCGGCAATCCCCTCGACGAGACTCCAGCAGCCGATAGAGCCTCCAGCCTCGCCACGGCGGCCTCCAACCTCTCTATCAGCTTCCCCTCCATACTCAAACCAACCTCTCCCTTCCCTCTCTAAAAGTGCTCGATTAGATTCCTAATTTTCTCGAAAATTTCTTAAATTTGTCTCTGGAGCAGATCTGGAATTTGATGCGATTCTATAACTACCTTTTTTCTTTTTAATCTTGAATCGCCTAAAGGAATGGGAGAGAAAGATAGTGGGAATAATTTGGGGCTTTGAGTGTTTTGTAAATGTGGAGTTATCTGTTTTGCCATTGGATTCTGGAGAGAACATGTGTAAGATAAAGCGAGATTATTGGTCTGGAGTCCTATAATGGTGTGACCGCAAAATGATAACCTTCACACAGCCATGGCCACATGATACCAACTACCCAGTGCACTTCCAGAGGCGTGCAGACAGTACAAAAAGACAACTGCAGAATTGATTTACCAGTATGGGGCTCCCTTTCGGAAGCAGTAACATGATTTAAGCTGTTCACTCATCCTGGCAAAAGGTAATGCCATTTCTTGCTAAAAACAACAGGGATTGGCTATTTCAACAAACAATGACATATCCGGTGTCCGCATCAATAATAACCATAGTGTAGTTTACTCGACGTCGTCGGCGAAAGCAACATGGTCCATAGATAACCATGTTAGGTGGTAACCGAATATTATTGAAGCATTTCCTCTTCTGTTTGGAGTTATCATTTGCCACACGGGTTTTTCATTCTCAGGCACTTCTTCTTAATCTGGTAAGATATCAGTGTTTAAGGTCTAAATTAAGTTGCAGATAAGTTATGGTGATTCTATACTTGCAGTGGCGGGTTTAAAATTGCTGGAGTAATAATATATGAATTCACGAGTTTCAATTCTCCATGGTATCCACAGTGTGGGATTTTTTGGTAAATCACGAGAGAAAGAAGTTTTACACCTCTGCTCACATCAAATACCATGAATGTCAAAGCAGAAACTCTAAAGAACTTACCTGCAGTTACAGATGCTTATTAGTTAATAATTGGTGCTCGGAACATGTTGCAGAAGTGAAAAAAAAAAAAAACGATTGTCACTCGAATTTAAACAAGTGTAACAAGTCTTTGGCAGACACCAAGTATGTCAAGGTTTCATCAATGTAAGAGGATTGACATCCTTAAACAGACTGGCATACATCAAATTATTGAAAGGCGAGTGCGTATTTACAAGGCTCGTTGAAATCTAAAATGCCGCAGTGTATCGACAAAAAGTATCTAAGTAAGCAAAATTATATATGCATATATGCACATACAAGGCATGTAATATTTTCATGTGAACTAATGAAAAACTTATTCTACAACATAATCTACCTCAGGAACCATAATGTCTTCATCTCGATTTCTCTATATTAACATTCTCAACGTGCTTCAGAAGTGCCACTTTCATGGACGTTCGCACAGAGGATGGAACAGTATCTCTCTCCTGCACAGGCCGGTGATCCTGCAGAAAATGAAACAGGTAACAAATCAAAAACAGCTGAAAGCAGGGGAAGACAGAACCATTATATGATGAAAAAGTCTTCCCAAAGAAATAGAAACGGGTAATGATCTTGTGGATATAACCACAATTAGATTACTACATTAGCATGTTTAAGGTTTTCTTTTAACATATTAAGTATCAGCATCTGTTGGCCCATGGCACACCTGACGTCTTAAGAGCTCACTGTGCATAAAACTACTCGTTTATAAACAGCATGCACTAAGTAGTAAGGACTCAGTATGTCTTATCAGAGTGATAAAAAGAGTTATGACATCTAAAACTCAACAAACCCAAATGGCTCCCTTTATTGAAATCTCAGTATTTAGGAAGAACAGAAAGGACATTGACATTCATGGAAAGTAAATGAGAATATTCTTTTCTTGACCAGCAGGACCAATCAAATCTTAATATTAGAATTAAACTGACTACAAACCATTAAAATAAAGGTATTGTATGTTATTAATATTCATGGACTAATGATAAGGCTATGCAGAAAGCATGTCACAGGAGGGCTTACAGAGCAGAAAGGAAAGTCATCTGCCTCAAGCATATGAACAATCTGCCCCATTTTTGGGCGCTTATTGGCATCCAAATCTATACAGCGGAGACAAACAAGCAATGCTCGTTTCAAAGCTCTAGATGAGGGTTGAACTTCAATCAACGGATCCACAAGTTCTTCTACACGACGACTTGCTACCATACCTTTGAACCAATCAACTAAGTTCATCTGAAATACATCAAACAGAAAAAGTATTATTAGGGTGTTCTGGCATTCAATGAAGGTATTGCAAAAGAAACACTGTTTTTACCTCTCCAGGTGGCCTAGAATAATCAATCGGGCTTCTCCCGGTAATTATCTCCATGAGTAGAACTCCAAAACTATAGACATCACTTCCCTCATTAAGCATGCCTGTGCTTGCATATTCCGGGGATACATAACTGTAGAGAAACAACAAATATAACACAAAAAGAACCAGTGGTGAAGGGTGAAGGGCATAAATATATTTTTCATCTGCCAAAATATAGACATGGGACTATGAAAATGAACAAACCCAAATGTCCCCATGACACGTGTAGTCACATAGCTTGCCTCAGATCCCAAGAGTTTGGCTAATCCAAAATCGGATACTTTTGGGTTCCACTTTTTGTCCAGAAGAATATTACTTGATTTTACATCACGATGCACAACTTTAGGTTCTAGCCCTTCATGCAAATAAGCTAACCTGCAAAAGAAACAAGAAACATAACAATTTAGTGGAGGGAAAAAGGATTGAAGTGTGAGCTACATCCACTGCTTACAAAAGTTAAATACACACACATGCACACAATACTACCCATTTTAGCAGAACACTCATAAATAAAAACAGCTCAAAAGTAGATGCCATTTTGAGATTAGAGACTGGTAAAAATTTACAATAAGAAGATACATCAGGGTATAGAAGGACTTGATGAAATTTCTCAAGTATTCTATAAAGACTTTATAGCAATTTTCAGTTTTCAGTTTTTTTCTTCCTGTCACTGGATTTGATCCTATCATTAAGGTCTAAGGATAATAAGTAACAAATTTAACCTTAGACTTATAGGAACACAAATGACACAATTAATACTGCGTAAGATGGTACGCAGTATGTCACTTTGAAAAAGAAGTCGAATTGATTTTTAGCATGAAACAGCATTTGGGAAACCAAAAGTATTCCGCTCATTGTTCAACATTCAAGCAGAGGCAACATAAATAAGGCTTCATATGATAGGAAAAACGAAAAGAGAGAGAGAGAGAGAGAGAGAAAACCCAGCACCCTTTTGCCGTTTCTATTGCAATCTTCATTCTTATATCCCACGTAAGAGGACTAACAGGCCCAACATCACCATGCAGCCATTGCTCCAAGTTCCCATTTTCAACGTATTCATACACAAGCATCCTGAATAAATAGTAGTAGTAGTAATTCAGTATTGCCAGTTCATTTCCATTTAAAGATATAAGGGTTTGTCTGTCAAGTGGCACATGTAAAAATTACCTTCGATCACGTTCAGCGCAGTACCCAACTAGACCCACCAAGTTCTTATGCCTCACTTTGCCAATGGCTTCAACTTCCACGCTGAATTCCTTCTCTGCTTGGCCCCTGTCAACAATGCAACAGGAATTTTGCTTAAGTAAGTAAATAAATTAACAAAACTTGATTCAAATTTCCCAGTCAACAGTAAGGACAAAACAAGAAAAGACAAAGAAAAAGAAAAAAAAAGTGAAAAAAAGTTTGATTATTTTAATATTAAAATAAAGGAACACCAAAGTAAATAAAGAACAGAGCAACCATTTTTACTTTTCCTAGTACCACGCCACCGAAGGAAGATTGTAGTCAAATTACAATGTTGGAACCCATTTACCAGAAAAAAAATTAAAGTCAAAGCTGCAATTAGAAGAACATAAAACATAATTTTTAACAATTTTTAACAATCTGTCTTGGATCTAGCATGGATAATAAAATAATCAAGAGAAAGATTTTCCCGGTAATTGCTTTGTCTTTTTCCCTAGAAACAAACAGAGTAAAGCACGATCTCAAAGTGAATACTGAATATAAGAAGCTTCGTTTACGTACTTGTTGTTAAGCAGATTTTTTACAGCAACGACAGAACCGTCTTGCAAAATGCCTCGGAATACGACGGCGTATCCACCTTCACCGATCACATTTTCCTCGGCGAATCCACGTGTCGCCATGTCGAGCTCCTTCATGCTATACCACCGACCCCACCCGATATTCTGAACATCCGCCGACAAGTCACTGGCTCCCGAGGTATCATCGCTAACACCTTCGCTACTCTTCTTGGGAACCACATTTCCAGTTTTACCCTCGTCAGTAAAGCAATCTACATTTTGATCCAACGCCTTTATCTCCACGATCTCTTTAGAGACCAACGGGATTAGACCTAAGCTATGCTTCACTCTCCGCTTGCGCGAGTTTCTGTTTAAACGGAAACACAGGAAGATTGTAAAAGAAAACAGAAGAATGAAGACTACGAGAATGGAGATTACTAAGTAGAGTTTAAGGTTGAACAGCGGTGTTTTTGATGAAAGAATTTGAGTTATAGAGTTGCTTTTGTTGTCGTCGTAGGTTTCGCCGGTGACCGGCATTAGTTCCGGCGATATATCGAATTTTCTCGGGAAAGTGAAAGAAAATGTTAAGAGAGAGAAAGAAAGAAAGATTCCAATGAGGGCTTGAAGAGTGGGAAAGTTAGGGGTCGGAGGGGTTTGGGTGCTTCAGAGAGAAAAAAATGGAGTTTCAAGTTGATTTCCAGTTACGGAGACGAAGGGTTGTAAATATATTGGGTTTGCATATGCAGGTTTATTACGGGAATGCCACTGTTGACTGTGTAAACAATGTTGTTAACTTATTAAACGTAATTAAAAATCTCGAATAATATTTTCCAAGCTCATTTACTAAACGAGCAGATTCTGCACTAAGGATTGATTTGTTTAATGATTATGAACAAATTTGTTTGACGATAATTTAGAATCCGTTCGTTTGTAACTCGTTTAAATATTGTTTGTTGTTGGATAATAATAATAAAAATTAATATTTATTAGGTATATTTTAAGTTTAAAGGATAAATTAATTTTTTTATTAAAAATTATTAATAAATAATTAAATACATTTTTAATTTTTATATCGATTTAATACGTAGTACCACGTCAACTTAATTATATTATCATCTTATCCCATAAACCTTTCATTTAGATTTATAAATAAAATCACCTGAGCAAAGATTCAAATTACGGTTGTGGATACGTTTTCGATCACGTCGCGTTTGTCGTGATTGCGTATATAACGGAGATTATTACGATAATTACGATTATCAATGTCGTAAATTTTTTTTTATTTTTTATAATTTATTATAAAATTTAGTAATTATAATTATAATAATAAAAATTAGTACTTATAATTTTTAAAATAATTTATGATATTTTAATTTTTATTTATAAATTAAAATAATTTTTTCATGTTTTGTAGTGACGATTCAGAATAAAAATGCATATTATAAATATTTTTTTTTTATTATACTTATGAAGTTCAAAAATATAAATATTATAAATACATATGATAGAAAAAATATATCTTATATGAAGTTAATAAATATTATAATTAATTTAATTAAAAAATTAGTGTTGAATATCTAAAAGAAAGAATGAGAACTGACGGTCCTCACACTGAAAGAAGTGGAATAAGCAAGCAAATAATCCAATAAGTGATTCTCCTTGACCCGAAAAAAAAAAAGGAACCAACCAAAGTGATTTTCCTTGACCCAACAAAAAAAGAAAGAAACAAACGATCTTCGCACTTGGCACAGCTTCCCATTTCAAGAAACAAGAAGAAATGAAAAGGGAAATCCGAGCTTTTCCACGAGCTCATGCCAAATTCTCTCTGAAATCCAGAATGAAAATGACCAACTTATTGGGGCTAGAAAGCACCCCATCCGGTCGAGGTTGATCGGCTGCAATGACTGCTCGCGGCCATTATGATTGTAAATTTCATTCACAATCGAATTTCGAGTACGTAACGGTGGTAGAGATTACCGAAACCGTAAAATAGCGGCCGCAATGCTGTTACACAACTGTTATTTGAAACCCTACACCTGAGTACAATCCATCTTATCTATATTTTTTCTTTACTTTCTTATTTTCATCTCTTTCGAATCTCATTTATTCTAGTCTTTAGTTTGAGTGTTGGAGAGCAAAAACAAAAAACAACACTCTCTGCTTTTACTTTTAATAACTTTTTTTCTTGTGATTTTAAAATATTTACTCCTAGAGCTCGATATCAATAATATTTTTATATTATTATTATTTGTAAAATTAATTATTTATAATTTATTTTATTTATTATTATTTTTAATTTTGTTTTTATGAGGGATTTTTTAATTAAGGGCTTTCGACCTTTGTTCATGTAATTTGTACCGTTATTTGGTGTTTGGTAGTGTGTGTATATATATTATCAATTTATAATTTTATATTTATTTAAATTTATTTAATTATAATTTATTTAATATTTTTAAATATTTTTAAATTATACTGTTATTTATATATTTATAAATATGTTTATTCGTTGAATTTACATTAAACAATTTCAAATCAATCTCAACTATCATAAAATCTAAACTAATTGTGAAATTCCCTAAGTAATCTATTTGCTCTTATTGTGCTTCAAATGACTAACATGACTTGGAACGACCAAACGTTCAAAGCCCTCCTTCACTGATCTCTTTTCCTTAATCAAAGAATAAAATGACGATTTTAGCACTACTATGAATCTTTAAGTAATAATTTATTAGTTTTAATTATGATAATGTGGAGTAACAAAATCAAGTAATTTAATTTTTACCAATAAAGTTCGGTCCATAAAAAAAAAAAGTTATTAAATAGGAGTTCGATTTTATAATTCTTCATTTCAACCAGCGTTTCTGGGGACCATGGCCAATGAGCACTTTACGCAGCTCACAATTTAACCCGACTAGAATTCCCCGGAAGTTGAACAAAACCTCTGCTTGTCATTTGGCTTCAACATTTATGGTTCGCATTTTTTTGTGTGGTACAATTCAGTTTGTTGTACTATTAATTGATTTCAAATATTAATTTCAGTAAAATTTATTTAATATAAAATTATTATTAAATTTTGTTTGTAATTAAAATTATAAAAATATATATTTTTAATATTATTATTATATTTTATTTGTAATAAAATTGCCCTTATATTATCATTTTTGTTATTTTTAAGGTTTAATATTTTTTATGTCTGATAATCACTTAAAATTTTAATTAATTTTAAATTGAATCAGATCGAATATCATAAAAAAAATTATCTCAACCTTATATTTTTTATTTACAAAACTTAAAATTAAAATTTTATTTAAAAAAAAATCAAACTCTTTAATCATTGGAATTAACAGAAATTGCTGTTATCAATTTTGTTATTGCTTCTTGGCAGTCCAACCTTGGCACAACAAGCATTGCCCAAAAAGAAAGAAAGTTGTGTCAAAGATATTTTGAACATTTTGAATTGTATGATTGAAACGCGGCATTAATACTAATCACATTATTCATTTGAAATTCAATTTAAATTTTTATATTTCTAAACTCTTATATATGTATGTGTTGGATTAATGGAATATTGATAGTGATAAGAAAGATGTTTGAGAATTATAAAATTTTAAATTTTAAATTTATTGTATTAAGTTTAATTAATTAATTAATTAATTTAATTATGCAATGATATTGGGACTTAGGTCCCGTCATGCAACAAAATTTTGTGGGATTTGCAGGCGCAAGAGTGATTGGATCTCGGAAACACTGCGATGCCCCACACTTGCATTGTGTTTTTGTTGATTGTTCTTCATTGGATTTTGTTTATGATATTTTTTGTATCTTAGTTGAAGAAGATTGGTATGAGGTTATTGAAAGTTGTACGGTTTGAATTTGCATTCGGAAAGCATAGACATGAGATATTGAAATTATTTTTTTGAAATGTATTTTAATATTTAAATTAATTATGTACAAGAAAAAGGCAAAAAAATTGTGAAGTGTGCGAAAAAAGTTTTAATGAAAGAAAAATATTTAAATGTGAAGTATATGTATTATTTTACGTATTTTAGATTTATTTTTATTTTATATATAAAATAAAAAATAATGATTTGATTTAAATAATTAATAATTAATAAAAAATATATATGAAACTCGATAAAATTTTATATAAGTGATTGTCAATCATATTTAATAATTTTAAATAAAAATAAATTATATTTAATAATTTTAAATGAATTTAAAAATTAAATATTTAATTCTAATATAATTTCTTAATAGAAATGAGTCCCTTCTCTGAAGGAGGACAAGCCAATTTTATATGTACTACACTTTGGACTTGCACTATTTGAAGGACTCAAAAAATTTGTCGTATTGATCAAGGGTTGATTGAAAAAATGGGCGCAACAGGTTTGCCTAGCATAACGTTTCCACGTAAGCTCGTCAAGAAAGCAAGGACGGAGTGACTGACTCATCCACTTGTCTATAATAATATGAAAAGTACAAAAAAAAGAAAAAGAAATAACGGTCGTCCTTGTCTTCGTTGTCGGAAACGAGAAGGCTCTTGAGTGAACGTCCTCAGCAAAACTACGATGAGGTCGCAACAATATAAAGATATGAAAAATGAATTGATAATCCATCATATCTTCACTTCATTTGACTATATTAATGAATTCAATATAAAATTGCTTATGCAAAGGTAATAAAATAATTTTTAAAATAAATTAAAAGCGAAGTAGAAAATGAATGATCGACTGAAAAAGCTTTCCCAACATCGACGATTAATAGATACAGCTCAAGCTAAATAAAATGAAATCTGCCTCAGTTAATATCTTTTCTACGGAAAAAAATCTTCCCCCCCTCCCCATATCGCATCCGTACAGAAACAATCAAGTCGCCTTCTAGTTATGCCACCTGTCCTCTGAAACTAGTGAAAATCGTCCCCCATTTCGTTCCATAGCTCCCGCGGCATGTGTACCTTCTCGTTTCCTCATCCAAATCCAAAATTAGAAGAAATTCATCTATAAACTCCCCGATGATACCAAACGGCTCACGAAAGCGTCAGCGCGTGCCCCACCACCACAACTCTGCCATGCGCATCTTCTCCACCGCCGCAATCTTCGAAACCTTCCCCGACAAAAGCATCTCTGAATCCTCCGAAAATCTTCGCTGTACCTCGTTGTTGTCCACCATATCCTCCGCCAAAGCCATCACCACCATTCCCAACACCATTACCTCCTCGTTCAACGACCCCTCCACCGCTGATGTCGTCCTTCGCCTCTTCGTCGACCATTCCCTCGTTCCTTACTCCACCCCTTTGGATTCCTCCGATCAATCCGACATCCAGATCTATCTCCACTCCCGCGTCATCGGCCGCGCCAAGTATTTCGCGGCGCTTTTATCTGACCGTTGGCAACACCAAACAAACGCCGACACAAATAGCAACAATGCCGCCGCAGATTCCAGAAATAACCTAGTTTATTTAAACCTTGGCGTTATCGACGATCAAAACTCCATAACCGTCCATTTAACCGTCCTTCAACTACTTTACACGAACGATTTCGCTACCGTCATCGACTCAGCCTCCACCGCACTCGAAATCCTCCCCGTGGCTCTGGAATTACTCTTCGAAGATTGCGTAAAATCATGCGTGCAATTCTTGGAAGCCGTGCCATGGAGTGATGAGGAGGAGAAGAGGGTTTTAAGGTTGATCCCTTTATTGCGTGAGGAAGAATCAAAGGAACTTCTCGCCAGAGTTTCACCGGGGAAAGATGATTCTTGTGAAGAAATGTTGCACGGCTTGATTATAGCGGCGATTCATAACCATCCCAATATGGCGTTTGTTAAGGCATTTGTCGCTAAGCTTCTGAGGGATTTTCCCTTGCGGGAATCTGCAAGGAGGGTTTTGGAGAGGGCATTCGAGGTGAGTTTGAAGATTGTGAAGGAGAGTTTGGAGGAGTATTCGAGCCCTGATTTTAGAGGGGATCATAATGAGACGGAGGCGATACAGAGGTTGAATTTGCATACGGCGATGACTAATGGGAGGCATTTGTTGTGGTTGGTGGAGAGGATGATTGAGTTGAGGGTGGCAGATACGGCTGTGAAGGAATGGAGTGAGCAGGCTACATTTACAGCGGATTTGCAGAGAGCGTTTAGGGATGATGCTTGGAGGAATATTGTTCCGGGACTCCCTGCTGTCGTTCTCCGGTGTACTTGTAAGCTCGCCAATGCAGTTGCTGCCGGAACAATATTGGCTGCTAAACAGGTATTGGTTTCTTGGAAGCATTTTGACTATATGAATAGGCAGGTGTTTATTATACAATGTCCAATGAATTGATAAATGCGAAGTTGTTTTTTGTTGGTGGAATCTATATGAGTATGCTGGCACTTCTAATGGAGTGCTGGTGAGGGCTGCTTGTTAGGTATGCGAATTATTTATTATGGGAACTATTTGCACAGAGGAACAAGTTTATTTCAATTAAAAGTTATGATGGATAAAATCGCGAAGTTGAAGCAAGCTTATTTGTTTTCATGTCTAGGTGACCATGGAGTATGGATTGCCTATATGATATTGTAAACATATTGTTGGTCAGATATTTTTTAAGCTCAAAGTGATTCTGAAAGTATATAAACCACAAGAAATTTGGCTCTGTTCAATCAGTTGCTGAAAGAAAGTTCATGTTTTCAGTTAATCAACATTAGAGTCTTTGAAAATTTTGATGGAATGATAAGTTAGGGTAATTGTTTCACACCAGGCCTTGATCGCATTTTTGGCCACCTGTTAATACATGTGATTTGCTTTTATAAATATGGGGACTAGCAAAATGTGGTCTGCCATCAGTCCTGTTTAAAGGAGTGAATGTATCAAAGGTGGTGTCTTTGGGTGATCTAGCGCCCACTTGATTGGTATACCTACTCAAGGAAGTTCGTTAAATCAGTTGATAATCACTCAATTCTAGTATTTCATACAAAATGGTCATATCAGCTGGGTCCTTTATAATTTCATTTGTCAAAAATCATTGAACTTAATGTAATTAAGATCTAACAAGTGTTCTTGACATATGAGTACTTTTGTTTCTGACTTTGAAAATGATCTTCTAAAGACTATTAAAATTTCTCTTTAAAGCAAAAGTATGGTCTGAACATGTGTTGACTCCAGATTTGAATGATAAATTGCAAAGTGCTATAGGGTAGAGTTATTTGTTCTTACAAGATTTGAGGGTAAGGCCGAGTTTTACTGGGAAATTGCCCGTGGCTTCCAGTTGATTTTTAGAAACTTTATCTCATTTGAAACCTTGGTTGTAATGAATGTTTGATGCTTGAGTTTTAGAGAATTCAAGTATTCTCATAATCTTGCCCATCATAGGTGGTTAAAATGACTTTAGTCTCAAAATTTTCAGGTTAGAATGAAGCTTGTCAAAGACTGGCTTCCTGTTCTGATAGTGTGTAAAGACAATGTCTCAACTATGCTGCCTAGTCATAAAACGCTGTACCTGGAATTAGAGGAGACATTCCTGAGAATCATCTCAACACTACCAATGTCAGATGCACAAGTGTTGTTGCAGCAATGTCTCAGCTTCTCAACCAGAAATGTTGAAGATTGCCCCCACTTGGTCACAGCTTTCAATACTTGGTTTCGCAGGGCAACACAACCTCCTCAACTGGAAAATCTTGATTAGAAAAAAGAGTGGTATTTGCGTATGGTGGTGGTAGGTGGATAGTCACCCCTTCAGTGCTGCTTTGGTCATGGAGGTTTAGTTTCTCTGTTGACTTGTGTTCATATAATAAGCTGATCTCATATGTCAAATCTCTTTTAAATATTTTCTAAGAAAATAAAAATTAATCGTGTAAATGCGGGTCAAAAAGATGGGTGGGCGGGTGACTTATCCGTATATTCTGGTTTGGTCTCTAATTGAGAAAGAAAATTCAAAACTTTTCTAGTTTTGTTCTGTTGGACTTTAAAAATCTCTAATTTTCTTGATTTATCTAATAGCAAGTCCATTATTGGCACACAAACTTGATTTATAAAGGCACATTACCTTTTGTGGAGTAATTGAGATATATATATATATATATATATATATATATATTGGTTGTCAAATTAACTGAAAAATTTTTAAAAACAAGTAGAGGTGTAATAGATTGAATTAGAGTTGATACAATATTAAGTTTAAGTTTGAGTTCGATTAAAAATTTGAAGTTTGAAATTCAATTAGAATTCGATTGAATTTTATTTTTATAACTTGTATTTGATTCGAGATAAAAATTAAATTATTCAAATTTGTTATATTAAAATTGATTAACATGTAAAAATAAGTTTAATTTTTATGTGTGATAAAAATTTGATTATTTGTGTTTGAGTTTAAATTTGAGATATTTTATTAATTAAAATAATAAAAATATATTTAAATATAAAAATTTAATTAAATTCACGAGTTATTTGAATTGAATGTAAAAATATTTGAATTTAATTCAATCGATGAATGAAATTATTGTAACTTGAATTTTACTCAATAATAATTGAATAAAATTTAAAATTTATTTAAATTGAATTCGAATAGCTTGTGAATATTAATATATTATTTATATTCTTAAATTCAAGTAACGATGAGTTGAAAGTAAGAAAACGTTAAGAATTTCTAAGAAAAAAATTCAATACAACAGCACAAACTATAGAAAACAATCAAAAAGAAATTAAAGGGGAAATTTGTCATAAACTATATAAAAAGAAGTTAGAAAGGACAATTGTCATCCTACTGTTGAAATCAGTCAGTGCAATGCGAGAGCATGCAGCCTTCGATTCAGCTGGTTGCATTCAAAAACCCTGGAATTCTTAGGCTCCATAAAACAGTGAAGAGTGAGGGATCCTGCTTGATGGCTCAACCCAGTAACATGAGCAACATTTTAAGCTTTGGCTATTTTCTCCAGGCCACCTTGCATATCCAAGAACCTGAACGTGTGCTTAATATCAAAAATTTTGTAACCAATGAAATAAACCAATTGTCCCATGAAAAATCTGATATCATATAGTGGTCGTTGAGTTAAAATTTTCATTGAAAACTCAAAATCACAAGCGTTATGAAAGATGATCCTAGTCAAGCCTTCGAAACAATTGAACATCAATTTAGAATTCCAAACCATTATTGCAAAATTTCTAGAATTAATACCTTTCCCTTTGTTCTTCACAAATTCGATTTATTTGTTGTTTAAGTAACTCAATCGATTTTTTAACATAACCAACTTTTTCTATATCAAAATCTTTGAAATTAAATTCCTATATAACAAAAGAAAGTATCAAAATCTGTCAAATTACCGTCAGAATCAGCTAGAATTAAGCCGAGTTGGATTATCTTAAGCACTTTCACGTTGGATTTCATGAACTGATACTTAATAACAGGATTGTCCTCTTGGATGATTTGTTTATCTGACTTAAAAATTATACCAGGAAATTCCGTATCCATAGAGACAAAAGGATACTTCACAATTGCACTCTGAATTATCAGAAACTCACGTTCCAAGTCTTCTGCAAATACTTTCTAACGATCACCGGTTTGTTTTCCGGCGGCGTCATCTTTCTTTCTCTTTTTTCTGCGACTACAATGACTTCGGCCTCGTTGAAACTACTGAGCCCAACTGATAGATCCCGTAATCAAATTCCAATTCTAATTTGAAAAAAAAATTCCTTTATATAAAAGCTAGCTTCCGACTTCTATTCTATGCAGGATAGAAGATTATATATATATAAAATACGAGGTGGCTTGCTTGGGGCACAAAACTTAAAGATAGATGCTTTATATTTTGCTGTCTTTGATTTTATATTTTTTTGAAAAAAAAAGTAGACTAATAAAAAGCTAAAAGATCCTTAAATTTTAATAGAAAATGATGGATTTTACTATCTCTTGATATTAATTAAAATAAATAATCTTCGAAGATATTTAATATTAAAATTTTAACCATAATACATCTTAAGTTTTTTAATTTTCTTATTAAAAATGTGTAAATAAAAATTGTAATAAAAAATTTTAAATTGATAAATTAATAAAATTCAATGTGAAAATTAATAATACGTAAAAAAAATTATTAAAAAAATTATTTATAATTTAAATTTGATCAATACTTATTTAACGAAAAAATTTTATCAACATTTTTACTAAAAATTTTTATTTAATAAATATATCAAAATTTATTAAATTTTTTTCAAATTTTACACGATCTTTATAATAAAAATTTTCAATCAATCGATTTTAATTTTTATGTACTCATTTATAATAAAATATTTTATAAACTTTACCTATGAAACTTTATATAAATCCTCGAGGATAACCCCTACTTAGTTGCAACTTGCAAGGATATTGAATCATTATCTGCCCAATGAGATCTGTGTCTTCTTTCTTCACCAAAATTTTGTTGTTATCAACCAAAAAAGACAGGACACACACAGGTAGAAACAGCTTCATAAAAACAAAAATGCAGACAGCAGACAAGGTAGCTACATGAAGAGGCTAAAATATGGCTGAATTCTCATGTCTGTGAAATCAAATGTCTGAAAGCTTTCTAAATTGAGGTAGTACAGAGTGTAAAACAAGATTACATACTTATTTAAGATTTAAAGGCAAGAAAAAGCCGAAATTCGAGCCTTATCTCAGTTAATCACAAATTATGAGCTCCTAATCCGCACAAAGAAAATATGGTAGAGACACCAGAAGTTAGCTCATGGAAATATGCAGGACTTATTTAGCAAAAGGATAAAAGCAAAGGAAAGTGTTGATTATAGTACTCGCCTTCGAAAGTTACGGGTAGTGCCTTGGTAGGTACGAACCAGTAAACCTACTCCTATCCCGATTCCAAAACAGATGCTGAGGCCGATTCCGACACCCACCCTCACCCCAGCATTGAACCAAGAAAGCTCCCCGTCTTCACCATCGAAATAAGCTGTTCCCGAATACAGATAGTTGTACTCTTCATTTTCTGATTTATGATTCAAGTAGTTTGGTATCTGCAAATGTAAGAAAGAAATGAAAAGCAGAATGGTAATTCAAACATACATTGTTTATCTATTGTAATAGATAATATCAGAACAATTAACCAAACTCAAATATATGGATACATCAATATGGTCTATGGCCCAAAAGCTTGTAAGAAACCTTATTGCTTTTGTTAAGTTAGAGATTACATCCTGCAAAAACATGAAGCAGTTCCACTTGTTTCAAAGAAAAGACATTGCAAAGTTCCTTATTGAAGATGGAAGAAACAACAACTCCAATAGAGACATATCGTTCGTAGCATCCGGGAGATAAGTTGGTATTTAAATGCAAAAAGCTCTAGCAAGGAAACCGCATTCTAAGTTATTGTATTAGGTTTCTAACAATTAACAGATCTTCGTGCCAAATTATTACTACTGAGGGTTGTTTGAGGTTCAGAAGGATACCTAGAAGAAACAAGACAATACACCGGGATAATTTGTACCCAAACCATAAGTAAACTGTAAAATGCATAATATTTTTTTAGAGAGATTGACCTCAACATGATAGTCAAATACTCTTTCAAAGACAAGTATCGAGCAAAGTATACCTGTCTAATAAAACAAAATGTTCAGATGCATATGACTAGCAGAAAGGATTACTGATACAAATCAAAACATAAATTAGTACGTAGGAAATTAGATAAATGAGTATGCAGCTGTGCTAAAATCGTAAGAGGTAATATGAACAATGTGCTATGAGCATAAACTGAATATGTGCCTATCATGTCATTCTGCTTATTTAAGACAAATTATTAGTAAGGTGTTCTATCATACAATGAAAAATTTAGGGTATAATCCGTAGTATTTGATAAATGGGTAAGGATAACATATCAGTTGAGAAGCAAAGCGAAGCCAGCCAGGTTTCTTTTGAAGAGCTTGAAATTCAAATGTTAACAAATACCTGCAAAGGAGTAACTTCTTTCTGGCCTTCTGTTGCCTCATTCTCTGGTATCGAATCCAACATTGCCTTCTTCATTTGTTTCTTCTGTAAACTAGGCTGCAAAGTTTTAGTTAATATAATTGGCCTGCCCAAGAAAGACCCTGTAACATAGACCTCAACTGTGGATGAAGGTGAATCTGGACTGAGAAATTGATTGGCCTTCAAAAAGCCAGTGCCTGAAGTTAAAACTGATTCGCAATTCATGCTCCATGTCTGGCCACTTCCTCTTGACTCTTCAGTGTAATCGTTACAATCGCACAACTCTACAACCCCAGAAAGCAGAAGAGTATCCTTATGAAAAACCTCGAACTTCACACTTCCTGTCAACCTTATGCCATCCGTGCTCACAAAAATGGCTTCTTCAGATTTTTTATCTAGCCGATCCCTTCTAAGAAGGGTGGATGAGCCATCAGAATAGATGCCAATTCTAACACCATTTACTTCAAGAAGTGTATCAGGATTCAATGGGACATGGTTTAGAGTAAGGTATTCAGGAGTTGAATCATCAGTCTCACACTTGGTTACTCTGACATAGAAAACTCTTAAATCGAGCCAAGTTAATGATTTCTTAGAGACTGGCAGGTAAGGAGAGTGTCTCATAACCATGTGGCCGTTACTAGTCGGCCCATTTCCATTATATGTTTCATAAACTCTCTCCATAACTCTAGAGAATTTAGTACTCCTCCTCAGTGAAACCTTTCCACCTTGATTGAGTTGATGACTAGTTGTGGTCCATTCGAGTGAGAATCATTCGAGCAAAAAAGACCTGCAGAAATGTGAAGAAGGTGAAACTGTGAAACCAAAGGAATTCAGGAAATTTTATTCTAGACAATGAAAAAAACCCAGAAACAGCAGAAAGCAAAGGTGGAGATTAAATTTCCACAGCGGACCACTCAACTCTAAACCAGGAAATGAGAAGTTGAAGAGGAAACAAGGAAAAAATATTAAAACTATAACAAGGCAACCGAAGCTGAACTAAAGAAATGAAACCCCTCAAGAAGGAAATGGAGCAGGGAGAGATGAAACTGAACTAAAGAAATCAACCCCTCAAAACAAAGAGATCAAACAGAAGAAAGAAAACACCTATAGATGATATTCTGTTTATTTTCTATAGCAATTGAACTGAGAACCAAACAGAAATTCTTGCAGTGGCAGAGCCAATAAGGGCGACAACCACCAAACCAAAAGTAGAAGCAAAAGGATAAAGAAGGGATAAGAACATGGGTATATACAGGAGAAAATCCAAAAACTCAAAGTGTTGAAGCCCAACAAAATATTGATGGTAAAAGCAAAATGACAACACATCAAACACTACACAACCTTAAATTCTAATCCCAAAATTATCACAGAATAAAGGGAAATATTGAATCAAATCTAATCAATGACTAAGATAATAAAAATCAGAGTTGCACAAGTTAAATCAGCTAAGCAGTAGAAAAATGAATTTATATTTGTCCTTTCATCCGTCTGGATTAATGTTCAATGAAGATTAATTAAAACAAACAAATTGTCCAGCCAAACTCTAAAGAAAAATTGATCATAACAGAGTAAAAAACAAAAGCAACAATATCAATCCCCGCAGATTCCAACAAACTTGTCGGCAATAGACCATTTTTCACGCACGTCACGTAAACAGACAAAAGACGACCCCTCTGTCTCTCCCTCCCTCTTAATTGTAAATGCATGCATCATGCATGTGGATGATCACCAGGAAAACATCAAAACATGCAAAGCCACAACCTTTTTTTTTAATCAAAACATTAACACACAGAAAAACTCACCTCAAACATCTCACATCCTCAATCTTCTTTGTGGCCTACACTATCCAAAAGCAATCGAATTAGGCTGTCTACTTTGAATGGTGCGTCCCGATTTCCTTCCCCTCAAATAAAACAAAGCAACAGCTTTTGATTTTCTAAAGAGATCAATCCTAACCAGGCAAAAATCACATTCTATAATTCTGTAGTGTAGTAAAAATGTAAAATGCAAAACAAAGACCAACCCAAACCCTTGAATTTTCTGAACAAAATTAATCAAATCACAATCAATGAAAACGAAGAACAAAGAAGAACCCAAGTGCTCAAATTCTGCAAATAAAACTAGGTTGTTCTTATTGTGTTTTCTTTCCTCTGCTTTTCCGATGAATGATGGGATTACAAGTTTTGGATATATGACTATTTTAAGGAATAAATTATTAAGTGGGGTCAAAGTGTACCTGACATTCTACAGATCTTATCCTAGAAATAAAGAAATGAAGGCTTTTCTTAACGAGATCGGTGATTTGCAACTACAAGATACCATCAATCTTTTCTCCCTCCTATAGATAGATATTAATGGGTACAACTACTTAATAATTTGTTAATCATATTGTTTTTTCTGTTCGTAGCTTTGTTAAAGATTTTATTGCTGGATTGACTTTATTTTTTGCTAATTTTCCCCATTTTCTATCTTTTATCTCTGACGTGTTTGGGAGTTCAATACCAAAGATGACTCGTGTGATATTGGATAAAGCCCCCTGAACGTATTTTCTTCTCCAGATTAGCATATGAAACAAGGGCTTACCTGTTGATGTTAATGCCATAGAAACTCTTCTTTTACAAGCGCTGTTGTTTAGCTATGAAATTATTTCCTTTCTGACCAAACACAGAGATAACTTCAGAACATTGTGCATGGATATTTGTCATTACTAGAAAATGTTTACCAAAAACTGTCTTCTTCCTTTCCTTGTTTAAAGGGAAATTTTCCACCTGTAGAAAGTAGAAACCAACAACGTGCTATCAATTTTCTCTTACTTGGGATGTAAAAATTTTCTGAATATTGATTCATCTTATGCCTTTTCTTTTGTTCTGCGGACAGAAGAAAGAAAGCATCCAAGGTTTTATGCCTAGTTTCTTGTTCCTCGTATTATCCTTGATTCGGATTTGGGGTTATGCGGAGGATCAAAGACAAGAAAACAGCTACGCCTTCAACATCGTTTTCGAGTATGGGGCAGATATAATCATGATTCCTAACATTTCAACGTGAAAAGCACATGGACCAAACAGTTACAGAGACCCCACTAGACCGATTCTAGTCATTTGATTTATCAAAACACAAGGTCAAGTTCCATTTCTCTATATGCATGGCCACTCACTCTCACTCTGCCTCGCATCTCGTCTAATTTGTTGACGTTATGGCGTGAATGCGGGCAGGGAGCAGCAATATTCGGAGGCCTGTGAAAAGCAACGTTGTCAGGAAATAGTATGAGCAATGAAAACTTATTCTTTTAATACGATCATGGGAAATCAGTAACTCCACCAACATAAATATAAAGGGGGATAACATGCATAACAACCCCAAAAGCCAACAACCGACAGACTGATTTTTCCTTTCACGGAAGATGCCATTATAAACACAAATAAAAGAGGATGACAACCCCAGAAAAACTATGACATAGAAGAGACTTTAAAAAGGCATAAGCAACGCTAAGGAGTAATTTTGAAATGTCAGCATGAAGAATCCAAATTTCCCAAAATCAAAGAACAATTTCAGATGTGATTTGCAGGCTCCAAAATGACAAGATCAAAAAATTGCAAATCAATTGATAATTTAGGAAGATATCAACTTCCAAATCAGAAATACTAATGTTTCTAAAATGCACAAATTTAAAAACAACAGAACTTCCCAAATGTAGGTTTTTTCCCCACCTCTGTTTTTTATTCCAGAAGTATCAACCCATCAGATTCGTATATATTGTGCAGGTTAACAAATCAGCACTGAATGTCTCCTCAAAGTGGATGGGAAAAATACAACTTTCTGTCACATGTAGAAATTGATCTAGGAAAGAGATGAGAAATGTAATAATAGCCATAAAAGAGAAGGAAAAGAGATGGAGATGAAACAAACTGCTCAAAAGCAAGCCAAATAGGTTTGGAATGACTGAAGCCCTTACTCTGTCACCGAGGAACTGCAAAGTCTAGGACATGACAATGAAGAGATATGGAAGATAATCAGTAGAAGAAAAGCTAGATCAAATTAGTTATGAAAACTTTGATAATTAGAACCAAAGTATGAAACAAGTTGAAGGAGAAAATCATGTCACAGAAAAATGTGGCATATACGGAGATGAAGCTGACGGGAAGGATACATACCATAACATTCTAAGTTTGAAACAAGCTAGGTCTAAGAACTTCACATTATAAATGATCAAGACTGATGAGCATTACTTAAATATAAGGATTTTGTTGTGGACGCTAATTCCTCAGAAACATATAAAAGGTCTAAATCAAATTCATCAAAGAAGAAGAACAACAAAAACCCCATTATGTTTGATTTTCCAAGCAACAGTAAGTGATCCTATCATTCAACCCCTTGCACAGAAGCTTGAAACACATTGAAAAGGAAAAACTCTGAAAAACCAAGGAAGTTAGAAAATCATTTGCTAGGATATTTTTTATTGTGGAGCTAAAAAAGTTTCACATGTCCACAAAACATACACAGCTAAGTTCAACTCTTGTAAATAAGTGAAAGGCAAATAACAAATCTGCAGGCACTGCAGAATTTCAGAATACAAAGGCAAAATCTTGAACAATTTGCTTTCCTTTGACATAGATTTCTAAAACAGATCCTATGCTTTTATTGTCCCACAAAGGATCCAGGCTTGTCACAATGGTGTTGCAAGTCCTATTTCATGAAGTAGAAAAGCAAGTTAGAACATGTATGTTTTACATAAAACAAGAGGCAGCTACAAGTGTAGCCTCAGAAGGTGAATGCTATTACTACAAATTAATGCTATATTTTTATGTATAATTCCTCATAACAAATGTAACTAAGAGCAACAGAAATCATTTCTATTTGAAAAACATGAAAGAGAACTTAGGTCATGTTGATGCATAGGATGATGGATAGGATAGGATGATAATCATCTTATATTATGTTTGATTTGTATTTAATTGAAAGGGATACGATTACAAGGAGGATTATCATCCTCTTAGTATAAGATGATTTAATCCTCCCAAAGTGAATAGGATTATTTTTAATCCATGAGATTGAACTTATATGTCCTATTATATCCTCAAAAATTACATCAATAATTTAAATTGTATAAACTTTGAGGGGGGATAATTTTGACCAATAAATAAATTATCCTATCCTAATCCTTGCACACATCAAACATAATATAGGATCACATATTTAATATAATCCTATGCATAATATCATCTTATCCTATCCTATCCTATCATAATCTTGTCTACCAATCACATCCTTAGGTAAGTAAAGAAGAATGACAATTAATGCTTAAAAAAAGGATAAGTGATTCCCCAAGCATTGTTATTGTCTTCCCTTTTTCAGATTCTTTTTACAACCAAGTGGTCAAAATGGAGCTTCAATTTTTCCATTCCTAAACTAGATAAAATTTTAAAAAAATTACAAGAAAAATCTATATTGAATTTAAAACTTACAAGAGGAACACAAGCACACACCCAATTGTAGGATTAAAAATTTAAAAGAAAAAAAAAAACTACAAGGTTGATGAGACGTAGACATATATTAGACAATTGAAAAAAAAAACCCACAAAATAAACAGGAAAAAGAAAGAACCTTGAGAGAGCCAGCTCCAACAGGAGGAATCGACGGCGATGCTTGATTTCAGCCGAGCAGACGCAATGGCACTATGAAGTGGAATCATCGACTCTACTCCTCCCAATACCGACACGATCCTTTAGACCAAAAAAAATATAAAAGTTAAGAATTTGACACTAAATTTAGATGGAAAAACCAAAAAGAAAGTACCTCGAAGCACAAGGGAAGGTTCTTGTTGATGGAGAAGAGAAAGAAGAAGACATGGGTTTTGGGGTTAGGCTCTTTAACGTTAGGTTTTTGGTTCGAGAAGTGAGGGGCCTAGAACCCGCCATTATTGCCGATCTCCAAATCGACGCCATTTCTTCCCTGGTTTGGAAATTGGTGGGAGGTGAAGAAAGAAGTTGAAGAAAGAGGAAGCAGACTCGTTCCTTAAACCCTGCAATTTGGATTACAGATTTGGATTTCAGGTCTAACTCAAACGACGCCGTCAAATTGGAATTTTGTGATTGGGCTGGGCCCATTGGAGGTACCCTTCAAGTCCACATTCAGAATTATCCTGTCCCAACTAGTCTGATAAAGCGACGCCTCATCGTCTTCAGCCGTCTGAGTTCCAGCACCATCCAACAAAATCAATGGCTGCGATCTTCGCTCGTAACTCTCTTAACGCTATCCGAGCTCGACACCTCGTAAGAACTCTTTTGCCCATCCTCCTCCCAAACATAATCTTTTTTTTTTGTTTGTTTTAAATTTTCTTATCAGTTGTGCCCTAGTTTCATTGAATTTCATAAATTAGCTATCAATTTCTCATCAAAATCTGTTGATAGGAAGTTGAATTTCAAATGTTATCTTCTGGCATGTGCTAATGTAATTTGGAAATGAATTATAGGAAAGGGCAAATCTTCTTAGATAGATTTAAGGTGAACGCGTTCCTAATACTGTTTGTAAAAAAAGGAGTTTTTGTTCAATTTTAGATTGTTAGGATTTGCTTATTTTGTTTCGTTTATGTTGCATAGGCTGTATCAGGGCGAGTTTTGTCGGGTTCACAACACTACGGGTTGCAACTCAGTGCTCACTCATATAGCACCAAGAAAGGTTGGCATATATTTCTCTATCTTCTTATTTTTATCATAAATCTCAATATTTACATCTTTGGAAAACATGGTTTAAGTTTTAAAAGTGCTTGAAAAGGGGATAAAGATTATTCTATTTCTATCTGGATTCTTTAGTCTGCTAGAAATCCTCCCTAAGAATGCCTGTAACTGCTTTTAAATGCATAACTACTGATCCCCGTGCTTGGTCGGACTTCGCATTTTCAAGGCTACAATCTTGTTGGTGATAGTATGTATCGATGCTTCATGGATGTATTCATGTGTGTAAACTGTAGATGATGAAGAAAGAGAGCAGCTTGCAAAGGAGATTTCGAAAGACTGGAGTGCTGGTAGTGTATTGCTGAAATGTTTATGTTTCCATTACTTGTTGCTTCATTTTATTTCAGGTGATGAATGGTTTCTTATATTCTTCTCAATGGCAGTTTTTGAGCAAAGCATAAATACATTGTTTCTAACTGAAATGGTTCGGGGTCTCATGCTGACTCTCAAGTACTTCTTTGATAGAAAAGTTACTGTAAGTGTCTTCCAGATCCTTCCTTTTTGGGCTTAGACTGAAGCAGAGGTATGATGCAAACCTGTCTTTCCTTGTGCAGATTAACTATCCATTTGAGAAAGGTCCATTGAGCCCTCGTTTTCGAGGGGAGCATGCTCTCCGCCGATATCCAACTGGAGAGGAACGTTGCATTGCCTGTAAACTCTGCGAAGCTGTAAGTTCAAGCTTCATGTTTATTGACTCCATTATCTAAATCTCTTTTTTTATTGGGTGGGAACTATACCAGCATCAGTGATTCAATATGGGATAACAATTATCAACCTGGGTAGAAACAATCCCCTGCCCTCCGGTATGGACACCTAACTGGAAATTGCAGTGCCTAGGGGTCTTACCTTTGAGTCTGTATGTTCTTTAAGGGTTGACGTTACCTTTGAGTCTGTATGTTCTTTAAGGGTTGACATACTAACAACCAAATGGATATTATGGTCCCTTCATTTATTCTTTTGGTGATATGCATCAAAGATTGCTTTACTATATTTGTAGTGTTTATTGTCTCTATCACACCCTCTGGTTATAGAAAAGAAGGTTAGTGTCTGCCTTGCTTATCCTGGAGAGTTAGCAATCTGTGAAAGTTCGACCCAGTCAAACTGTACTCGGCTTTGCTGTTGAGTTTTACTAATCCGATCCTGATTAAGTTCCTGTCACCTTTATTAAATATGGATATATTGTTCTGATGAAGTGGTGGTGGTTTATCAGATTTGCCCAGCACAGGCAATCACAATAGAGGCCGAGGAACGAGAGGATGGAAGTCGTCGGACAACAAGGTTGATTCTCTCTCGCTCTCTTCTTTTTCTGTGTCTTCTTTGTCTTACATTCAGTTCAATTTGCAGGTATGACATTGACATGACTAAGTGTATCTATTGTGGACTTTGCCAAGAGGCATGTCCTGTTGATGCAATCGTTGAAGGACCCAACTTTGAATTTGCCACTGAGACTCATGAGGTTCGTCTTCCTTTCAAGTAAATCATAAACGGCTACTGTCGCTTGTAAGTTGAAGTAAATAGTTATTGTTAATGTTATTGCAGGAGCTGCTGTATGACAAAGAGAAGCTCCTTGAGAATGGTGACCGATGGGAAACTGAGATTGCAGAGAATCTCAGATCCGAAAGCCTTTATCGCTGATTGCTCTATTTTCCTTCTTTCTCGGACACCTACTGCTGCTTTCTTAGTTCCTGAAAAATAAAATGGTAGATGCATGGTCCTGCATATAGTAAGTATCTGGCTTTGTGAATGTATCCTGTTGAATTATTTTGTTTTGCTACCTTTGAAGGCAATGGTGGATAAAAGGATCCTATGTTTAGGGAACAATTTTCAATTGTAAAACTTTACCCAAATGAGAAATAACAAGATTTTGGTGATTTTTATTTTTCCTTTGAAGAGATTGATGGAATGAAATCAATATTTGAAGTCTGATTTGGAATTATTATCATTCATCATATGTTTTCTTGGTCAGAATGAGCCCCTTTCTTGGCATCACATCTTAAATCGAACTACTCTGGTTCTTCAGACATGGGCATGGGCAGAGGTTAAAATGATATTTTAATATTTACAAGTTATTCGGAATTCATTTAAATAAAATTCGAATTTGATTGGTTTATTATCGAGTCGAGCTTGAACTTGAGTAATTCGATTTATTGATTGAATCAAATTCGAGTATTTTTATATTCAGTTCGAGTAGTTCACGAATATAATTGAATTTTTATATTTAAATATATTTTTATTATTTTAATTAATAAAATATTTCAAATTCGAATTCTAATACAAATAAAATTTTTATCGATCATTTGCGTTCAATATAATAACTTCAAAAAATATCCAAAGGCATAAATTGATGAAGTAATTTTTTATTATAATCAAATAATATATATATATATATATAATTAGGGTTTTTCTATAAAGGAGAAAGCAGTTTAGGATGACAAAAAATTATAAGTATTAAAATTTAAATTATTTTATCTTAAATCTAAATATAATCGCTTAAAAATTTTAAAAAATTGATAACATGAATCAATTAAATTAAACGTTAAATTTAAGTTTAAATTTATATTTGGGTTTTTTCATAATAGGCTTATCGTCGCATTGCGATGGCATTTAGAAACCCATTAGCAAAGAGACAGAGATAGAGCCCAAAGCGGAATCCCTCAGGCAATGCCTTTGGTGTTGGACTAGTGGTATTTTTGCTCTAAAAAAGTTTCAACGTTGAAGCAACGCGATCCGACTCATCGTGAGACGGGGCTTTAGGTTAGAACAGGAACTCCAAACATACCAAGCCGAAACACAGCAGCAGCAATGGCGGAGGATGCAATACTAGGTTACTTGGCGAGCCACGAAGAGATCCCAGATTCAGGTAAGTTCGCATCCCAACACGGTCTCCAGCAAAACGACGTGGTCAATGTCATCAAGAGCCTCCACGGTTTCCGTTACATCGATGCTCAGGACATTAAAAGGGAGAGTTGGATGCTCACAGACGAGGGTAAAAAGTACGCTGCCGAAGGATCCCCCGAAGTTCAACTCTTCTTAGCTGTCCCTCCCGAAGGCTTCATTGCCAAAGATGAACTACAGGCCAGTTCTGCTTCTCCCTTTTTTTCCCCTCACATTTTTAGTTCATTTTCAATTCTGGGTCTTCCTTTACTCTATGGAAATTGCACTTTTAATGCTAAAATTTTATTGGGATCTGTATTTCAAAAGCTTTTCTTTAAATATTTTTCTGAGCTCATAGCTAACATGCAATTTTTGGATTTGTGCATTGGAGCAGAAAAAGCTAGACCCTTCAGTTTTCAAAATCGGTTGCTCACAAGCTGGAAAAAACAAATGGGTCGATATGGGAAAGCAAGTTTCCAGAAAGGTAATCATTTTTATGGTTAATGTTATGAAAAAAAAGTTGATAATTCCGTTATGAATGCTTATGTTTTATGTGATTATGTATCGTTGGTGTAGGTTCAACATGTGGAAGACAAGGTCAAGGATTTGCTTGTAAGAATACAAGATGGGCAGGTATTTCACCATTTCAATAACTTGCCTGTCTTTTGTTTCGAGTTAGCTCTTTCTATCAAAAGTTTTCTTATTGAATTGATCTGAATGGTTTCAATTTCGTTTTCTTCTTACAATTTACTGATTAAAGTTGATTTCTTACTACAGACGATTGACAAAGATGATATTAACTCACTTAAAGCAAGGAAGCTTATTGTTGCACAGTAATCAGAGTTCCTTGGCTGAGCTTTTATTTATTTATTTTTCTTCATTCGGATGTGTGTTTTTATTCACTTTGCTGACACTTTCCTACTTATATCTTGTTTCAGAACATGGAAGGGTTACTCAGTGAGAAAAGGGCCTAACTATGCCTCTAAAAGAAAGAAAGTTGCTACTGATTTGACTAGGGAAAATCTACAGAGGTATGCCATAGGCGTGATAAATATGCATGTTAACTTAGAATCTTAGTAATGACATTGAAGCACCTTCTTTGTCTTATTAACAAGACATGTGCTTTGCTCCAAAGTTATTCTATTGGACTGATAGTTATATATGGTTTCTCTCTTTTAGGGGTGACTGGAAGGAACTAGAGTTCAAAGAATATAACTTCAATGCTAAAGGACCACTTGCTGATGCTGGCCATCTTCACCCATTGCTCAAGGCAAGGATACCATTTAGTCATCAATTTCGTTTAACTTTCAGCAAATATGTAACCATAAAAATTACAAAAGAGGGATATCGGCCTCCCAAATATATGGATTAATTTTATGAACATTGAGGTTTTAATATCATTTGCAAATAAATCATCATTAAAGGTTGATAATTCCTGGCTGTCACAAAAATAAACAGAAGAAAAGTTGCCATGAAACACAAAGATTTCATGAGGATATATAAATTAGGCCTTTCTTTTGGGATAAAAGTCCTTTTTATTATTATTTTATGTGGAACCTATATGTAAATATGTGAAAACTTCTATTATGCACAATATGACACAAATGGTTCTTTTAGGAAGTTGTTTTATCATGCCCTTTTGGTCCAATGACGCCTTTTTTTTTTTTTCCTTAAGCATCCCATTGTTTATATTGAATTAACATTTTTGAGCCTCATTGTTTTATATTCAGGTGAAACAACAATTGAAGAACATATTTCTTCAGATGGGGTGAGTTTTGAGATAAATTTTATATGTGGGTTCAGATTTTAAATACTAGTTTTATAACCTTTATGTTACATGGTGATGGTGGTGCTGCATGAGAACCACAGAAACTTCAACTCATAGTGCATATACAACACTCACCGCCTTGCCTGACTTTTATTATTTTTACGATGACCGAAAACATGTTACTGTTTATCTCAACAAATGATGCCATGTTATGTAATGTTCTTTTCTTTTATATTATGTTCATTTTAGAGTCTTTTCTCTCTGCAAATTTGAGATGTTAGTCTTTGCAGTATTTCTGTTTTCAACTTTGATATTGATATATATTTTCATGTTCTGCTGACTCCAGTTTTGAGGAGATGCCAACAAACAATTTCGTTGAAAGCAGGTAGTTGACTTAGCCAGCTCTTTTTTGCATGCAGCATGCTCATGTTGTTTCTTTGATAGTTGATAGCAAGTGTAGCTTCTTCCAAAAAACAACATATATTTGCTAAGGAACCCTAAGAAAATATCATATACATGCCTCCAGTTTTCTAATGGTGTCTTCTATCATTTTGAAGAAGACAATGTTTTAACAAAACTATGGTTGGAAGGAACCTGAAATCCTACTTTTACATTCAAGTTAATTCTTTTCCTTCATGTTTGACAAGAATAATCTTGTTTCTGAAGTTACTATACTATATTACTTTGCACTTGTAGCTTCTGGAACTTTGATGCATTGTTCCAGCCACAACAACACCCTGCACGTGATTCACATGATACATTCTTTCTGGAAGGTATGTTTCCATTTACTGATTGGCTAATACATATGCCTTTTCTACTCCGTTTTTGATACTTATTTAGAGCATACATCTGCAGCTCCATCCACTACTAGGCAACTACCTGAAGATTATGTTGAGTTAGTGAAACGTGTTCATGAGTCTGGTGGTTATGGCTCCAGGGGGTATGATGTTTTTCTTTTTCTGGTAGTCTCATTTCCATTTTCGCAACCATGAAACTGATTAACTTTATTTATTTATTTATTTATTTTTCCAAAGATATATGTATGACTGGAAAAGAGAGGAAGCAAACAAAAACCTGCTGCGTACTCATACAACTGCTGTCTCCACTAGAATGCTTTATGCTCTAGCAAAGGTTTGATCGTCTTCATACACTTCAGCTATCTCTCTGGTTACATGTAACCACTTTTAATTGACCCTTTTCCTAAATTCAAAAGCCCTTATTTTGTCAAGCTTTTATTATGAACTTTTAGTTTGGATTTCTAAATTAGTACTAATATGTTCATACTTCTCAAGGAGCATAATACTGCCATTGTAATCACCTGCACTGCACATACTGTTAATTGCGAGTATATTACACCAATGATCAGGATCTCTGTTATATGTTAAAATTGACTTTCCATCTTTGAAAAGGAGAGGTGTATTCAAAATTTTTTGCTGTGTTTACAGTTTGTTGTTGATGATGGTTGCATCACTACTAATTAATATTTGGGAATGTTAATATTGCATTCCCTTTATGATTTCATCTTCAGCAACCTTTTGCACCCAAAAGATATTTCTCTATAGATCGTGTGTTCAGAAATGAATCTGTGGACCGAACTCATCTTGCAGAGTTCCATCAGATTGAAGGTATTTATAAGCTGCATGCATCTGTGCTAGTTTTTTCAGTTTTATTCAAAGTCCAAGTTCTGGTTATGTTAACTGGATCCAAGTTGTGGACCAACCTCTGTTGCACCACTTTTGTTATCTCAAGTTTCTGATTAATGTTTTTTTAATGTGTCTAATGATTCACTTACCATCTTGAAATTATCTCCTTGGATTTAGGTTTGGTATGTGACCGGGGGCTTACTCTTGGTGATTTGATCGGTGTCCTGAATGACTTCTTCTCACGACTAGGTAATGAATATCAATCTTAATTCTGCTGGAAATAGAGTTACATAGCAGCATTGTTGGTTAAATTGGATTAAGTTTTTAATTTTTATGGTTTAATATATTGAAGCCTGTAGTGTTTCTGGATAAGGTTTGTCATGTAACAGTTGGTGTATTTGTCTGCTGATACACTACTGATCATCATGGGACTGATACCACGAGAATTGCCTTTCAATATGTTTGCTATGATCTCTTTCAGGCATGTCCAAGTTGCGTTTCAAGCCTGCTTACAACCCATATACCGAACCGAGCATGGAGATATTCAGGTGATAAGTCACATATTTCTCTTAATGGGTTTATTACTTGTTAGGTAAATATAGATTTGGTAGATCATTCCCCTTTTTATCAGTTATCATGAAGGATTAAAGAAATGGGTGGAAATTGGGAATTCCGGCATGTTCAGACCTGAAATGTTGCTTCCAATGGGATTTCCAGAGGATGTTCGTGTCATTGCTTGGGGCCTTTCCCTTGAAAGGTAAGAACTTATAATAACACGGTATTATTATTTTTTGTTGAAGAAAGTTATGAATGAAATATTTTTAATGTCATCTTTTTGATATATACCTACTTCAAGCTCATTTTGAGTAAAAATTGAACAATGTCTTGATATTTTGTTTTTGTTTCCGTGACTTAGACCAACCATGATACTCTATGGAATCGATAACATTAGGGATCTGTTTGGACACAAGGTACTAATATATACGCCAACATATTGTCCTCCTTGCTGTTTAGTGGTTGTTTTCAGATGGAATTACTTATGCATGGTTGTTATTGCAGGTGGATCTTAGTCTCATCAAACGGAACCCTATCTGTCGCCTTGGAATTGATTAGGTTATGGGATATTCTTGTCCTTCCATTCTTTCTTTTCCTAATTGAACCTAGGATACACCAATACAGTTTGCACATGTACTTTTATATCATATGCAATGAGCAATGGCTATATCTGATAATTTTTTGGTTTCTTTACTTTCAATTTTTGTGCTGTGAAAATGACATGGTGATAGTGCCTCTGATCACCATTTTGCACATTTTGTTTTTATTAAATAAATTTCATGCCCATGATTTTGGTCAAACTTGAACTTTTTGCATTGATGGCTTAAGGATCGCATGAAGGCTCTTATCTTAAATCTGCAGCTCTGCCTAGCGCCTACACAAGTAAGAAACATTGTGCAAAGGCTTTCTGATTTACCATGTGATAACCCGTCTAATAACAGAGGTATCCTATCCATATTTTGATATTTAAAAATCCAATGTAGCTGATCATTGATCATGTCTCTGTTGCATGATATCACCTTTACTGCGTTTTACTCTTTAAGTTTATACATTGACTGATATCAGTATTTAGACTCTTTTCCATGCAGATTTAGTGTTCTATCTGATACGATGCATGGCTTCGAGCTATTCATTGCATGTGAAATTTTCTCCTGTTATATTACCTTCGTTTTGTAAATAAATACATCTGATATACAATCAGGCTAATATGCACAAACCCTTTGGTCCAGGCTTAAAGAAAAAGAAAAAAAATTCATTAGTATTTACATACAAAAACTAATGAGGCCATTGAGGGTTTAAAAAATATTAAAAGTGGCGATGTCATCCATGTTCGGAGTGACAAACCTTGAGAATCCTCACTTCTGGAAAAATCTATTTCTGTGACAGTCCTCTCCGTTGAGTAATATCACTCAGGAAAATTTCGAAAATGCACTCTTACTCGTGGGACAGTCTCCGATTGCTGCCTTCCCCAAGGAGCCTTCAGCTGTTTGAGAATCAACTGGAGCATCATCTAATAGACCAGATTCAAATCTTCGCCGCCTTTCAACCTTATCTGCAACCCTTTCATTGAACTCATCGTCAGTGCATGCCAACATGTAGCGAAGTTTGAAGTTAACCCGATTCTCCACCATAATTTTGTGCCTTGGAATTATTCGCTCTTCTAGAGAATAGCTGAAAAACCTGCAGAACTTTCACCATGTTAAAACTAAAAAATGCAACAGCTGAGAGAGAGGATTCATACTAGTGAAAAGAAATGTCCAACGCTCATACTGACGAAAAATTAGGATGCAGATTTTCCTGATTAAGATTTAAGAAACAAAACGATCAACATAACTTAGGAAATAATACTTTCTGAGTTGCAATAGGCTTCAAGAACCTCTCGGCTCATCTCCACGACCTTGCTCTCAACAAACATAAATGGTCTTGTCTTGATCACAACTAATCTTAATGAAACTGATAAATGAACATAAGGAGACAGAAAAATTATGATCAGCACCGCTCTTCACAGTGGTGCTCACCTGGGAAACTCAATCACATCCTGCAAGGGACGGACCATAGTTCTTCGTAGATATCGGTACTTCGGATAGAGGAGATCTACTTTGTATCGAAGAAGTTTAGGGAAATCAGCAACCATCTCACCCAGCTGTCTAACTCGTATGCCAAGTGACAGAAAATATTTTACATTAACTTCAAGCCTTTTTGCTATACTGCAACCCAAGAGCTCTGGTCCCAATGCTATAACCTTTCCAATATCCTTCTCATTGACACCAGCTTTGGTCATCAACAAAATGACCTGTATGATATTCGGATATAACCAATAAGATTACATTAGCTGTGCTTAAAATCTTAAACACCACACAGATAGTAGAGTACCAACATAAACAAGAATACTGATAAATGCCAAAAGCAGAATGATATAGCGAGGAGCAAATATCCAATGATAATGCTGGGTTGAATAATTTGATCCAACTCAGAAAGATCAAAAAAAATCAAAAGGTAATAGATGAAAATGCTACTAAAGAGCAACCAAAAGAAAAAAGGTAAATAAAAATATAAAGTACAAACCACTGGTCGAATTTTCTTGTGGAGGCTGTATGTTAGTAAGGGAGGGAACTTAACAAGCATATTACCAATGGCATCATCTCGAACACCTAGGTCCCGGAAAAATTGTACCTGACAAGATTTAAACCAAATCAGGGTCAACATTCACATTATACAGCATGACAGCATAACCATTCACTATAGCAGATTTCTAGTTCATTTGAGCTGAAGCATTATCTATAACCTATTATCCAAATGTAGAAATTAGAGATAGATAAAAATAAGAAAAATTCAAAGTAGAGGATCACAATGGGAAAATATAAGATAAATGAAATGCGAAAGACATTGCTAGGTAAATAAGATGACATTTAGGAAGAAAAGTGAAGCACAAAACCAATTCAGGGCTACAATGACTACCTTGGGTGCAATTGTTGTCTCCAAATTAAAACAGAAAACCATTGGCTTAATGGTAAGCATTCTCTTCATTCCATCTCGGGAAATTCCAAGGTAATATAAGTACTTAACAAGAGGCTTCCATCTTTCTTCAATGCTACAACCCATCAATTGTGGCCTGAATGCTAGTAATCTCCCAACATATTCAGTACTGAGGCCAAACTCTCTCAGATAATTAACCTGGACGAACAAGAGGAGCATATAACTTAATGATTATACAGACTGGATACTTACTTAAACAAGATTTGCTACAAATCAAACTCCATAGTATTGTGATCAACTCGTCATGTACATTTACTTATCTAAGTGAACAGACAATCTAAAATGTTAGAGAGCAAGCAAACTAGTCAACTACCTTTTGATTCATCTCTTCAAGAGTAAACTGGCCGAGTACGCCAGGATAATCAAATACCATTGTCCCAAAGTCATTCTCATTCATACCCATGTTCAAGTAAAACTCCACACGTATTTTCACTTCCTCCATGCTATAGGACAACAGCCTTGGACATCGGCTGATAACAAAACCCACCCAATCCCTCTTAACTCCATTACTCTCCAAATACTCAACAATCTCATCCAAATCTTCAATGCTACGTTGCAAAATATCATCTCCGGATTTCAAAAGCGTAACCCCTAAAAATTCACCTTTCACATGAACAGTCTTGAGCCACTCAACAAGTCGTCTTATAGACTCAAGATTTCCTTTAGACATGCATATCAGCTTTGCAATTTTAGGATATGAGAGGTTATTGTGCTTCAACCACCTATATACAATTATACAATTAAGTAATCACAATCAATACAACAAAAACATAACACTTATAAATTCCATTTCTTTGAAAAGATTATCTTTTTTCTTTATCCAAAGACATTTTTACATATTAACGTTACTCACAGCAAAAAGCAAGTAACAGAAGCAATGTCTTACCTTATAAGAGGAACAACATTGGAGTCATCAATAACAACCTTAGCACGAACATTAAACGTAGAATCCTCAAACTCAGGCAACCTTTTCAAAGCAGCCGCTTCAATCATCACGTGATCAATAAATTCCGACAACCTATTAACCAAATTCGTCGAATACGTGATTCCAAATTTTCCCTTTTTCATTGCTCCCTTGAAAACCTCCGCCGTCACCTTCCTTCTAATCTCAAGCGCCCGCATTATCATCGCCTCCTCATCCTCATCGTCGTCGTTGTCCGGGTGTTGGGTGTGGTTTTGGGTTCGCAATACGGATTGAAGAGAAGGGAGGGAATTGGTGTAAATGGAGCCCGGGTATTGGGGGACGCGTTCGGAGACGAGGGACATTTCTAGGATGTTTAATTTTTCTTGAGGTGGAACTACAAGCTGTCCGGTTGTCCGTTTATTATCGTTAGGTTGTGCAGAATCTTGGTGCTGCTGGCGGTCATTTTCATTTCCTTGGGGTGGGTTCTTTGTTTTATCGGTGATGGTGGTGCGATGGTGGAGAAAGGAGACAGTTTTTGAGTTATGAGTACGGAGGACAGGGTCAGATGTAGGGGTAGGGGGATGGTTAGGGTGGTGTTGGAGGGAGGAGGAGACGGTTGTGGGATGAGGGCGGCGATGGAGATGGAGGTGGAAGGAAGAAGGAGAAGGGCAAGAAAGCATTTTTCTTCTTTTTGTTGGTTATGGTGGGAAGTGGCAATGGATAAAATAAAAGAAGGCATTTGTCTGTAAAGATAATGGATAACAAATTCAACAAAAGGAAGCTGCTTTCATAGAATTGAATCCAATTTGATTTTTTTTAATAATATATAATATTATAAAATTTTAAATTTAAATTAATTTTCTTAAATCGATTTGATTTATCTATTTTTAAATTTTAATTTTAATTTTTTATTTTAATATACTTAAATATATTTATGTATAAAATAATTATTTTTATTTTTCAAAAATTTAAAATATATAAAAATTAATAAAAATATAAATTTAATTCAATTCATTTTTTTTTATTTTTTACCTATTAATTTAAAATTAAATTAAAATTTAATATATACATTTAATATTTAAAATTGATCTAAATTAAATAAAAAACAACAATTCAAATTAAATCAAATATTAAAATTTTAAATTCATTTTTAATTAAAAAAAATCTTTTTCATTTCTAGTCTAGTCAGGAAATTGGGCTCGGAATCCAGTAACCAATTTCAAATTAATCATTTTTAAAAGCAAATGGTGGTATTATTGTCTGCCTACAGTTGGCAATGAACATTAGCTTCCGCTGGCACCAAACAATGCCACTCTTTCCCAGCCAGCGTATATTCATAGTAACACAAAGACAAAATCAGTATAACTTCGTTTCTCTCTTGATTTTCATGTCTGTCTTTCCGAACAGCTGAAAATCTGATCTGAATGAAGGAAAAGAATGGTTAATTGGGCATGTGACGGTGTCGTCTAAGTAGGCTGACCTTTCTCTTCGCTTGAAGCAGAAAAAAACAATCCTTATAAACAAAACTAAAGAAGAGTAAAGGGTTGATCCAATAATTTAGAACATCAAATTAGTGGCATCCGACAAAAGGCTACGCTTTCTCACAAACAAAATTTGTAGTACATGATTGCCAATCAAAGTTACAAAATAAAATTGATTAATTTATATATATTTTATTTTAAATATATATAAAATATAAAAATTATCATATTATAATTTATATAAAATTTTTTAATATTATTTTTGTATCAATCTAAAATTTTTCGTTAAAAGTGAGAAAATACCAATGAACATGTAAGGTAGACAAATAGTAAAGGCGTGGAGGCTGAATTGGACAAGCTTTTAGGTTAGAGTCGGTAATTTAATTCATCTCTTACAGATTTCGACCAAATCCTACAAGATTAATTTTTTTTTTTTGAAATTCGAGTTTCAGATTGGGTCGGGTTAGGCAAGATTATGAAACAATCGAGGTTGGATCGGATTCGGGCTTCAGGCAGATCCGACCCTACCTGATATTATATAAAAATTTTATTTTTTAATTAATTATTTTAATTTTTAATTTATATATATATTTATATAATGATATTTTTAAATATTTATATTTAAAAAATAATATGTTATATTTTAAAAAATAATATTTTATTAATTTCGATTCGGATCAAATCGAGTGCGATTTATATAATATCGGGTCGAGATCAAATTCGAATATGAAAAAACAAAAAAAATTCGAATAAAATCGAATTCAAATTTATAACACATTAAATCAGATCGGATTCGAAATGAGTAAAACCAATTTCAAATCTGATCCGATATCAACTTTATTTTAGATTAATTTTGACAAGAAAAAAACTTTGCCCCAAACAAGGCCCAACCAAACAAAAATAATAATTGGGCTGTTGGACTCGGCTCCCCTTTATAATTATGTTATAAATTATATTATTAAAAAATTATTTATTTTAATATTTTTAATAATATAATTACGTGATATAATTTGAATAAATAAATAAATATAATATGATATAATTATTTTATATAACATTTTTCTCTAAAAGATATATTTGACTTTGTAATCTCAATTTTTATGAAAAATTTTGATACCGATGAATAATATAATATAAACAATATTTTTGAGGTTAATAGTGTTTGTCATTGCCAATAAAAAATATATTCAATAATTAATCTTATGTAACAGCTGTTCTTGCTATTTGTTTAATAAAAAGAAAGATGCTTCTCCTTTCTTGTCATATAATGTAATGCTAGTTTTGAGACAAACAATACGACAACAAATTCGGTCGTTTTGGTCTTATTGCAATTCCGATTAGCCCGTTCGTAAGTTGGCAAGTAGTCTGAGGAAGTTGATAAGTAGGGTATCGCTAAGATAGAGTATTGTTTATTTTTATTTATAGAATTTTATATTATATTTATATTTAATAAATATTTTAAATTTATTTTTATTTTAATTTTTATGAATATTTAACGAATATGAATAATAATTTCTTTTAAAGGAAGACAACATTTTATTACATAAAAAAAAAAGAAGAGATAATTTGGTTCGAAACTAAATTTTAATATCTTTTTAAGGGTTTTTTTGCTATTAGATCAAAAAACGAAAGAGATAATAATTAAAAATTTTTTTTTTTAATTTTATTATTATTTTATATATTAAAATAATTTTTTGCAAATATATAATAATATATTTTTTAAATAAAAATATATTAATTTTAATTAATTTAAAATAATAATTTATATTATTTAATTAAAAATTTATTTATTAAATATATATAAATATATACGATCATATACGAAATAAATAATATATTATCAATCTCCGTTGACGTTATAAAAATTTAAAATTATATTAATTACCATCTCATATTTATAAGATAATATTTATTTTTATTTTTATTAAAATAAAAATCGAATTTTTCATTAAATATAAATAAAAACAAAATTAACAAGAGTAAAGAAAGAGAGAGCCTGTGTGAGATATTTTTGTACTACTACATGTTATCGCTCAAGAAAAGGAAAATAAAAGGTTTTAAGATATTTTGGCAGGGCATGTTAATAAATATCAAGCCTGGCTTTGGGAGACTCAACAACCTAGAAAGCACGTGACGTGGGCCCTACCTGACACCTTCTCAGTATTCAATCGGTCACCGGGTTCTACCTAACCATGGTTTATTTTTATCACTCGCAGTGTCACAATCAATCTCTAATTCCCCTCTTTCTCCGTTTTATTTGGTTCTGGTCACGGATATGCCAAACTTTATTCCCAATATGCTTTCCTCTCCCATTCAATTTTAACCAAATATAATGAAATTATAATCAAATTATATAAATAAAATAATTAAATAAAAAAGGCTGATATACTCTTTGCAATTTGCATTTATAATTTTTATGCAATAATAAAAATAAAAAAATTTAAAAGAGTGGATTTAATCATTTATAATATGATTGGTTTTAGAAAATAAATTAATTATATTTTACAAATAAAACAACAAATAAATTTAAAGAGAAGCAAAGTTTTTTGTGCTAATAAAAATTAATTATCTTCACATAATTGAAATAAAAACAATAATTTATCATTTTCAACCAAATAATCATTTTTAAAAGCTTGCTTTTCCCATATTAGAAGAGATTTTCATAAGGTGAACTTGATTTGTTATTAATGATTAAATTTAATTTTTGCTTGTTAAAATAAAAATATTTTTAAATGTTAAAAGAAGGATAGATTAATACTAATAACCAAACAAGCCAGGATAGTCAGAGTTGTCAATTAGTCATGACTTTAACCATAGTTAACTGCATTCACACCATCCAGCTCTAACTGACCTAATTCAAACCTCAGACGCTCTCTATAAAACCATAGTTTAGTGTCAGCCTCCTCTTTCATTCTCAGATCTCCCCAAAATTTCCTTATTTCCTTGATTTCCCTCTCTGCTCAAAGGATTTTTGGTTTTTACCACATGGCTTCAGCAGATGTCGAGTACCGGTGCTTCGTCGGAGGGCTCGCGTGGTCCACCGACGACCGGTCCCTCGAAGAAGCCTTCAGTGCTTTTGGCGAGATCATCGAATCGAAGGTCCGTTTGTTGCAGAGATCGGACTCCAGATCTGACTCGATCCGACCCGATCCGGGCCTCCCTGTCTATGATCTGTGATCCCTGATCTGTTGTTTTGTGTTACTACTTGTTACTTGATACTCTCTTGTTACTATTCTCTCTTATATATCTCTCGCCGGTACGTTCTGTCTTCATCCCCTCTGGGCCGAAGATCGATCGATTAGAACAAATCTATATATTTTTTCTTTTTTATTTGATTTTTGTTAATTATTTTTTTCCTTTTCTTTTCAGATCATTAACGATCGTGAGACTGGAAGATCCAAAGGCTTCGGGTTCGTTACTTTCCGTGAAGAGAAAGCTATGAGGGATGCTATCGAAGCAATGAACGGTCAGAATCTTGACGGAAGGAATATTACGGTCAACGAAGCCCAGTCACGCAGGAGCAGTGGCGGCGGTGGTGGTAGAGGAGGATTTGGAGGAAACGGCGGGTACGGCCGCAGTGGTGGTGGTGGATATGGTGGTCGCCGTGAAGGAGGTTACGGAGGTGGTCGTCGTGAGGGTGGATATGGTAACGGTGGAGGATACGGAAGCGGGCGCCGTGAGGGAGGATATGGAGATGGTGGATCTCGGTACTCCAGAGGCGGTGGTGCCTCAGAAGGGAGCTGGAGGTCTTGATCTAGCGTTGGATTGAGCTTGGGCATTATGTTTTAGGCTTGGTTTCTTAGTTGTTAGTGTTTGGTTTGACGATGTTGCTATGGTTCTCTTTTACTGTTTGGGTGTTTGGATTCTCTCTCATTTTGACCGCTGCTTGTTATTGTCTGTCTAGGATTAAAAATCCCCAACATAAGAATGGAATGAAGTACACTTCTTTTCAATTTCCTCCTTTCTTTCTTTCTAGCAATTATAATTCATCTTAATCAAGCAATATGCTGTGTTCCATTCCATCTTTCGGCTATAATCAAAATCAAGATGCAGAAAATCTGAATCCTTAATTTAGAGGGTATGATGAAGAACAAAAGTACCAAACAGTGCTTGATAAAGTTGACCCTAGAAAGGCTTCTCAAATAAATTAGCTCGCTGGGCCACCGGCCCATGATTCTTGAATGAAATAATAGAATTAAATTAATATTCAGTTGGGCCAATATTTCAATATTTCATTCTATTATTTATTATATTTTAAGTTTATGAAATTTTAGGAGCCCAATATTGAATTAGAGTCCAGTCGTGTGATGGATCAAGATTCAAGAGTTCCTGACGTCCTACATACCCTCCTGGAGAGAAAAGGTGTTCTTAAAGGAAAAGGGCAAGTTCAAGAATAATTATTGCATTAGCTATCGGTGATATTATTGCTTGGAAAATCACCAGGCAGACACGAAACCGACATTGTCTTGTACCTGCACTTTAGCGAGAACAGCACAAGTTCAGCATACGAACATACGAATCTCTGGCCCACGATATCTTGGTTTGGTCTCACTGAATCTTCCAACATTAGATTCAGCGTACGTCGCAGTAACATGTACAATTCTATATAAATTCCAACAGGAAAAAAAAAAAAAGTAAGGAATAATTTCCCTGCCTTTTCATGCAATGAAGCTCCAATCTAACACATAAAATCTGTATGCCAACTCGACAGAAGTTCATTGGTTCATTCAGATGTCAAGCGATTGGTTGTAAACAAAAACAATGTATCCATTAGTTATCCATTATCTCTTTTCTCTTGCATGGCTCGTGTCCTGCTAATACATCACATCTTTTCCAGCCTATACAAGCCACGGATGTATTATCAACTTCGAGTGTTTCTCTATTGCTTCAGCCTTTTCTTGTCATAGGTGGGAATCGCACGTCAGGAAAAATGGATCCAATCACAGCCAGACTATAGCTTTGTGATCCTTAACAGGAAGATTACATGATTGATGGCAATTTCCACTCTGCATATTACCCCTTTACCCCCTATAGCTTTTCTTTTCCTATAGACCCTTCCCTCCTACACCTCTGCAATTACCAAGAGTTCATTTGGCAGCGTGTTAGAAACGACTCTCATCACACATCCTGATATTGTTTTATGATTGAATTATTGAGAATGTAATATAATCATAAAATGCATTAAGTGAGAGGGACCCCCAAAGCATGCCATGTTGTCCTTTTATGATTGTATATGATTGTATTCGTAAGGATCCAATCATAAAACGTAGCTTTGGCATAATAGAAGTCCTCAAATCCAGCGACCAAATGAATCCTAATTCAACCAATTATACAGTGCTCCATGAATGGAAATTTCTCTTTCTTCCAAAGTTCCACGGAAAAAGGAACACCATCTTTTTTTTTTTCCGGCTGATGTTAGTACTGGCCGGCGTGCTAAGTCTAAGCAAGGTAGTGGACTCTTTTCCGTCAGTATAAAGTTGCAGATTCCGGGTTCTGTGGTCTTATCTGATCATAAGGGATTAAAAAGAGAAATCTCTAAGACCATCGACCCTCTGTTAAAGCTTGTTAAATGCAAATAGATTTACGAAGTTTAAAGCCTTCAAATCAATAACAAATCATTGCAAATCCAACTTGTCCTGAGAGAGAAAGGAATCCACAGATATTACTATCAATTGGATAGACTGAATGATAGAGGCTCCAGATGTCGGCAAAGGAAGTGAATCCCAATGCATCCCTTTCTTTTCGTACTGATTTCTAGAAAGTTGCATTGGTAATTTTCAACCAATCATCACAGCGAGCTCCATTAGAGTGTGGTCAGCATCCAAGAATAGGACACCTGCAACTTGATACTAGAGGACAATACATTTTCGTGTGAATTAATGCTCTGGTAAAACTGCTACATTTTTTACCGACTAATGCCCCTATCAAATTAATATGCTCAACAAACACTTTACAAAGAAATAAATCAGCGGAATGGCAAGAAACGAAAGAGAATGATGTGTTTCACACTGAAAAATCCTGATAAACATGGCTTTTTCTCAGAAAATTGAGATTTTTAGATGTTGTTTTTGCCCCTTGCTCATTGCTGAATCTAATACAATCATAGTCCACCAACTTTGAAACTATAGCAGTAGCCAAAGGAAGATTTGAAGGAATCATACATCATGCTTTCCCATATGTAGAAAATTTCCCGTCATTCTGAATCTTACGTTAGAGAGTTGTGAATAGACTATACTGAGGTCTACTTGCTGGATTTTAGTGAGCGTAGGCCCATGTAGGTTGGGGCTACTCTAATCAACTTGCAGCCTACATCATGGTATTACACCACCGTCCTCTGAATTCTGATGCTTTTTTAGATTCGACTTGTGTCATTTTAGTCTCTTCAGAGAAATTGTGTCATTTTCTGATTTTAGATACTTCTAAGTGAAGAGATTTGGTTTGTTAATATGCTTGAAATGGCATTACTTCGAAAAATTCTAACCTTCCATTTTTATGATACTTATCTGCTCTGCATGTACTGAGGAGAGAATCTAATAGCAAATAGACAACCATACTTCACATACTGGCAATATTATGCATGAATTCATATAGAGACAAGGCTCAACAGCAATCTGCATTTGTCCAGAGAAGAGGTGATTTAGGGATGGAGAAAAGTTAGTAAACTTTAAAGCAAACGTGGGATTTCAAACTGATATTCTGATGAAGCCTACAGGCATCTGCATGAGATGTTTTCTTCAGTTAAATCATATTAGGCACTTGTATGTATATGTTGAAGAGTCAGAGAAATGGTCAAATTAAAAGATGTGCTGGAAATGATCTTTGTATAATCCGTTCAAACCAAGATCTTTTCTTGATATTTTTAGGAAGCAAAAAAAAGAGATAAAAAAAGAGTTTCCACATGGGGGCTCCTTTTACCAGGGCCAATAAAAGATTTGTCAAATTATTGCACTTTGGTTGTGCCTGACTAGCCTGAAGTCAGTTCAGGTAGATTATGGATCTTCATCATTGGAGGTACAAGGATATGAATCAGCCAAGCTCAAACTCATCTGTTCACCCTCAAAAAGCAAGATTTCAAATCAGTTTCCCATTTAAACAAGGGATAACCAAATTCAGCCATAAAAAAAAAAAATTACCGTACTACAAGGCACTAAAATTGAGGAACAAGTGGGCTAAACTCTATGAACCATGGATACCTTTTCTCATATATAGCGGTATTCAGTTTATTTTTATCTGATACCAGCTTTGGATGTCTTTTGCACATTTTAGGGACTATTAGAAAGGGATGGCATCAAATAATTGACCATGTACTGAATCGATCCAGTCTCTTAATTTTTGTCATTTTCTTTGCTTCATTTGCAGGGCTTAAGCAATGGTTTCCATATGGTATATGCCGTGCATGATTTAAAGATTGCCTTAAAACGAGCTCAATGATCATGAAAAAAATGCCTTTTCCCCCATGATGTTGATGGCAGTTGAAATGAAAAACAATAAATCAAATAAAGATAGATACTTGTTAATTGTTAATGCTGGGAAGAAGGGTTTCCAATTTTCAATTTTAAACCAAACATTCAACAAAGAGGCTCCCAAATTGTAAAAAGAGTAGGTAACATATGTTTGACCTTTCTAGGAAAAAAAAAAAACACATGATTATGATTGTACGAAAGTCATCAAGCCAGCTAGAATGCTTGGAATGTTGTTCAGGATACAGTGAACTAACAAGAGTGGTTTGTACGGACACTAGATTTTGGTCTATGGTTCGAGAATGGACCCACATGAGCGCATGCAAGGAGTAGAACTAGAACATGCAAACTCATATACAGAATAATAAGCGAAGAAAAGGACTTAAATGCATTTATTTACTGTAATAATACATTTTTAATTATTTGGTTCTTGGAAATACTGATTCTCTTACAATATTTCCCTTCTTCTTTGTCCTAATACATTTTGTGGTTCCTGAGGAGACAAATCATTCAAATTCTACAATGCTTTTGCAAGATTTCTACGCCAACTGGCCGTATGCCCTCCTACTCGTCTGCTTATAAAGAACAGCCATTGCCACCTCTTTGCTCATATCATCCCCTTGAATGCAGTCTTCTTTTGTTTTGACTCTATATCCTCTCCACTATTCATCATTCTAGACGGTGATTCTTTAGTTACTAGTACTTTTCTTGCTTAAATTTTGAGCTGCTGTTATACATTGATTACCTAAGAAAATGGCATCGAGCTCAACCAGTAACCGTGGTTCCGGTTCATGGACAGCCGAGCAAAACAAAGACTTTGAAAGGGCTTTGGCTGTGTACGATAAGGACACCCCTGACCGTTGGTACAATGTTGCCAAGGCGGTTGGAGGGAAAACTGTTGAGGAAGTGAAGAGACACTATGAGCTCCTCGTGGAGGATGTGAAGCACATCGAGTCAGGCCAAGTGCCCTTCCCCAACTACAGGTCCACTGATGGGAATAAACGAGGTAACGCGAGTGATGATGAGAAAAAGGTGGTAGCAGTAGTAGTAATTAAAATAATAAAGAAAAGGCCTTCACATGAGCAATTAGAATATCTGATCTTAACTTTTATAACCATGCCATGCCACAATTAAAGGTAACTAAATCTCACAAAAGGGAAAGCCTGTCCCTCAAGTCTGACCCTCTACTTCTTACGTTGATTCTCTGACTTCTTTCGTTTAGGAACAAGGCAGTTTCTATCCCTCACTTCTCATCAGAAAACACTTAACCTCGAGTTGATTAGCCTTTCTGCTCCTTTTTTTTTTTACTTGAATCTGTCAGGATTTGAATCCTGGTTACTGAAACTAAGAGTAAACTAGCAGATCAGCTAATATTCTCTATCTCTTCCTCCTCCAAATATTTTAACACTTCATTTATAAAACAGTGAACAGATTTGCAGACATGAATAAGTAAATCAAACAAGCATCATCTTCCATTATTTGTTATGGCTATAATTCTCTGTTGATTTTCTCTTTAATCCGCAGGATGAAAAATCTAAAGCTCAATTGAAGAATGGACTTGCATCTCACCTACAATAAAGATGATCCAATGCACAGCTACCAGTATCAGATGTCACCATAGTTATATAGTAGTAATAGTACTATTTGAAGAAACTCAATTAGTGATTCCATCTCCTCTTCTAAGTTTTGTTATTCTCTTATTTATGCACTATAAATGTATCCGGAAGAGGCACATAATGTGTGATCCTTACTTTCTCCTGTGTTCTTGTTCTGAAAGAATCTCTTATTGGCATATATATATAGTAGGTATTTTATTTAGCCTGCAGTGCTTTTATTTTCAGTGCAATATAATGTAAAAGTTGATTCAAACAATTGAAGAATCAAACTACAATAAAAATATTGAATCAGATATAATCTGACAGTGAATTCTGAACGAAGTGAACACTATGAGATTGATAAACTTCAACATGGGATGCTGAAGAACAAAAATGAAAGTATCTATCAATATATGAGGTTAAAGGACAGGAATGCAGCAAAAATACCTATATGCATTTGCATATGTTACCATCAGCTTAATTTCTGGTTGCTAAGTGTTTTTTTCCTTCCCTTTGAGACCCTTTAATCTTTATTACTATGTATCTTTTTGGTGTAAACACTAAAATACACCATGACCAAGATAGAGAAGCAGCAACTAAATTATAATAATAATAAAAAAAAAGACCCTGCAAAACAAGAACTTTCTTCATCTGCTTGTTGCACCCTCTCGTCTTCGTGCTATAAAATTAAGCTTAGATGACACAGGCCCCTTGTTGGATCTTGTAAATGCTAGGAATCTAGTGAAGAACTCAATTGCTTAATAAAAAATATGGTGAAAACCCTCAGCCTCACACAACTTATAGACTGTTTTTACTTGTAATAAAAAGTGAGTAGGACAGCCAACAGACAACAATGTCAGAAAATTAAGCTCCATATCTTACTAAATTTATGATATGATTAAGCATCAAGACCTTAACTAATCTCTCAATTATCAGTCCTAGCTAGGGTCAGTCCCCACGCCTCTTGACTACAGGGCAAGAATGTGCTCGAAACAAGCATGCAACCGGCCAGCATCTGCTTCTTTTAGTGGTAGCAGACGTTTAAGACGATGGCCCTGTTGCTGCAAATAAGCTAGTTTAAGCTATAAATTTATCAATATATAAACCTAAAGTCAATGATATTCAACATTAATGATTGGAAGGTTTGCTATATTTTGGCTAAAGGCAAATAAACTAGTTTATAAAAACATTTCATACAGGAAAGTATATGTTACTATCATTCTGATCATTATCTTATATATCATTGGATTCAATGAAAATTTTATAAAAAGCCACATCGCTTGCATTTGTTGCCTTCAAGTTAATTACTTTGCAAATTATCCCGGAACAAATTCCCTCAAACTGTCAGAAATATTGCTGACATTTTCACCCTTTTCCCTAGCTTTTCAGCAAAGCAATAATTAAAACATCGAGAATCGAAATCAATCGTTGGTTACATATTAGTTCATGATCATGGGCGGTAAGCTTCACACATTTGATTGCTACCAACCCAACAACATGCTAAATTTGTTTGAAGGTAATATTCGATCCCCCAACTCTTTTATGGGGTTCCTCCAAGGATTTCATGCAAAACAAATCATCGTCTCTCAATCAATAACCAGAATTTTTTTTTCTTTGTATTATCATCTAAAAATTATCTTAATCATGAATACTAATAGATTTTTATATTTTTAGATACAGTAGAACGTAATATGGTAGTATTACTGAAGTTTATAATATAATTTTCTTTACACTAATAAGTAGGTTTATTTTTAATTGAAGTTTGCAGATACGTATTTTATTGAAACAAAATTTTGAGGATTGTGATGAAACTCCTTCCTCTTGATAAGTCATAAATTGATATCCAGTAAAAAAAAATGAGTTCTTTTTTTGTACATAATTTTCAAATTTTGTGCACCATTTATGTACCACTGATGAAAGTTTTTGCATTAGGATCTAAGGATTAATTTAATTGATTTTTATAATTATTTTAAAAATATTATAATTAAATAATTTTAAAATCAAATTGTAGTTAGACAGTTATTTATGTATTCGTGTTATGTAAAATATTAAAATTTGTATATTTATATTATGTTTTAAATGAAGATTATGCATTATAATTTATATTAATACGAAAATATAAAATATATTTTTTATTTTATTAAATTCATATATAATTATTATTAAAATTTTAAATCGTATCGCATTCGTATATTATTATTATATTATATTAATATTATATTATTATATCATATTTTAAATTATCAGATCTAATTATAATTACAACGCATGAAACCCTTTATCTCATCTTAAACTATGAGCATTATATATAAATATAAGTTGTTCAGACCATTAAAATTTGGGTGTAAAAATCCGACATCCTGTTACATTGGTACACACTGAGTAATGAATTCAACCACAAAATGCAACCAAAATTTAATGTTTAAGATGGCAAATAGTAAAGACATGTTTGGTCGGCAAATTTGACCTTTGAATTTGATGATGGTCATAAATTAGAAGCAAACCTATACCCATGAATTGATGAAGATCAAGAAAAATAAATTTTATTTAACTGCCAAAAGTAATGGTCCCTCACCTTCACCCCACAAAAACATTACATCGTTTTTTTAATGAAATCATCAAACATTTTATCTTCTTGTCGGAGACTGAATTTAATGTCATGTGGACTAAAATGTACCAAACTATTAGCTTGCCAACCAACCATACTATTGATAATTAAAATATTTTTTAAATTTTATATTTAATATATTATTTTTATCCAATCTAAAAAATGGAAAATACATTAATTATAATTTTTTCTTACATATCATCTTAATCAATACCACCACCTCAAACATTTTTTTTCTTAACACATTAATTATAATTGTCAATGTTTATATAGTTTAAATATTGATTAGTTGATATATTAATTGTGATTTTTTATATGCATATAATTTAAATACTAATTATTCGATTATAGAACTATCATATTTATTGACGATGAAATTAATTATGATAAAAAGTAATAGAGAAAAGTCGAACTTATTATCTATGATATCCTTAAAAATTTGTTTGGTTTTGGTTTTAGTTCATGAAATTATAAAAAAAAATTAATAGATATAATCTATTATTATTTTTTAATAAGAAATTAACTTAATTTTTTTATTTAAAAAAATTACAACAAAAAATTCACAAATATAATTTTTTTATTACAGTTTGAAAGTAAACAAAATCAATAACGAATAAATAATTAGGTTATTAGAAAAACAATGTCTCCTTTTTCCAAAATTTCCAACCTTAAATTTGACTTGATTTTTATGTTCATAATAATAATTGATGAAGTGTAAAATTTGGAATGAGAGAAACAAACTCCTACTTCCCCTATTTCCCAAACGCGGCCTTCATTTTCATTGAGTGCTACTAAATACATTTCAGTCTTTTTCCTTTAAACTCTTTTTTTTTTTAATTTTTTAAAGTGACATTATTTAATTTTTTTTTTCACATAAATTTTAAAAAGTTTTAAATCTTTTTGAAAATGAATTTTCAAAAAATCATATAAATTTTTAAAAATAGATTTTTAGAATATTATAAATCTTTTTAAAAATAAATTTTTGGAAAGTTAAATTTTTGAAAAGATTTATAACTTTTTGAAAATTTATTCAGAAAAGATTTATATTTTTTAAAAATTTATTTTCAAAAAATTATATGATTTTTTAAAAATTTATTTTTAAAAATTTATAAGAAATATATTAAATAAATTTACTTATAAAAAATTAAAAAATTAAAATATATATTAAAAAAAAAAAAGGAAGGGTGCATTTAGCACTACTCCTTTTCAAGGAAATAACTTCGAAACTTCCGCTCCCTTCTCTCTGACTCTTCCCGAAGACACCATTTTAGGAAGGAGACTCTTTGATTTCTCCACTCCTCCAGCCCACAAAAAAACCAAACCAAGTTCTTCACTTCAAACCCATTTGTTTTTCTCCAATTCTAGTTTCCCTTACGTCACCGAAACTCCATAAATAAATAAACAACTCAGGCTCAAAAATTATTTGCAAGGCAAAAAGAAGAATAATAGTTGGACTTAAAGCAGTCCTGGCTGGCTGGCTGGCTGGCGTTGACTGAATTTACTAGCACATCAGGAAACTCCCAACTCTCACCTTTCCTGCTTCCCAATAGTAAATGACACTCTACGTGTTCTTTAATGGGCACTGGTCCCTGTCGTAGAAGCGTCAACCATCTCTAAACCCCAACCTACCTTCCATAAAGCCTCAGAATTCTAGTCATTTTATATATGCCTTTTGAGCACAACAAGAAAACCAGTTCACATCATCACTCTTTAACTCTTTCAAGAAAAACCCAAGTGTTTTATTCACTTTTTTGAAGGAAGAAAGAAAAAAAAAATACAAACTTTTGAATTACCCACCATCATGAGTAGTGAAGAGAATAGTTCAAGCAATGGAGTTCAGATCCGGCAGAGTAGGAGATTGCCTGATTTCTTACAAAGTGTCAACTTGAAGTATGTTAAACTGGGTTACCATTATTTAATAAGTCATCTTTTGACACTTTGTTTGGTCCCTTTGATGGCTGTTATTATTGTTGAGGCATCACGGTTGAACCTTGATGACATCCACCATTTATGGCTTCAGCTTCAGTATAATCTTGTCAGTGTCATTGTGTTTTCTGCTTTCCTTGTGTGTGGGTCAACCGTTTACGTCGTGACCCGACCAAGATCCGTTTATTTGGTGGATTATTCTTGTTATCTCCCTCCTTCACATCTCAAAGTCACGTACCAACAGTTCGTGGAACATACCAGGCTGATGGGTGATTTTGATGAGTCCTCCTTGGAGTTTCAACGCAAGATTTTGGAAAGATCAGGACTTGGAGAGGAGACTTGTGCGCCTGAAGCAATGCATTACCTTCCTCCAAGACCATCAATGGCCGCTGCAAGACAAGAGGCAGAGCAGGTGATGTTTGGCGCATTAGATACTCTTTTTGCTAATACTAATGTTAAGCCAAGAGATATTGGAATTCTTGTCGTTAATTGTAGTTTGTTCAATCCAACTCCTTCATTATCTGCTATGATTATTAATAAGTATAAGTTGAGGGGTAATATTAGGAGTTTTAATCTTGGGGGTATGGGATGTAGTGCTGGGGTTATAGCTGTTGATCTTGCTAAAGATATGTTGCAAGTTCATAGAGATAGTTATGCTATTGTTGTTAGTACCGAGAACATTACACAGAATTGGTATTTTGGGAACAAGAAATCAATGTTAATACCAAACTGCTTGTTTAGAGTTGGGGGTGCTGCAGTTTTGTTGTCAAATAAATCTGCGGATCGAAGGAGGAGTAAGTATAGGCTTGTTCATGTGGTGAGGACACACTGTGGGGCCAATGATAAGGCATTTAAGTGTGTTTATCAGGAGCAGGATGATGCTGGAAAAACTGGAGTTTCTTTGTCTAAGGATTTGATGGCAATTGCTGGTGATGCACTAAAGACTAACATCACTACATTGGGTCCCGTTGTTCTTCCAATAAGTGAGCAAATTTTATTCTTTGTGACTTTGGTTGCCAAGAAGTTGTTCAATGCAAAAATCAAGCCTTATATCCCAGATTTCAAGCTTGCTTTTGATCATTTCTGCATTCACGCTGGGGGGAGGGCTGTGATTGATGAGCTTGAGAAGAATTTGCAGCTTCTGCCAGTACATGCTGAGGCTTCTCGTATGACACTCCACCGGTTTGGTAACACCTCATCGAGTTCAATTTGGTATGAGCTGGCCTATACAGAGGCAAAGGGCAGGATGCGTAAGGGGAACCGTGTTTGGCAGATTGCTTTTGGAAGTGGTTTCAAGTGCAACAGTGCAGTTTGGGTGGCCCTCCACAATGTGAAGCCCTCTCCTAATAACCCCTGGGAAGATTGCATTCACAGGTATCCAGTGCAGCTTAGTCTGTAGCTCGAATACAAGTTGGTTATTGAATCTTAATTAGACAAGGACAACCTGATGGATTAATCAAGCAATTTCTATGTTCATTTCTTAATTGCTTGAATTTTATTCTTTGTTTAAATGACTGGGTCCTGACGTCCTGTAATGTGGTGATCTTTGGTCTCTTGGAGGTTGTAATGATAATCCACAAATATCTACTTCTATACAGTTTTCAGGCAAGCATCGAATGTAAGACTCTATGTTTCAGACGAACATTTCATCAAATGGCTAACCATGCTATTGACTGAAATCTTTTCATCCCAATTTAAATTGAAGCCAATGAAATCAAAGCTGCCATGGAATCCCATTTCTTGGTTTCAACTTTCGTTCTTTTTTATGAAGTACATTCTGGCTCTGCGTTGTCTGTAAAGGCATTCATTGGCTCGTTGGATAATTTCTTTAACCTTCGGTTTGTGAGATGCTATTGACCCATCTTCCCCGCTATAGTCTGTCATGTTCAAGATCATTATTTATTCAAGACGTTTCATTAAACCTTGCTACCATGAGTATCTCCACGTGCTCCTTTCTGACAAACTTTGCTGAGGACTTTGTCATTGGAATTTTCAGATGCAGAGGTGTGGAATTTATATATGTTCTTATATGGCTATCTGATAACACCACGATAGACCATAATTCAGCTTCCACCATGCTCGACCACCATTTTTATCTGCAACTGTTTCGTTTTTCTCGACACATTGGTCATATTAATTACCTATACTTGTTGATTTAGAAATCTATTACTAATATTTTGCTTATAACTTTGCTGCGTCTCCCTAAAAATGGGGAAATGAATCGATGTGACAAAAGCAAAATTGTGTTCTTGGCATTCTTCAATACGAATGCTTTGAAAATTGCCCGGCACGTTAAAACTTTAAGATGGAGTTCATCAGGAAGATACTTCAACGATAGGCTCCTCCTCATTGCTATCAGTTGTCTGCTTTTCACTGGATCATCGGTTTAATTCTGAGTCTTTTTCAGAAATCGGAATGAAGCAAGCTGGCTTTATAACCTCCATTGGAACTTAGCTTGAGAGAGAATAGATGGGAAAATAAATGAATTAATTTCTCCTTGTTTCGTTTGTCATTTGGGAAAGGAAAACTTGAATTTGTTCATTGCCAATTGTTAGATAATGGATTTTCAATCCCTCACTCTAAAAGCATATTCTCTCTTACACAATATTTTTTTTCAACACGATAATACAATATAAAAATAATACAAAAAAAAAAAACATGAAAGTGATCATATATGAGTTCGATAAAAATTTAAAAAATATATTTTATGTTTAACGTATCGATACAAATTACAATACAATAATTTTTATATTTTATATATATTTGACACAAAATAAATATGATACAAATATATAAATTATCAAATTTTATGTTAAGAAGCCTCTCTCTTTCCCTACTTTCTCATCTATAGGAAGTTTCCTCTCAAGCCAAATGAATGTTAAAAGAAAAGTACAATCTATTTATCTTGTTACCACAAAAAATAGAATAGATTAATAAAATTTTTGTGTTGCTTCTTTAAGAAATTTGATGTAATTAGTTTTGCATTACCTGTTAGAAAGATGAATTGTTAGAGTAAGGTAACATTAAAATATCCGAACATGAATTTTTAGCAAATATCTTGAGTTAATTTATTAAATTTTTTATTGAAATACAAATTAATATAAAAATTCCAAACAAAATTAACACATAATTATTTTTTTCTATAAAAAAATATAATTTTTTCTACAATAAAAACAATATTTTTTAACTAAAATTAATTATATGACTCTTGACATATATAATCTAAATACTTTTATATCATAAATAAATTATATTTTAACATACATGTATAGAAATATATATATATATACATATAAATATGTATATATATATTAATTTAATAGAATTTTATTTAAAGATGGATATAATATGTGAAAGAATGAAAATCAATATATATAATTTTTTTTACTTTTAATAAATAAATATATTTTATTTCTTTTTTATTTTAATATGAAGAATAATAAATGCCTATTTTTTATATAATAAAAATAAGAATGAAGATATAAACTATGTTAGTTAAAGATGGTTTTTATTTTTATTCTTATTAATTCATACTTTTAATATATTATTTATATGAACCCTAAAAGTAATTTATTTTGTTTATTTATATGTTTCATAATCTTATTTTTAAGATTAAGATCCCACATATTGGAGGCTGATTTGAATCTTATTGAAATTTTAATTTAATATATTATTTTATAAAAAAATAAGATCAAAGTTATGTTTGTTTGACAAAAAAAAAAAACCAAACAAAAATGAGACAGAAAAAGTAATAAAGCGACGACCGTCAAGCGAAATTAAAGGGGATTTGGGGAATCTTGGTAGTAGTTTGGGCCAAAACCCATCTCGGAAATGAGATTAGTGACTTATGAGGAGGTTTCAATGAAAATTAAATGGGCTAAGATTTTCTTAATTGGAATTTCTGATCTTCTAGGCTTTCAAATGGAAAAATATCCACAAATTTTGATGGCAAATTGTTATAGCCCTGAATTGAAGGACACGTCTTCAACCTTCTTTTTTTTTTTTTTTTTTTTTATAAGAAACAAGATTTATGGTAGGTAAATTATTCAGTTTTTTATATTAAATAAGATGTATTGTATTTAATAATTTAAAATAGATGATTGTTAATTATGCATTAGAAATGATAAGATGTATTGTATCGTAACTACAGGTCATACATTTATATTTAACAGTTTAAAATAGGTGATTACAGGTCATGTATTTGAGATGATAAGATATGTTGTACCTAACAATCTAAGATAAATAATTGTAGGTCATTCATTTGAGATGTATGGTAGATAGATTTATGGTAGATAGATTATTCTTAATAATCTAAAACAGGTAATTACAGGTCATACATTTAAGATGATAAAATATATTGTACCTAACAATCTAAGATAAGTAATTACGGACCATACATTTGAGATAATCCTACTAAGTGATTAGGCAGGAATCGAACCCAAAATTTTTTTATTGAAGAGAACGAACCTTAACCAATCAAACTAATCACTTATTGATAATTTTTTTAATTAATTAAAATTATTATCGTCTTACAAATTATCTTTTAAATTAATTGATATGTCATTAAAATTAATAATTATAAATTATAAATTTGAAAAAACTTAGATGATTAATACTCTCTTTTAGATTAATAGCTTAAAAAAAATATCTTCGTCTTTTAATTAATGGTCAGAACTTTTTTATTAAAAAATAATTTGTGAGATAATTTAGGAATAAATGTTAAAAACGAAACGTCTGTGATATTTCTAGCTAAACATTAAAAGTGAAACAAGAAGAAAGAGATTGGATCTGGCCGTCTGAGGAGAGAAAGGAGAGGCGGAGGAGAAGGAAAATGACTAGATGACAGGGGAGGAGCGCCACCAGGAATCAAAGATAACACCATCACATTTTTATTCCACAAATCTTAACGCAACAAAAAAAAATTTACAATCAAAATCACAAAAACTCACCCATAATATTCATAATTTCTAACAAAAATTTTCCAGTCAACTGCACATTCCCATCAATAATAATAATAATAATAATAATAATAATAATCAAATTTGTCTTCAAGTAGGGATAATTCCCAATTGATTGCAAGAAAAGAGAAGTTCAAAACATAAACGTTTTTATTTGATATTTACAAAAAAATTACAATCTCAAAAATATATAGCAGTAATAATAAAGAGAAATACAAAATACATAAAATAAAAAATAAAAAATCTAAATTATTTCATTAAAAATTATAATTTTTATACTATTTATATTTTGTTTTCACCAAAAAATTATAATATAATAAATTAAAAAGATGATGCAATTAATCAAATAATTTTTTAAAAAATTTAATGTTCCTGATATAGCACAAAAATTCAATAACAAAAACAATAATCACAACATATTAACTGGTAGATTTAAATTTTTAAAACTTTTAATATTTTCATAATATTTCATTTGTGTTGATATTTATATTAAAATAAAAAAATAAAAAAAATGATGAAAAAAAAGGTTAACACGGCTCGACTCACTGTACGTCATAATGAGGCAGACGCCAAGATTGATTTTGTACTCATTGACTTCACAATTTTAAATAGATTAAAAATGAAAAGCTGTTCTGAATTTGGAGGAATTGATGACCAATCGTTCACATTCAGACCCATTACTATACAGATCACAGATCAGACCTTTCTCTATTGAGTATTGAACCAGAAAACAAAGAGAGAGAGAGAGAGAGAGAGAAGGGAAGAATATGAGCTTTTTGAAGATATACAAGTTTTTGTTGCGTGGGGTATTGAAGCTGGCAGGGATAAGACCCCAAACGATAGAGATCGAGCCAGGGACGGTTGTGAACATTTGGGTCTCAACCGAAACCAGTAACAACACTAGCAACCAAAGGAAAAAGCCTGCCGTGGTGTTCCTTCATGGCTTTTGCTTTGATGGTATCCTAACATGGCAGTTCCAGGCGTTAGCTTTAGCCAAAGATTACTCTGTTTACGTCCCGGATTTGCTCTTCTTCGGTGGTTCCATTACCGACAAGACTGAAAGGTCGGGTTTCAAGCTGAGTGCATGGCCAAGGCGTTGAGAAAGCTGGGCGTGGAAAAGTGTATCCTGGTGGGGTTGAGTTATGGAGGAATGATTGGTTTCAAGATGGCTGAGATGTATCCTGACTTGGTTGAGTCCATGGTCGTGACCTGCTCGGTTATGGCCTTGACTGAATCGATCAGCAATGCTGGACTTGAGCGGATTGGATTCTCCAGCTGGGCAGATTATCTGCTTCCTGTGTCAGTCAAGGGCGTTGAGACCCTCCTTAAAGTTGCCTCTTACAGTTTGCCAAATTTGCCTGAATGGATTTACAAAGATATTTTCGAACAGGTAATTATATATAATCAGTGTTAAACTAATTTAAAGGAAAACTTTTAATTATTTGGATTACAAATTTAATACATACTAACCATTGATCCATCACGGTTTTAGTTATGAAAATGTGGGATCGTATTTCATATCTAATCCTTTATTATTACACGTGGAATTGGTTCCTCTTCAACACTAGTAACTTAATGATATTTTATTTTATTTTTTGCTTTGAAAATTATTGTAGGGGATGTTTAATTACAGAAAGGAGAAAGTTGAACTCCTAGAAGCTTTGGTCATCAGTGACGACGAATTTACCATCCCATGTTACCATCAGGTAAGTAACCAAGCAGGTTAATTATTATTATTATTTTTTAAAATTATATTCATAATTAAATACTATATTATTAAATAATCAATTAATAAATTATAATTTAATTAAACAACTAAATCACATACGATGAAATTTAAATCTAAAATTTTAAAATTTCAAGGTTTTCTCTTTGTTATTAAACCAAAACCTCATTAACAACAGATTAATTCTTATTTATTTGTCACTTTTGCTTGTTTTTTTTTTGGTAAAATCAAATTATTCTTTTAAATGGGAAAATAAACATTATTATTTATTTGAAAGTTGAAAAAATCAAAACATTTCTTTTTACTAAAGTATAAAATAATTAAATTCAAAGACAAACAAACCTACTCCATTTTTTTTAATATTTTTTTAAAGGGGAAGACCTGCTCAAGACAAATAATTTTATTTGTTAAACGAAACAAATTTTATTAATAATCGTGTAATAAATTAATAAATTAATAAATTTTGTAAATAACAATTAAGTATGAGAAGTTAAGGTTGACATGATTAATTAAATCTTTCAACAAGCTCAAGTATTTGATGTCGAACTGTGAATGGTTGCAGAGGATACATCTAGGGATGGCAATTAAGCCTGTCCCCGACGGGTTTCGACCCGACCCGACCCTATAAGGTTGGGTTTTTTTTTTTTTTTAATTTCAAGTTTCGGGTCGGGATCGGGTCAGGTAAAATTAGGTACAATCGAGGTCGGGTCGGGTTCGGATATGCCTAAAACCCGATCCTATTTAACCCGATATTATTAAAAAATTATATTTTTAATTAATTAATTATTTATTTATATATATATATTTATATAATGATATTTTTAA